ATTGTATTTTATTAATTGTTAAATTTTATTCTTTTAATTAAAATATTAAAGCATGGCAAGGTGATCTTCTCGCGTTTTAATTTAACGAATACATAATTTATTTTTTTAAGTTATTAACCAATAATTTGCCAATAAATAATTGAAATTTCCACAATTCTGATAATTTATATAATCTCATAGCTAAAGTTCACAAAAATCGTTGCTGTTTTTTTTTCCTTCTCATTCTCAGTGTTTTTCTCACAATTAATAAAATAGATGAATGACAACAGTTCAAGCAATTAAAATGCACATGTGGCGTCCAACAAAAGCTCTCTATGTAAAACAATAAAAGACTGACAGTGAGATGGACAAGTGTGACAAGGCAGTCCTTTGAACCTCCCCATTTAGTTTACGACTTTTTGATTACGTCTCTCGCTCAGCAGCGCACATAGTAACACACACGTTCGCGAACACAGCAGGGAATTATAACATAAAACAAGACGCGCTCTCGCTATTCATCCATTGTGTCCGGGGGCACGAATTTATTTTTACGCGTGATGCCGCCTTCAGTTGGCTCGGCCTGTGCAAAAATTGGCCAATTGATTTATGCCAGGCTAGTGGCATAACAAGTTAATTAGCCAGTTGTGCATGTCAAGGATGACGCGAGCAGCGATCAAGTGAACAGTGAACCCCTTAATATGCAACCGAGCGGCAAATTGCAATTGAACAATTTCTGATGATTTCATAACGCGTTCAATTTTGATAATGCAGAAAAATATAATTATTTATTAATGTAATTTAAATCAAATTTAAAAATTTACATATCGAGTGTACTTTTAATGTCATCCTGATCCAAGTTAAAACCAGCCCCAACTATTTTTATTTGAGGTGTGCCGCATGTTACAAGTTCAACTTGTCACAAATCAAAAAGGTTGACTTCTCTGGTTTCTTATTCACTCTCCAGTTGCATTCAATCGCAGTGATCAAACGGGAGTCAGCGTAAAAATAATCGATGCACTCAAGTATCAACTGAACAATTGCTGCACTTTCAACTGGTCGTGTTGCCAGTTTTATTGAACCAGCTCATTGAAAATAAGGAACGAGTAGGCGTCGAGTAAGTCGGTCATTGCGTGCCATATTTCATTGAAGAGAAATTTTTATTCAACAAATATCCAAAAATTGGAACTTGTTTTTCATTCAGATTACATATATTAATTAATAAATCAAAATATTTGTCAACCCCTTTCTAAATGTAACGTGACCCTGTGCTAAGCTGTTTACACCCTCATTAGCATGCACGCTGGGTTGGTTGCTGGTGAAAGAGAATCCCGTGGCGTTCACGGCCGGCTTTTTTGTCGGAATAATATTCAAGAGTCCCAAAATAAACGCCGGGAACGACTCGGCAGTTGGTTGAAAGCCCTCATGATGTGCATGGATGCATTTATTTAACTCCAGTCGCGTCATTAAAATACTTCATCAGCGGCCAAGGAAGAGAACGGGCTTTTTCTGGAGAGCGAGAGAGAAGAGCGTGCAGGAGAAGTGATGATTTTTCATCCGCGGCAATCATAAATTTTTTGAGAGACACTCGGTGTCAAATGCTCAATCAAGCCGTCGTTTATCATACCGCCTTATTAGAATATTTGGGAGAGAAGAATTCTCTTGATGAGGCCAACAGGCCTAACAACTGATTTTATCTGCCAAAGGATTAGCCAGCTATGTGAACAATAGACATAATTACTTTTCAAGTCCCGTATCTTGTATAAAATCTATTTAAATAATATCTCTTCAACTTTTTTTATAAAACAAAGCAAAATTACAATTTTAACAATTTGTCATTTCTGAAAATCTTCTGATGTAATTTAATTAATCCTTAAATTTTATATTGAACTGCCGTCAAAAACTTACTTTTAGTTTGATTAAAGAGTTAAAAAATTACATCTTCTAATTAAAAAATTATTCACGCCTGGTTGCAGTAAAAACCATTTTCAGATATAAAATCTATTAATTTAACTTTAAAAATATAATCTTGATCTTAAAGGGCATTGACCTTCAATTAACTCTTTGTTACCACGCCCTAGTCTATGCTCTTCCCAGCCAAATTCAATCAGCACCACTTTCGTGTCTAGTTTAACTAATTTCTCATCACTCGATTGGATTGTTTGAGAAGCAAACCTCTAAACTTACTACTCATCGCGTCTGTGATTTCTCTCAACACGCAACCCTCCTATAGTCCCTGCGTTTCGAGAAAAACGCCTCTCCTTGCCCACAATGCTCAGATCTTGCGTTGGCCCCGCTCAAGGAAACGAGTCCCGGGCCGAGTCTGTCAAGTCTTCAATTAGCCTCTGGAGCCGCAGTTTGGAAGCTTGAATTAATCAGCATCGCGTTTTACAATTGAGTTTGTCGGACGCAATGATTGACAGCACAAAACCAGCGACCTATGTAGATGCAATCAAACAAAATAATATACACTTTGTTGTTCAATCGTGTGTAGGCTGAAAATTTAATTACTTTTTTTAACTTATTCTAAAAAAATTCCAATAAAATTAATTTTTTAAGCATATTTTAATGTAAGATTCAAGAGAGTCCAGACGGGGCTTGTACGAAATCAGTTTATAGTAAAGGGTTAAAAATAATCCGGGTCCTAAAAGAGACTTTTGTCCGCCGGCCGGGTGTAATCTAAACATCGGTGTGCGCCATCGGAGCGTCCTGAAAAAATAAACACCTCGCGCGCGCGTCTCGCTGATTAACACCTCTGATGCTGCGGCGGAAGGGTTGGGGCGAAATGAGAAGGAAAATTTTATGCTTCGTCTTCCTTTGTGAAAGATAAAGAATCTTTTGCTTAGCACAATGGAAAAAGCTGCTGCAGGTTTTTTACTGCTGGAAGCTGTTCAAGCATGATCGAGAGCACAGTGGGTGCCATTCATAAAGTTCATTCTCTGGATTTTGTTAATGAAGCGAGCAGCATGCTGATGCTGCTGTGAGAGTCGCGGAGGAAAAGCTGCTCGATTAGATAAGCTGCGAGCACGGGATGTATGATAATTCTGTCAATTCCGGGCTTCCATCCTTTCTAGCAGACTCTGGTTATTGATCTTGTATACGCGCTCTCATTTCGGCTCATTTTATCCTCCCACAAATTCGCAAATTCATAAATGACTTAACATGTTTTAAAATTGCCCCAAAATCATCAAGCTGCACCAATAGTTTTATGATAGTTTTCCATTAAGAAATATTATATTTAGAAAATGCAACCTGCTTAACATTGCTGCAGAACATATTGCATAAATCATTCTGCAATTGTGTAAATCAAAAAATGCAGAAAAATTGTAAATCCGTATTTTTCTTAAAATCACAAGTCGATCATGTTTGAATTTTTTGGGATATTAATTTTTGCAAGTGGATTTTGTTAAACATTCTAAATTTTTCCTATATAAATTAAATTTATGAAACAATTTTATTCTGTATAAAAAAGTAAAACGTTAAATTTCAAGAATTTAGACTACTTTGGCTACAAAGTTCAATTATTGCGACTTTCTTGTGCAGTTTATCATAATGATTCAACTTTGTGCACTTCTTATCAACAGTTGTCGGAAGTTGAGAAATGACCTCTGTTGCACTCGTGCCCGGAAGGAACGCCTGCTGCATCCACGCGCTCTTGCAATTTTTATTTATAAATCGACGACACATGGCACCAATATCAATTATTATCAGCAGTGTCGCATTTTCCTCCCGCCCACATGCTCTTCTCCGAAGGAAAGAACGCGACATTCAATTCCTACCCTGTGTGAAAAAATGTAGCACAAGCTGTGATTTATGATTTAATATTCTCTTCGTTTCATTCAGCGCCAGATTCTGTGAAATTGTACATGTGCTCAAGGGGCAGCAGCCGGCGCACATGCAAAGTAGAAAAAGTGGCTTGCCAAGTGACATCATTGTTTACATGAATCACGACGTCAACTGAAATTTTAAGAGCGCGGCAGTACATGCCGGCAATGAATTACATCTATTTGTACTGAACTTTAGAGAAAGACGGACAGCATCCTTCTTAGACCGCCACTTGAGCTCGTCGAGCAAACACTTTTTTGGATCGCTGCTGGCGTGCTTTCAAGAATATCGCGTTACATACGATGAATAATATGAAATTAAAAAAGAAAAAAAAACGCATGCGGTGGTACGCCTTAAATTTTTACTAAGCAAAACACGCCTTCTCACACAGTACTCGATTTACGTGGCCAAAACCAAAAACATTGCCACCGCCGTTTATTACTTTCTCTCCTTGTGCTAATTTTTATATTTTCTTTTACAACTACAAATAACTACTTCATTAAATCATCCTTTTAATTTGAAAAGAAAATAAACCATATTAAAAAAAGTAATAGAAAAAGTTGGTTAAATTATAATTAAAACAGAAACACTTAAAGAGAGGGTAAAAATTATAATTTATCCTATATTGCTGTATTTTTTTCTGCCTTTCAATTTTAGTGAGAAATAATAAGTGGTTCATAAATTAATAGTAGAAAAATATTTATATATAAATAATTATACTAATAAAGCATTTGCAGATAGAATTTCTACAACCGAGATTTCCATAGCAAGATTAAAGTATTTGCGTGGGATTGCTTTTGTATGATCACACAAAAGCTTCAGCCAATTCATAAGTAAAATAAAATACAAGCATGACTGTTTGAGTCCTTGATGGAAAATGTCGTGGGCAATGGTCAAAAAATGAGGCCGTTTGTATAATGGAATGTCTGATTGAGAATCAAATAAAGATCTGATTTTAAACCACAAAGGCGCAAGCAATATGTGCGGCGATACGTCCATAAAATATTAGTAATAGTAATGATGACAAAAATTAATGGCAAAAAACCTACTACGAAATTATTTTAAATTCAAATCAATCGATTTATAAATTAATGAAATTATAAATTATAATTCTGATATATATGTTTCAAAATTAGAGCTTTTAACAATAATGCACTTTCTTTAATTGACATTTAATCATTTTCTTTTTCTTTTTTCAGGTGGACAAAGAAGTTAACTCCTCGTCCGTAGCAATAAGGCAAACTAGACAAGTAAATCTCCGAGAATTGTGCGGCGGAGGCGGGCCGCGATGTTACGCAGAGAAAGGGTCAATGGTGAGCACCAAAATTGTACTCTGAAATCGTCGAAACTTTTCCTATAAATGTTAAGGGGTCAAATTTTAAACAATAGAGCCTTCCAAAGTTTTGACCTTTGCGAGGGTTTATCTCGAGACCTCCAACATGGATAGAAAAATATTGTTCCACATTTATAGACGACGGAGTGAAGGTGAAGGCTGTGTCGCCACGCACTTTAGACTCGCCGACGTTTCACTAATTTTTTAGCAATGTACCCAATTGAATATTTCAAGAAAGCAAAGTAACGTGATATGTACCCAGTTAGTTGACTGGGTGCTATTTGAGATGCGGAAACCGTGCTATTAAATTATGCACGACAGCGCTATTTACAAACAACAAGGGGCAGCGTATTAAATTTCACATAGCATTGTATTCAACCAATGCAAATTTTCAGGGTCCACCAGGACTATCAGGACTTTCAGGTGAAAAGGGACAGCAAGGTTACCCTGGAATGGAAGGGCTACCAGGCCCTAAAGGTGATAAGGGAGACTCAGGTCCGCAGGGACCTCGAGGTCCTAAAGGTGACCGAGTGAGTTTTTCAAAAAACAATTGGAAAACTATGACTACTTTTGACCTTATTGTTAGGGTAAAATGGGGATGCCCGGTTTTCCCGGAATCAACGGTGTACCTGGTGTCCAGGGCCCTCAGGGTGCTCAGGGACTGCCCGGCCTTGACGGCTGCAACGGAACAGACGTGAGTATATAAATTTAAAGTTGGTTGATTTCAGCTCGCAATTTTATTATTTGTGTGTGCCATTGAGATATTGAAACTGGATCGTGTTTGTCGCGAAGACCGCGTCTTACCGAGTTATTGAACTTGTTTCGACCGCAGAATGTGTAAGCCTATAGCCCCGCAAGTAGTCCCTCTTCAGCGCTACTGCCACTTGATGCTCCTGAAGAGACGAAACCACGATTTTTTCAGGGCACACTTTTTTCTGGATTTTGAAACAATACGTCACATATAATTTTACTTATGTGTTCGTTATATTTATAATTTGATTATCAAATTTCTTTAAATTTTCTGGCACTTCTTCTCTATACATCTAAAGAAACAGGAGAGGTCGGCCTAATTGCATAAAATCTAATTGACCCTTGGTTTTTTTTTAACATTTAAATTTTTTATTTAAATTAATATATTTGGCTTAAATCAATCATATAAAATATAGCATTGTGAACGCAACAAATTTATAATTTTGTTGTAACTCTTTCATTTTAACTTCATCAATTGAAAAGGAAAAGATCGCTAAATAATTAGGAGCATGTGCGAAGTTGAAAGGCGCCGAGAGAGTTCATCGCTGGTGGCGCATGCGGGGGCTAATTATTTAATCATGCGAGATAATGTAACCCAATATTTTCTCCACATCAAGCGCAGTACTGCGTTCTGCAGGCATGTGTGTTGCTTTCCTAGGCGCATTCATCTCGAGCCTCGCTTCCCACGCGACAAAAAGCGACAGATTAAGCGAAAAAAGAGCCGCGCTCTCTGCGCAAGATACGACCCAGTTTCAATTGCTTTTTGTCATGACGTAATTGTCTTAATGTGCATGACCTCATGCCCTCTTCCTCTTCAACGCAGACTTAAATGGACTGAGACGAATGCAAATCTTCAATCATAATGGCACGCATTTATCAAAAAGCGCATCTTCTCTCACTGTGATTTTTTAGGAACCATAAATTTTACTGGCCACAAGACGCACATTTACTTGCTAATATACTAGTTTGTTTATCTTTTAAAGCTAATTCTGTCTTTGAGTTAATGAAAAATTTCAAACACAAAAATCTTACGACTTTCTTAAAACATTTTTTCAAACAATAAACTTACATTTTATTATAATACTCATTTACTCAATAAATTTAAAATTATATATTAAAATAATGTAAAATTTTATTAGTTATTTAATTTGGAACGCTAATTTTAAATTTAGCATGTCATTTCATTACTAATTGTAAGAATAATATTTATATTATTTTATACAATTTTTTTTTATACATTTCTCATAACTTGATAAATTCATATTTTAATTCCTGAAATATTTCAAGTTTGAAGACAAAAATTTTACATACGTGATAATTCATTCTCAAAATTTTCAATTTCTAGTTTAACAGAAATGCAATATTATTAATTTTTGTGTTGTTAAAAATTTATGAAGATAGAAGATTTTTGTGACAATAAAAATTATTAATTCATTAGGGAGCACCTGGTCTGCCTGGCTTTAATGGTGAACCCGGTCCTCGGGGCATTCCTGGTGTCCCAGGTCCCAAAGGTGACAAAGGAGAAGCAGCTCGCACAGGCACCCATCAGAAAGGCCAAAAGGGCGAACCAGGTTTGACGTTTTCTCCTTGCAATTATTACCACAACACTTATTTTTTTAATTGCGCAGGGTTCGAGGGCCGAGCTGGATTACCCGGTCCTCAGGGTATGCAAGGCCCAACTGGCGTGCCTGGTGTGAAGGGAGACCTTGGCTCGCCTGTAAAATACCAAAATTGTATACACAAATCATAATAATACACTTGTTTCAAATAGGGACCCGTAGGACCACTTGGTCAAAAGGGTCAGAAAGGAGCAATGGGCATAGGAATTTACGGTGGACCAGGAGATAAGGGGGACAAGGGTGAGCCTGGCCCCCCTGGTACTTTTCAAATTCAACCCGAAGGACCGTAAGGCGATTTCTTGTGCATCTAAATTCTTCTAATTTTCTTTCTGATTTTCAGTCGTGATAGCATTAACTTTACCATTGGCCCCCAAGGAGAACGGGGAGAAAAAGGAGAAAGAGTAATGAACAAATTTTATGCTCCTTCAAAAATTTTAATAATACGTAATATGCTATACAATAGGGTGAATTTGGTATACAAGGCGCCGCAGGTGGACCAGGTCCTGTAGGTGAAACAGGAAGATTAGGTGAGGTTGGCATGAAGGGCGAAAAAGGTTTGCCAGGCCCACCTGGTCCTCGAGTGAGTATAATTACGTCATTAATTTTAGCTTACTTAGTCCGCTCAATTTGGTGTGTGTCCTCAATTTAAAGGTCCTCGCATTTCAGCAACGTGTGTTTTCCTATAAAATTATTGGTTCTCCACATTGTTTTTCACGATTTTATTAATTTTTCATGTTCCCACTTGATTTGTGAAGAATTAACAATATAATAAAAAAAAAGAATATATTCATATTGGCTTTAGAAAAAATCCAAGCGAAATTTTTAAAAACCCTAAAAATCCATAGGGTCGTGATGGCCTTCCTGGACCTTTGGGCCCTCACGGTCAAAAAGGTGACCGTGGAATGGAGGGAATCCCTGGTCTGCCTGGTCGAGTTGGTCTCAAAGGCGAGCCAGGTCTAGACGGTTCTGATGGGCCTCGAGGTCTGACGGGTCCTCCTGGTCCGCCTGGTGTAAGTTTGCTTTAAGATAGTGATTTGCGTAAAACAACCAAACTTTCTTCTTTAGGGTGGTAAAGGGCGTCCTGGTCCACCTGGGCCGCAGGGACCTAGAGGCTACCCAGGTTCTCCAGGCCCTAAAGGTTTGTCTTACTGATCAATGATTTAAAATGCAATTATAGAACTAAAAATTTAGGATTGGATGGCTTCCCCGGAGAGCCAGGGCTACGAGGACCAATGGGACCCAAAGGTATGTAAAAAAAAAAATCATTTTTTATTTTACTTGTATACGTTACACTCAAATAGGGTTTAAAATCATCTATCCACGCGATTTCAATATGTACAATAACTTCAAAAAAATAGGATAAATTAGACATAGTTTATTATTTTGTTGCGCTTTTAAGGTGGCACCGGAATACCTGGCCTGATTGGTCCTGAAGGCTTCCCAGGTGAAAAGGGTAGTAAAGGCGAGGCTGGGCTGCAAGGGTTTCCAGGTCTTGTCGGCCCTAGAGGTTTTCAGGGAACACCTGGTCCACCTGGTCCTCGAGGGTCACCAGGCGAAAGAGGAAACTCAATTGAGGGACCTCGTGGTATAGATGGTTTACCTGGCAGAGACGGTGAAAAGGGCTCGAAGGGAGAGAAAGTAAGAATATTTTTATCAATTTTGATAGTTTTAAACGAGATTTCTCGATCAATCTTAAAGAATTTAAAAAATTCAATTTTTTACACTTTGAGCAGCTGTAAAAAATTTTACATTTTTAAAAAGTATTTTTCATAAATATTACCATTTATATTTTCAAACTAAAAGTTAACATTATCAGGCGCCTATCGCCTATTACTTCCAAGTTTGTGATAGATTTCTTTAATTAAATCTTCTTAATCAAGGGCTATCGAGGACCGCCTGGCACTCCTGGAGATTCAAAATTAGGAACCCCTGGAATTCCTGGTGTTCCGGGTCCTAAAGGTGATGCTGGTAGGGACGGAAGACCTGGCCAACCTGGCCCTCAAGGTTTGATTTGTGCTTTTAATAGAAGGGGTTTTTTCAGTTTTCCGATTTTAGGTTTGCCTGGTGATAAAGGTGATATTGGAGGTCGTTGCAGTGACTGCAGACCGGGTTCAAAGGGAGAAAAGGGCTCAGAGGGAAGTCCTGGTTTCCCAGGTTTACAAGTAAGCTTTCGTTCTATAGTCTACATGTCTTATTATTAAAAGACATCTGCAACTTTAAATACATATTTTTAGGCACAGAAAAATTTTAAGTTAATTTGTTTATTTTTCAAGGGCGCACGTGGACCACCTGGAGAAAGGGGGCACCCTGGAGAACGGGGAGACCAAGGCGATGTAGGACCCAGAGGTCAAGATGGTTTGCCGGTAAGGGATAAAATTATAAAATCCAAACTACAAAATTAATGACACTGAATGATCAATTGCGAAACTATAAAAGAATTGATAACTGATAGAGTAGAAATATAGTAAAATATCAATTTGTGTATCTGTCTTATAAATAATAATAAGCAAACAAAAAAATTGTATATTTAAATAATACCTTTAATATAATTTAAGGTAGAGTATTAAAATTTTAATAATATTATTTATTTTATTTCATAATTTTTTAATTCAATGTATTTCTTATTATTAAATTTTAATAATTTTTATTTTTGTTTAGAAAACTAACTTTTGCTGTTGAATGCAATATTTTTTCCTTTAAAGTTATTAAAATTTTTAAATTTTTTATACTGTTGTTTGGTTGTTATTGATTTATGACTTTTGCATGATCTTTTGCACGCGTTTCCTTGTATTTGAAAAATATCATAATCAGTCGTACACATGATACTTATTCATTATAGGGTAAAGATGGATTGCAAGGCTATATTGGTGCACCTGGATCTCCAGGAAGAGATGCGATGATCACGGACAGTAATATTTTGGAAATAAAGGGAGATCGAGGACCACCAGGTGAATTTGGGCCAGCTGGTCCGAAGGGAGACAGAGGATTCCCAGGGCAGCCAGGATTACCCGGTCAAGTGGGTTTCCCGGGTGTTAAAGGCGATAAGGTTTGTGATTTAAAATTAATGTTTTAGTTGTCTTAATATATTACATATTACCATATATAATTCATTAACAAACTATGGAGATCAATGTTAAAGTAAACAACAAGATCTATGTGGCTGTTGTAACATTATAAGTTACAAGGATAATTAGATTTTTAAGTAAAAAGTACTCTTTATGTTTTATCAACTTGAAAATCTCCTTTGAGCTTATTTTCATAATATTTTAGGGAGAGCGCGGTTTCCCTGGAAATGATGGCATAAACGGACGACCTGGTACTTCTGGAATCAAGGGCGATAAAGGCTTCAGCATTACCGGGCCTCAAGGGTAAATTTCTTACAGATTTTATTACCTTTTAAGAATTAAATTATTTATTATTTTTCGCTAACATAAATTATTCATTAAATTAAATCTTTACTCTTAATATCAAATTTATTTTGTATATTCATTCAATTATTACTGGTATTAAAAACAAAATTATGATTTTGGGGAGAAGTGAGTACTTGTTGAATGATCACATAAATTGATAAAGGCTAAAAACATGCTTGTTACTTTATTTTAACATTTATTAAGGTTTACCTTTTATTAAGATGTAGGGATATATTATTTATTAAACTTGATGTCCTTCATAAAATATGCCTTCTGCATATTATTGTGAAAACTCTGCCGATGCACTTTCATTGGCTGCTGGTAGCTGTGCGATTTTATTTGTCTGGACTGAATTTTGTTGCCTAATTTTAAATTTTTTTTAAATTCAATTTTTTCGTAACAGACCTATAGGCAACACCGGCAAATCTGGTGATAAAGGAGACATGGGTCTTCAAGGTATTCCAGGAGAGCCTGGTACGTGGTGACCCTTTTGAAGCATATTGCAAAATTTTACTCAAAATTTGTCAATCAGGCGCCTGTCCATCACCAGAAACTATAGCCCAGCAGTTAAAAGGCGAAAAAGGATCTCAAGGCCAAGAAGGTGCTTCAGGTCCACCAGGTCCCCCTGGGCCTTCTGGCTCTAAGGGTGATAGAGGATCAGATGTAAATACATTAAATTTTTTGCATTGAAAAATAAAAAAATTAATTATTTTATTGCATTAGGGTTTTCCTGGTGCTGTGGGACCTCCTGGAAACCCAGGCCCAGTTGGTCCTCGAGGTCTGCCAGGCATAAGAGGAATAAAGGGTTCGCATTTCACCTTTTTAGGTTAATTTATTTTTGGCACATTTTTATAATTTTTATTTTAATCTGAAGGTGACAGAGGGCCAATGGGCTTTCCAGGAGATAACGGGAAGGATGGGATTCCCGGCCAGCCAGGATTTAGGGGAGATAAAGGTTTTTATATTTAATTCTGTTAATTAAAACTAAGCACACATTCCAAATGTATTCTCTGACCTGATTGCAAATAAATCAATCTATTTTTTTTTATTCAGGTTCAAAGGGCGAATCAGGTATTCCAGGTGTCGGTCCACCAGGCCCTATTGGTCTTGATGGACCTAGGGGTGAAAAAGGTCTTCCCGGTCTAGGAGGCAAAAATGGCGCCAACGGTCTACAGGGTCCTCCAGGATTACCGGGTGAAAAAGGAGATACCGGAATTCCTGGGCTGCCAGGTAGGTTCCTTCACCATTCATGAAAATTTCCTGCTAAAATAACCATTCTGAATAATTTTTAATTACAATCGAAAAATCTCCTTTTACACTATCATTTTTCTTTCCAACTCTTATTGAGGATATTTTAAGGAAAAAGTGATAAAATAGTACTTTGCACTTCCATTTTTTATTTTTTTCAGGTCTGACAGGTTCTGACGGTCTCAAGGGTGAACCTGGACCTTTTGGTCCACCAGGTTTACCTGGTCCTGTAGGTCTGGACGGTATGCCAGGGTCAAAAGGTGAATAGAAGCATATAACTTTCTATAAAATATTAATTCTTTGGTTATTCATATAAAGGCGAGCCTGGACTTCCGGGAGAATCGGGTCGTCAAGGTCTTCCAGGTTTTCCTGGTCAGAAGGTAAATTAATTCAATTGAATTGAATTAATTAATTATACACTGTGATGTTTTTGTTATTCATTGTTTGTCAATTATCTCAAGACAAGTTAATGCTCTGTTGCTTTTGGGAGCGGAGGAAAAAATGTGCTATTTTTGTTGTTTTTTGCTTCCTACATAAACAAAATGTTGGATATAAATTCTTGAAAATTTAAATTCTTTTATTTTTATTTATTTATTTTTTTTTAGTTATAAAATTTCCTCACTTAAAAGATAAAATTCATGTGGTTTAATTATAGCTAAACCATTATTTATAGAAATTTATTAATTTGAGATCAAGTTGTCAACTGAAGTTGATATAAAAAAATTAAAAAAATAAATGAGTGTGGCAGCAGAGAGATAATATTGTTCAAGGAGTGGGAACAGAGCATGGAGAACAGAAAAAGTGAGAGCGGCCAAGCCTGCAGCTTCATAGCAATTACTTTTCAAAAAATTTGCACGCCTACGTTTTAAATTCAGTTTTTTCTATCCCATTGGTGTTAGTAAAAATAATCAGCTAATAGTATTTATAAATAAATTCTGAAATTTTTACAAGCCAAACAGTTTAATTGGATGGGTTAATTTTACTTTAGGGAGACGCAGGTGTGCCTGGAGTAGAAGGACCTCGTGGATACCCTGGTCCTAGAGGGCTGCCAGGTAAACTAAAAATATTGTGAAATTAATTGAATAATATTTCATAATATTTATTGCTATTTACTAAACAGGTCTTGTGGGAATACCTGGAATGGACGGTTCACCAGGTCTGAAGGGTGACAAGGGCGAGAGAGGATTCGATGGAATCCCTGGTGTAGACGGTCGGCCAGGTTTAGAGGGTCAAAGTGGTCCTATTGGTCCGAAAGGTGATATAGGAATCATGGGACCGCCTGGAATACCTGGTTTACCAGGAATTGACGGAATGAAAGGTGAACGCGGCTTCCCCGGAATACCAGTAAGTTATTTGATTACAGTTGAGATAACTCTCGTCACTAAAAGAACATTTTTATCTTTAGGGTCAAAAGGGTACAGCGGGTCAAGTTTCGGAAAAAGGTCAAAAGGGAGAGCCTGGTCCTCCAGGCGTTCAAGGGCCACCAGGTATGTGTATAGATTTTACAACTCTCTGCCCTCAATCACCCTCAATCTAGGTAATTAGCGTCAGTCAGTCAAATTTAAATTGCATTTCATATTATTATATCCCAATTCAACGATATTAAAATAAAAATGTAATTTAAATATTTTATTTTTAGTTCCTTTGCCAATTTTTCTATGAAATTTTTTATTATAATAAGTGTCAGAGACACATAAAGAATTTAAACAAATTTCTTATTTTTCCATCACATTTACACTATGATTATATGCTTATGAGCTTAAAATTATTTATCACTATATTATGTATTTACTGTATTTACCTGGAATATCCATTATAATCCTCTATAAATGCATAAATGCGAGCCACTAGAGGCACTAGGATGAGTAGATTTTTCACAATTGGTTTCTTGAACCTTGAACCTTTCAATAAACTAGAATGTTGTAGGAACACCTGGGTTCGACGGTCGACCAGGAATAAAGGGTGAACCAGGGCGGCCAGCAGTTGGCCTGCCTGGTCTAGAAGGGCCTAAGGGAGATGCTGGAATTCCAGGCCGGCCAGGTGCTAATGGAATTCCAGGAGAAAAGGGTACCGCAGGACTACAGGGCTTCCCTGGAATGAAGGGGGATAAGGTGAGTAAAATGCATTTTGCTTTCATGCATAAAACAGAAAAATTAAATATTACAAATGAGGTATTTTATATTTTTCAATTCTCATTCTAAAATTTGTTTCTGTTACTTTTAACTTAACTTAATTTAAATTAATAATTTACAAATTTTTATAAACATTTTGAAATGATTATTTCAGGGGGAGAGAGGAACGTATGGCTCGCCAGGAGCACCAGGCGTTGACGGAATTGATGGGGATAAAGGTGCGTCTGGAAATACAGTTACATAATTTTCCCCCGTGACACAATTTGACATTTACACTATATAGGTGATCTTGGATTTGAGGGCCCACAGGGCTATCCTGGAGAAAAGGGGGACAAAGGTCAGCCTGGAATGTCTGGTTTAGAGGGCCTAAAGGGCGAACTTGGCTCCCCAGGTAAATATAATTTTTTTTAATTGTCAGTTAACTGACCTCACTTTTGTGAGTTAGGTTTGCCTGGTTTGCCCGGTGTGCAGGGAGAGCGGGGTGACAAAGGTGACAGGGGACCATCAGGTCCAACTGTTGACGTCAAAGGAGAGAAAGGCGAGCCAGGACGTCCAGGTGCAAAAGGATATTTAGGGCAGAAGGGTGACATGGGACTTGATGGTCTACCAGGTAAAATCTTTAACCGCTGTTAAATATAAACCTTTAATAAAATCCATTGATTAGGCCTTAGGGGAGAAAGAGGTCTTGACGGACCATCAGGACCTCCAGGCCTTCCCGGTGCAGCTGGGGTAAGAAAAATTTCAAACCTTATCAAGCTGTCAGTCAGTAAACGATACTATATTTAACACCTCTGGTTCAGCAATACTTCAATTTAAATTTACATCAATCTATAAAAAATGCTATGACTAGAATTAATAAGCAATATAATAATCCTGCTCGGTTTATATTATTGAAATTAATTGAAATAAAGTATATCAATATTACTCGTCATAGTCATCATTCTCGGAAATATTATAGAGCATTGCTGAGCATGCAATATATTTTGGACATCATATTATTGTTTTGTAGCAAAAATATTTCTTTCAAAAAAATATATATATAAAAAAGTATATTAATTTATTTAATAAATTGTATAATTATGTAAACTAATACATCATGGAAATGTTTTAGCTTCCAGGCATGAAAGGCGATATAGGTGACCCTGGAGTCCAGGGTAATTTACTGTTTATAATAAATTCTAAATTTTTGATGATATACTAATATTATGATCTTCTTAAAAGGTTTACCTGGAATGACTATCAAAGGAGAAAAAGGCCTTCCTGGTCTTTCAGGAAAGCATGGCCGTGAGGGGCCTCCTGGCTTGCAAGGAATTAAAGGAGACAATGTTAGAGACATTTCAATTTTCTTTTGTTCTAAATAATAAAATGATTCAAACAGGGCTTACCTGGGCTGCCTGGTGTTCAAGGCCCACCTGGTTTACCTGGCCCAGTTGGTCTGCAAGGAATGAAGGGAGACCGAGGTTTTCCTGGTGTTCAAGGTCCACCTGGTTTGGATGGACCTCCTGGTATGAAAGGAAATATGGGTCTAGCTGGTGTCCCTGGTATGAAGGGAGACTCTGGTCCCCCTGGTATTTTTGGTGCTCAGGGACCAAAAGGAGAAAGAGGATTATCAGGTAAATAGAATCATCTTACAGATATGTGTTGTTACCTTGAAATATTTTTTATTTTTCTCAGGTTTGCCCGGACGTGACGGCTTAAATGGAGAAAAAGGAGATGCCGGTCAAGACGGAACACCTGGACAAGTTGGCTGGCCCGGAGCTAAAGGAGATCGAGGTTTTCCAGGTCTGTTATTTCGAAATATTATTTTATTAAAGTTTTTTCAATGAGCCACAGATATAAGCAAGTTGGCCAATTTTTTTACATCATTGATGACTGTTAAAAAAAGGAAAAAATGGAGATTTCTCAAGTTTATAGAAAATGTAGCCAAGCAAACTTAAAATTTTCTTACAAATTTGACCCTGTTGACTAAAATAATAATATGTCTCAGGCTCACAGCTAAGAGCCATCAATTTTTGCATGTTTACACACAATATTTATTTTGAAGAATATTAATTTATTGGGTCTGAAGAAGCTTTCACCCCATATAAAATAGGTGATAATAATTACATAGTTTATCAAGAAAGTTATGAGAATTTAAGTGATAAAAAATTTAAAAAGTTAAAGTTCTACCCCCAAATTAGGCTACTCTAGTGCTCTCTTTCAGTATTTTTTAACATTCAATCCTGCAGGTTTGATTAAAAACCTCATTTTATTAGAAGGCCATGTATGTGTGTAATTTTTTTTTTATTATGGTGCCAAGCTGGCTACTTTATGTATGTGTTCATGAAATAATGAATCAATCAAACAATTCACTTTTTCAATTTACTATTTCTTCCCATACTTAATTATAGGCCTTCCTGGTGTGGCTGGTTTAAAAGGAGATAAGGGTTCGACTGGTCCACAAGGTGTGCCTGGTTTTGTTCCACCTATAAATATTGCGAAACCCGGAGAAAAGGGGATGATTGGTATGGAAGTATTATATTGATTTTATTTGTTAATATAAAAAAGGGGCTTAATCAGGTGAGCAAGGCTATCCTGGACAACGGGGTGATAAAGGTGATCGTGGGTTTGATGGACTGCCTGGACCGAAAGGAGAGAGAGGCAAGCAAATGTTTTTCACCTTAAACTTTTTTAATCAATATTTTGTTATAAGGTGATCCCGGCCGAAATGGTTCGCCTGGCCCCATGGGACCACCAGGTCAAAAGGGTGACGCTGGTATTGATGGTATTCCTGGTCGAAATGTATGTAAAAATTTCGTTTATGCAAAAATTAGTATCTCTCATTAAATAAATGTTTGGTTACAGGGACTTGACGGTTTGCCTGGTATTTCGGGCTTGCCTGGACAGCCGTGTGAAACCACCCCTGACTATATGACTGGAATTTTATTAGTCAAACACAGCCAAAGCTCTCAAGTGCCTCTGTGTGAACCTGGACATGTCAAGCTGTGGGATGGTTACAGCTTGCTCTACATCGAAGGAAACGAAAAAGCCCACCACCAAGACTTAGGTATTTTCTTCTTATAATATTGAGTGAATTTATTAATTTTTAATTTGCTTTTAAGGATTTGCTGGATCCTGTGTTAAGAAATTCTCAACTATGCCGTTCCTATTCTGCGACTTCAACAATGTCTGCAATTACGCTAGCAGAAACGACAAATCTTACTGGCTGAGCACTACGGCTCCTATACCCATGATGCCTGTTATGGAATCAGAAATAAAAAAATACATTTCAAGGTAATTTCGGACTCAATCAATATTTCTATGGAAAATAAACCAACTTTATGAACTTTCAGATGTGCCGTGTGTGAAGTTCCAGCAAATGTGATGGCTGTCCACTCGCAGTCGAACAACATTCCCGAGTGTCCGGCAGGTTGGAATGGCCTGTGGATCGGTTGGAGCTTTGTCATGGTAAGCAAAAGTGAAACTATGTGAAAAGCGTTAATTGGTTATAATAAATCAGCACACTGCTGCCGGAGCGGAGGGCGGCGGCCAGTCTCTGGCTAGTCCAGGTTCGTGTCTTGAAGACTTCAGGGCAACTCCATTCATAGAGTGCAATGGTGCCAGAGGCTCGTGCCACTACTTTGCCAACAAGTTCAGCTTCTGGCTGGCCACAATCGAGGAGCGAGATCAGTTCTCAGCACCGAGATCTGAAACCCTGAAGGCTGGAAATCTGCGTACCAGGGTCAGTCGCTGCCAAGTGTGCATCAAAAACAATTAAGATGCGTACATATTGTAGTTATCCCACAGCGAATTATAATAAGGGAGAAAATTAATCAACAACCACTCTCCTTTACACTTGTCATAGCATGTAATGCTAATCAATTCACAATACAGTAGTTATTATTATGTTTCGTGTAATATTCTATTTTGTAGCTATTACCTTAATTGCTATAAAAGTTAAAATATCTGTGTATTTAATTAATTTTGCTGAATTGTGGGTGGGAAATTTAAGCAGCTGGGCAGTTTTATGTTCTGGACTTAGAGTTAAGAAGGGGTAGCATGTGCAAAGTAATTTGCTGAACGAGTCTTAAACATTATGTTTTTAACTTCTAAGTTTAGTTTATCATTTTATTGTGATAATGACTAAAATCATTCTAAGTAAGTGCTGAGAGTGTGCATTTAAGTTTAATTTTTAAAGCAGCCGAAATAAGTTGTAGTAAGTTTAATTAAAAAATTATAATGTTTTCATCAAGCAACATTCATCAACCAGACGCACTGTTTCTTAATACAAAATTTTTGTAAATTCATTACACAAAATGTTTTTTATATCTTCTAATATCCTCTTTGTCAAATATTAACTCTTAACTCATTTATAATCTGCAGCTTCATTAAAAAAATTGCCTGTGTACACACAAAAATTTATGTTTTAGAAAAATTGTAAATTGTACAGCGAATTTAGAGCCGTACCGTGAAACAAAATGAGTGCCATAAAATGTGTTCTTCTGTAAAATATAACGCAGTTTTGATCAATCTTGCTTTCCATGATACTTTGCTTAGTGCAATGATGAGTTACGATAATATGTACTGTGCCTCTCTAACGATCAGTCACTGCCAGAAATATTTTGTATAACAATGATAAATTAATTAAAAATAAAGCTTCCATGTTCTAAAAATAACTGTAATTTGTTTCATTTCCTTTAGCATAAATAAAAAAAGGATGAATTCACAAAACAAACACAACGACAATTTCAAGTAATTCATTGGATTCAATTTATTTTCATTTTCAAACATATAAAACGGCAATAATCATTATTAATAATTATGAATTACCATGTAATCTAAATTAAATTTCATGTTACATTAGTCTAATGGGACATATCGTTAGAATACTCCCTTAACTTATATTGTAATAATAATAATTATTTTTCATTCATTATTATAAAGTTCTTTTAAGATATTTCTCCATCTTCCTTTAGTATTTGTCTCTGAACATTCATAATGAAATCATGATCAACTTGAAGAAAACCTCATCTCGATTTTTCTCATTTAAAAGCCGCACAAATCTTTTTGTATATTGTTCAAGGGTCATTTTCAGAAGCTTACAACCGCTCCAAAAATTGAGATGTGCCATTTCAACGCACATAATTAACAATGAAGAATGATTCAAGATTCATGAATTCTCTCTTTAAGTCCACTTTTCACTTTTTTCATGTTGCTTGCGTACGTCTGTGTATTTGTGAGTGGGAAGTGTGAAATGCTTTCTTCTGCCCTCTCATTTGTTTTGCTTTCGGTATTTTGCTCCACGAACATATATGCTTAATAATTAGTAATGAAGAAGGAAACTTGAATTGCACGTCGATCCGTCTTAGTAAATCGCACAGAGAGATGTGTTTTTTGCAAACATTCAACGAGAACTGAACAACTATCATGTGGTCCACTGGTACTTTCTGTTACAATTATTCGAACCAAAAATGCAGGTAAATCATAATGAAAAAGCAACATAACTTTACTTGTGGCTCCTCTCCATGCTTACAGACAGACGTTCTCATTTTCCATTTACCGGCCACCTAAAAGCCAATATAAACAGACAACTTAGTCGTGTTCGGTTCCAGCAACAACAACAGCAATGACAACATAAATCAGTGGATTTCAGTGATGCTCCGTCACTGCATGATTATTTTCGTCAATCGGGGCTACTCTACACTAGATACATTGCAGGGCTTGCCGCACGCCGGTACTGATTTGCAACGTCTGCTCGGGTGGCCTGGTTTGATTGAGGTTACACAGAGAATCGATCTGAGGTGATTTGCGGTTGGAAACGTCATAGATAAAAAATAATAATGCGTGATTTGGGTGATGAAGGAGAGAGTGAACGCACCAAATTAGTTAATTATCCATTTATCTAGTCAGGATGAAAAAATAACTATAGCTGATGCGAGACAATTAGCAGAAAGTTTATTTTAATTGTAATTTATTGATTGAGTGATATTTTACAAATTTACCAGAGCTTAATTATATTATGGTCATGTTGAAAATGGATTTTCCATGGTTAGAATGGAACACGGTTTTCATCATTGTTTGTTAGGAAAAAAGCCTCCTCAATCGAACCATGATCTGTTCCCTCAATTATTGATTAACAAAAAGTCTCTAAAGAAAAGCCAAAGGGAGTCCTCCGAGAGACGATTGCAAAACCGTGCGAGCCGAGCCCTGTTACAGCAAGATAGAGAAATAGAGGTGGGCGTTGGAAAATTAATAACGATGTGGATTAAGTCGCGCTAGACGATTTGACTTCTGCCTAGTCGGAAACAAACCAGCCCCAAGGTGCAGAGAAGAGATAGAGAAAGGCAGGGGGAGAATTTTCAGAGCAAGACAGAGACAGAAAGAGTGTGTTGGTCGAAGTGAGAGTGAATTCCTTTCTTTCTTATTCTTTCTTATGTTTATTAACTAATAATCAAATTTTGTTTCGCCTCAAATCATCATCTTTCTCCTGGCAATTGATCTGGGCGTGTGTAGGTGTGTGATCTTTTTTTCTTCAAACGGAACTCGAAAGGTTTTATCGCTCTTTGGCAGGTGCTTGTTTGGAGGGCTCACCTGTTGGGGGGACGCCAGAGGCCCCTGCGCTTGGCCCACTGATGCCGTTGCCCGACGATGTCATCACTGCTTTTTGCTTAAGCATCGTCCAGTCAAAGGTGTAGTCATACTGGAAGCTGAGCGTGCGGAACAAGATCCGGAACAGCTGCCTCAGATACATGTAGTCAGGGGCTTCTTCAAAGCGCAGGCCGCGGCTGTAGTTGAGGTACATCGCAAACTCAGCTGGGAAGCCCTGCAAATCGCAAAACCACAATTAGCCAACAGTCAACAGTGCCAAAATAAACGAAGCTGCACATTTCAGTGCACGTTTGCTTTCCTCGGGCTTTTATCGAGGTCTATTGTTATCTGCGCAACCATGCTCTGTGAGCGGCTACGGCAAATTCCCAAGAGTCCAAGACCCGTTATAATGAAACGTGGGGGATGAATGGAAAGTAGATGATCATAATATTTAGCGTAAATGATTAATGTAGTCGTTTAAAACTTCATGATAAATATTATATATTATATGATAGCGCTAAAATTTGCAGGTTATTTTCAAATTTAATACAGGTATTAAAAAAAATTTTATTATAAAATGGAAAATTTTCTTTTAGAGAAGGAACAAAAAGAACAATATTTTAATTAAAAAAATATATATATCAAAACCAAAATTTAATAATTAAAGAAAGATTTCCATGATCATCTCCTCAAATGTCAACTTCTTCAAATGAATAATTATTAACACTTTTGAGGTCTAAAATATGGTAATTTTATTAAAATAGAATAAAACTTATTTATGGAGGGAAATATTTAATAGGTATTTGAATTGATGAAAGCGCCCTTTAAAAAAATGAGAATTTAAATACTTTTTCACAATTTCAAAAGCTAATTAAACTCCTAGCCTTGTACGCGTAGAATACTTTATTATAATAAACTGAATAATTCAAGATTTTTACAAAGCTTGTCTGAAGGAGCCTTGTAAATTATGCATAATTTCCGGTCTACTTGGTCATGCAACGAATGTTCACCGAGTGCCACAAGTGCCTCACGCCTCGTTTGTGAATCACGTCAAGAAAAATCAAGTGTAGTGCATTAAGCTATGCAACCCTGACACTAAATTCGAGCCGATTGACGTGTCATTAGGCTAATCGCGTCCATTGATTACACGACGCGTTTGTCACTTTTGGTTTCGGCGTTTATCTGACCCACTAACCTTGGGATCTGTTGTCAAAGCACACCCGATATCAATCCGAAACAAATCAAACTAGGTCAAGATATGAGCAAGTAAGTGCGAGTGCACGACGAGGAAGCGCCGCCTTGGCACCTTTGGATGGAAAAAAACGAGCGGGCGCCAACGAAAGCGACAAACACCGAGAACCCGTTCATGAAAACCAGCCAAATAAGAAACTTCTGACTTCTTGGTTTTGGGCTGTCGCTTGGCCTGCTTTTTAATAACAGCAATTTTTGTATTATGAATGAATAATAATTAAAATCTAAATAAGTATGATAGTAATTTTGTCAAGAAAAATAGCTTATGATGAATTGTCGATATGAACATCACAAAGTTAGCAACTAATTGTAATGGTGCAAAAAATGTGAGGAAACATTGAAATTTTCCAGGATTTCGCAGTTTACATATTTCTTTTACAAAATAAAAATAAATAATACATTTTATCTGATTTTACCCTTTCCTCCGTTATTTTCTGTGTTAATCTTTAAAATGAAAATCAGTTCAATAATTATTGAGTTAATTTTGGGAATACAATACGCGTGGGACAAAAATATGTAATAAATTTGTTTCAACCGCTTCATTATTTCTTAAAGATTGACTAATTTAAACCGTGCTATTTTATTTAACTTTCAATGAAGTTAAACCCATTTTTGAACTTACACGAAGTTAAAAATAAATATGGTTACATCCATAAGTGGTCACGTCATTCCCAGAATGAAAATTTTGCATACAAAAACGGCCTGTGATTATGACTAATAAGAGAAATAATTTGAAACAAAAGTTGGCAGTGACGTGTTTTCGCGAAACAGAACGCGGCGTTTAGTCAGCTTCCTGGATTTGCCAGTGGCTGCATGGCATGGGAACGAACCTTGCAGGGCCTGTCGTAATAAAACGCAGCCTCGGTGACAACAAGCACAACCGAGAACCCGCGTGCAATTGAATATTATTCCTGACAATCAACGTGAGGAATAAAGAAATATTTTCTTTGATTATTAATTGATAAATATACCGCGATTTTTATTCGCAGAGCTAGTGTATATAATTAAGGTAAATTTGAAATATGTCACCGTCGCAAAAGCACCGTTCAAAATTTTGAGACGCAGTTAGCCTTGTTTTGATAACGTACGTGGTCTTAGTTTTATCGCGAGGCTTGAATGACAACAATAATGAAGAAATTTGAATGACACACGTTTTTGGAAAAACCAGATAATAAGTCAATGGACGCAATTGACACAAACATAATTTAGAAGTGAAATAAAATCTAAATCTCTCTAAAACTTGGAGAATATGATCTGAAGAGGTGAAATTTATCTAAAAAATGATTTGATCTGCCGCAAAAGGCATTATAATTAAGATGAAAAATCTGAATGTTAAACTTCCATGAAGGAAGAGAAATATGCTATTCGGGTTAGTCTCATCTGAAATTTTTGGGGAGGTTTCATCAGTGAATTGAGGAAAGTTTACGCTAAGTCATGAAATAATATAATGCATTGTTTTTGTTTAGATAGCAAATAATTAATAATAGCAGTAATTTGAAGAAATGAAATAGGGAAAGGTGGAAAATAAATTATTTAACAATAAACTAATACAATTAAAATTGTCCTTAATAAATACAAGTATTTTAAAGAACGCTAAAATTAATTTAATAAAAATAAATGAAATTAAAATAATTCCAGTCGTGATAATAAATTTTGAATTCTGCTTAATTTTGAGTTTGTGACTCTACACGACGGGTTTTCGTCAAAATGAGTAAAATTTCTAGTGCGAATGGTCACGTATGTACGCAATCATACGCAATGGAGCTGACCACGTTTCTTAGAGGTTTATTTTAACACCAGCTAATTTTCATTTTTTTTTTAAGTTTACATAAATCATATAATTATTTAAGCCTCGTTAGTCGGATTGAATCGAAAGCCCAAGAGCAAGACAGGAAGCGCGCACCGGAAATCAGGGCACCCGAGCGCGTGCCTGCCCTTTGGAGGCATCTTTGTGTGAAAATTCAAAATCTCACCTTGCAGAGAACTTCTACAGGCGTGGACATTTTCTTCTCACTGATCTTCTCGTACTTCTGCTTCTTGGTGGCGGCCTTGAGTCCTTGCCAGGGCAGCGAGCCGCGGTTGAAGTACATGAGGACATAACCTAAGGATTCCATGTCGTCTCGGCGACTTTGTTCAATGCCCAGATGGGCGTTGATGGAAGCGTATCGGGCAGTGCCAGTCAGATTCTTGTCCTCTCTGTAGATAATGTGTTGGCGGGTACGTGAGTCGCGGAACTTCTTGGCCAGCCCAAAATCAATGAGAAAGAGCTTATTGCAGTGGCGCCCTATGCCCATGAGGAAGTTGTCCGGTTTGATGTCCCGGTGGATGAAGCTCTTGGTGTGGACGTACTCAATACGGCCAATCATTTGGTCGGCCAACATCAGGACTGTTTTTGTTGTGAATCGTCTCGAGCAGAAGTTGAACAGGTCTTCTAAGGACGGGCCCAGCAGGTCCATCACCAGGACGTTGAACTCGCGCTCTTGGCCGAACCATCGGATGTGAGGGATCCCGATGCCACCGTGCAGAATTTTGTACAATTTGCTTTCGTAGAGAAGCTGCGGATGCCGCGCTCTCACCGATTCCAACTTGACGGCGACCTCCTCGCCATTGGTGATGTTGATGCCTAGGTAAATGTCCCCGAAAGAACCGCTGCCAATCTTGCGCACCAGCCGGTACTTGGCCCCTACGATGAACTCCTGCTTGCCGGACGTAACTGAAGACATGATCGCGGTGTTTACCCAACTAGTGCATCAATCTTGGATGGGTTAAAAAGCGGCCAAATAACGAGAAATCAATAACTCTTCTACAAAGTCGCCATTTCGTTATTTAACAGCTGGCTTTCCCGTTCTTTACGAAGCTGCTGACAATTTTCCGCTGCCAACATAACAAAGCTAGCACCAAGCAAAAATATTCATATTTTCCTCCTTTAAATGCAGTTTTTACGACATTAAATTGAAAAATAAAACTTTTATTATAAAAATTACAAACTTTTGACAATTTAAAGCAAAATTTACTGAACTATACAGCAAGAATTTTTGTTGTTCAGTTGCAACATTGGTTGCGTTCATGCACGTTCTTCATTTGCGGCGCTGTCGTCGTAAAATGTGCTTTTAGTTTGTAAATCAGCCACCGGTGGCAGCCGTAGACCGTCAGTCAGATTGAAATTTCTCAAAAACATTTCGCAAGTAGATTAATTTTTTATTTTCCAATTTATTTGTGACGCAAGCGAATGATGTCTTCTCTCCACAGGATCAATTGAATTATGCTTAATGCGCCGTTGATATGAAGCCGTCTAAGCTCGAGGCTCGCAGTGGTAACTTCAACAGCACCAAGTTGTTCTAACCAACATCAAACACAACAAAGGCAGATGATCTTTTGCCTACTCCTCCAACATGAGGAATTTTTTTGATCATCTCTGGGCCGCGACCAACCCTGAAGCACTCAAGTGGTCTTGGGACTATTATGTTAATTTTTTCCTCGAAAACAAGGTTTGCATTTGACATGACTAACATTATTATTAATGTGCGCTTATAATGATACATAATTTAGCGACAATCCTTATTCCACGAATTTTGATGATTAAAAAAAATTTTAAAATTTCCAGGCTGTTTTTCTAACACTGCTACTAGTTACATTCCTCATCTCTGCTGTCACTTTGCTGATTAGGAAATGGAAAAACAAAGGTAAACGTTTGCTCAAATATTTTGCACAAAAATATTTTAATATAATAATTATTTATAACAATGCACATCATTGACTAATAATGGATTTAATATCAACAGATTTGATCCCTGCCGAAGTGAAAGAAGTTCTTGGTGTTGGCGGTCGACCAAGGTTCAGGAAAAGAGACAAAGTTCTTTTTTACGGCAGGAAAATGCTCAGAAAGGTTTGTTTTGAATCTGCAAGCGTAATAATGAGCCGGTCTTCTTGAAACTTATTTTTAGGTCACGAGCATTTCGAGACAAGTTCATACGCAGGGAAAAAGAAAGAAATTGATCAAATTTGCTGGTCGATGGCTGCAATTCAAACGAGACACGGCTCCGACCCAACTCAAAGTCCTTGAACCACCCTCTGAATACTTAGAGGAAGCTGTTACAAGTGGCCAGGATGAGCAGAGAGTACCGCTGGATGCACTCTACATTTTACAAAGCATTAGGTAAAATTTATATTTTTTAGCACGTGATAAAATTTAATGGGTTTGAGCTGTTGCTTTTGTTTACTGTTTTGGACATGTGAGTGCACTGCTGATTATTAGTCACTGAGTCAAGGTTGTTTGATAGAAGTCACTTGATTAAACATGAAAGTCGTATGTTGATGCAAACGCATTAGTGTTTATAAAAATAAAGTTCTTCGTTTAATATAAAAATCATACTCAAGGCTAATTTTCATAATAAAAGCGCAAATTCTAAGTGACGTTTATTTGATTTTATAAATTTTCCCATATTTTAATTTTTTTCTCTAATTCTTGCAGAGTTTTTGGCCACTTTGAAAAACCAGTGTTTCTGACTCTATGCAAGCATGTAGACGTTGTTAATCTACATGCTGGGTCGTATCTGTTCAAAATTGGTAAGATAATAAATTAAGATAAAATAAAATAGGAATAATTATTTTATCACAGGTGATCCTGATGAAAATGTGTATGTGGTTCAAAATGGCCTGATAAATGTATACATCACTGGTGGCGATGGCTCGACCCTTACCCTGAAGTATGTGAAGAAGGGAGAAAGCGTCACTTCATTGTTGAGTTTTGTTGATGTTCTCACTGGGCACCCCAGCCCTTACAAGACTGTTTCTGCTAGAGCTGTGGAAGATTCGACTGTCCTACGTCTGCCCGTTTCTGCCTTTCAGGAGGTTTTTCAGGTATGCTTCTGACATGGCTTCCATTTTAAGGCTCAATATTAATGTTTCATTTGTTTAGGAATATCCTGAAACTTTCATAAGAGTAATTCAAGTCATTATGGTCCGTCTGCAAAGAGTTACATTCACCGCTCTTCACCAGCACTTGGGATTGAGTGCTGAACTCGTCAATCCTGTAAGTGCCTAACTACTTAAAAATTATAGATTGCTAATGTACAATTTCCAGGGGATGCACCACCAAAAAAGAAAGACAAGTCCGTTTGTTACGTCTCCTGTGAAGAACAGACAGAGAGACTCGATAGTAATGAGAGACGATCAAGGTATAGGCAAAGTCCCGAGTTTGTATGAAGAGCTTAGGCTAAAGGATTTTTTCTCAGATGAATCAGAAGCTGCCTCAAGCTATTATAATAATAATGATGCCTACCCCTCTAGTCAGCCACTTCCTATATTGAGGCAGCGTCTCTCCAAAACTTCCATAACTTCAATTTCTTCCCACACCCCCGACATGGTGCCTGACCTGGATCCTTCGATATCACCACAGGTATCTATTTAAAATATTAGTGACAGTTTATTATTTTCATTTATGATTTGATTTCTAGCCTCCGCAGTGGAGATTTATGCATTTGTTTTTTGTATTTTGATATTTTAATCATACACTGCCTGCTCACATTTGTAATGATTGTTTCTCAGCCCCCAGATCTTCAGCAAGGTATGCCACGCAGACGCACTGTCCCTGAATTATGTGATGAAGATACATTGATCCAAATTGCCACTGCTGCTTTTGTCAGAGAGCTTGGTCTCGAAGATAGCAAAGTGCTTGATGGAGGTAAAGTTGAACTTCGAGACGTCTCGGCCGGAACTCACCTGATGAAGGAAGATTCTCACAAAGCAAGTTCTAGTCCAGATGCTATTTCATGATTACTAAATATGCACTTTACAGGATGTTGCTCTAATTTACGTGATTTCTGGAACTTTGACTGTGTCGCAAAAAAGCGCAGTCAACCCTCAAATTGATGATGAGGTGCACATGTTCACTGCTCACCAGGGTGAAGTTGTTGGCGGATTGGCTGTGTTAACTGGTGAACCTAGTTTCTTTACAATCAAAGCAAAGCACTTCACTAGAATCGCTCTTCTCTCGAAGAGCACATTCTACAGGTAGACCACTCCAGTTACCACGTTATAACGTGTATTTTTAATCATTGCATATTCTTCCAGTATCATGAGAGAACGCCCTAAGGTTGTTCTCCACGTGGCTCACACCGTTGTCCGCAGGCTTTCGCCTTTTGTCAGACAGGTTGATTTTGCCTTGGACTGGGTCTTTCCTGAAAGTGGTCGTGCACTTTACAGGTAACACTTCTTTAAATAAGTTGCTACAAGGCTAATTGTAAATTATTCAGGCAAGGAAATGAGTCAGATTGCACATATATTGTTTTAAGTGGTCGTCTGCGTTCTGTTATTACCCACGCTAACGGCAAGAAGGAGCTTGTCGGAGAATACGGCAAAGGAGACTTAGTTGGCATCGTAAGTTAAAAACAACTCTAAGTCAATGTTAAACTTTTCAATTTCATTATCATAGGTTGAAATGGTGACCAAAACTAAAAGAAGCACAACAGTTATGGCGGTTCGAGACACAGAACTTGCAAAATTGCCGGAGGGTCTTTTCAACGCCATCAAGCTCAGATATCCTATTGTTGTGACGCGCCTTATAAATCTCCTTGGTCACAGAATTTTGGGTAGGTCTCTTAAATATACTATGAATTACTCTGATGAATTTTATTCTAGGTTCCTGGCAGAAACCTACAATTGGTCGAGCAATTGATACAAGACCGACACAAGTAAATCTTTCAACTGTGGCAATCGTCGGAATTTCAGATGACGTGCCACTCTCGTCATTCACCTATGAATTGTTTCACGCGCTCTCTGCCATCAGCAACGTCTTTGACTTCCCAAAGGATCCTTTCAATACTCACTCAGGCCAGTGCTTGCGTCTGACTTCGGAGGTCATTCGAAAGTCACTTGGCATGTCCATTCTTGACCCGAATAACGAGTACCGCCTTACTTCATGGCTGGCCCAGCAAGAGGATCAGCATCGCATTGTTTTGTACCAGTGTGACAACACTATGACAGCGTGGAGTCAGAGGTGCGTGAGGCAAGCAGATTGCGTTGTGATTGTAGGTCTCTTTGAGCGTGGCCCAGCTGTTGGAAAGGTAAATTCATTTTGTCTTGTGTATACTTCTTTATTTATTTTATGTTAACATTTCATTGTATCTGAATGGAGAATAAATAAATAAATAAATAAAACAGATGGAAAAAGAGGTTGAGAGACTTGGCATGCGGACACAGAAGGAATTGGTTCTGCTCCACAAAGAAGGTAGCTCAAAACCTAAGAACACTGTTGAGTGGCTCAACAACCGCACTTGGGTGTCACAGCATCACCACCTGATTTGCCCCAAGAGAATGTTTTCCAAGAGATCACAAAGTCAAATTGTTTGTTAATTTAGATGATCTATTTTTTGAAATTTCATAAATATCTGATGTCAGGCTGAGTTGTACAGTCGGATCATGGTAACGCCGCCAGATATCCACTCGGACTTTTCTCGCCTGGCTCGTTGGCTCACTGGAACATCAGTTGGTCTTGTCCTTGGAGGAGGAGGTGCTCGGGGAGCCGCTCATGTTGGAATGATCAAAGCAATTCAGGTATATTTGCAGCATATATATTTTTTGTTTAGTAATTTTTCTGATTAGGAGTCCGGAATTCCTATCGATATGGTCGGTGGTGTGAGTATTGGTGCCTTCATGGGTGGACTATGGTGTCTTGAGCGAGACATGGTCACTATGACTCAAAAAGCAAGGGAATGGTCAAAGGTTAGCGTTTAAATACCAAAAAGCTTATTTCGTTGGCTCTAAAAAATAAATTTTAACCTCCCAGAAAATGACCAGTTGGTTCAAGCAACTGCTAGATTTGACTTACCCAGCCACCTCTATGTTCACTGGCGGTGGCTTCAATGAAACTATTAAGGGAACATTTGGAGAAACTCTCATCGAGGACCTCTGGATTCCTTACTTCACCGTAACAACTGACACTTCCGCGAGTGCGCCTCGAATTCACACACATGGTATGAGTTATTCTTTCTTTTAGGCTTTTTTACACAGTTTAACTAGAGTTACAAAATTTTTGGATATACCTTGGGCTATGGACTTCTGCGCTTGTCGTTGCAAGCTGAAATCTGCTGTTTATCCAAAATTATTTAAGGTTACTTGTGCTCAAATCGACTGAGATGCAATTAAAGATAATGTGTACAGAGTGACTTGACAAATATTAAAATAATCTTTGATTGCGATAGGTTTCAGTCAATCACCTTTTGATGAATTTTTTAACTGAAGCCTATTATCCTCCATCAATTCCTGCATTATGCTTTGCATCTCATGCTTTTACCATAAATCGACTGATCCTCAATCACCCTAATCTTATTCATATCACCAGTCATTGTACACACACATACACTCATTAGTCGTTTGTCCACAACAAAAATGTTGGGTTCAAAAGGGGTAATTATTATTAATTGTCATTTTACCACCGTGGTCTTTTGCATGGCAGCTTCTTTTCCTTCCTGCTTAATAATATTGAAATTTAATCACAGTCTGGTGTGTGGTGGTTTTAATTTTTTATTGCAGAATCCACACCTTTGAAGGCCTACTTAGTACATTATAATTTTAATTTTTAATTTAAACTACGAAATATACCTAAATACTCCTTCAAAAGTGGGAATTTGTGTGGGAGGAATTTTTTAGGTACCAGCTTGACACTTTTGATATAAAATAATGCCAACATATGGATTTTTTCTCGGGACTTTGATTTGTGTGTTAATGGGTTTGATAATTTGGAAATGATAAACAGGATCTTTGTGGCGTTATATTCGGGCCTCAATGTCACTCTCTGGCTACATGCCACCATTGTGTGACCCCAGTGATGGACACTTACTGCTTGACGGAGGCTACGTCAACAACCTGCCAGGTAAAACTGTTCCATTGATGTCTCAGAAAAACCAGAACAAATTATTTTTGAATCAAAATATGGGTCCTAAAATTGCAATCCTACATGGCTTGCAACCATAAAAGCAACAGCAATATTGCAAACATTTATGTCATTTTTGATTGTGGTAGTAATTGTGCAGTCTGTTGATGAGCGATTGAGTTGAATGTGCATGTTTTAAATTTAGTTGTAGTATTGCGGAATTCTTTGGAATTCTTCAGGTGGTAGAAATTTTATTAGTTTTGGCACTTAATTTTCTATCTCTCTCTCTCTCTATCTCTTTCCTCATTTCCTTTCAGTTTAAACCCGACATTGTCCGACACAATAATAGACTTCAGGTTTTACAAAATTAGCACAAGTTAACAAAATTTTGCTTTTCAAAAATTGTATTTCAATCATGAAAAATGTTTTATATTGAGAGACTTAGATTTTTCGCAATGGTGTTGTTCTAATTTGTGAACACAGGACTCTTTTGGAGATATTGCCGTGCCAGTATGTCAGTGGCAGGAATATTTCCGCCCGTTTGTGATCCAATTGATGGACACTTGCTACTAGATGGTTGTTATGTCAACAACGTTCCAGGTATGAAGTTGCAGACATATAAGCACAGTCAAATTAATTGGATATCTCTATGTGTTAGCTGCATATAGCAAAGCTTGTACCCCTTTTCTGAGAGTGCCCTGATAATTTTTAATCCCCTATATACACATGTTCTTCCTTTTTTTTATCTGTAAATTACACTTTTTGTTTTTAGCCAAATTTACACAGTTGCTTCTTGTATGGATGAATTATCTTTTTAATATATTTATTTAATTTGCATTCTTTGCACTTATATCAAATTTATTACTCTATAGGCGAAGCAATTTTAGAACCCATGGATATTCTCCTCCGCTGTTTAATTTGGGAACTCTATACATTTTCTTCTGAATCTAAGTTATTTATTGAAAAGGACCCTCAAGCGCAAGCAAAAGAATTTATTCACTTTTGCTTGTAGCTTTCAGTGTGATAGGGTATAATTTAGAGAGACAAAAGCCCAACTAGCATTTATTATCCAGACAACTTTAATTTACATCTTTTTTAAATAATTTTGCTGTAAAGCCGACGTAATGAGGAGCCAAGGTGCAAAGCATATTTTGGCCATTGATGTTGGCTCTCAAGACGACAAGGACCTAACTAACTATGGTGACACCTTGTCTGGCTGGTGGCTTTTGTGGAAAAGGTGGAATCCATTCACATCGCCTGTCAAAGTACCTAATTTGCCAGACATCCAGTCAAGATTGGCTTATGTTTCTTGCGTCCGTCAACTTGAGGTGAAATTTTCAAGACATGAAAAATTTTTGTTTTTTAATATATATGTTTATTTATTTCTTGGCAGGAGGTGAAAACTAGCGATTACTGCGAGTACATTAGACCTCCCATAGATAGGTACAAGACATTGCAATTCGGCAGCTTTGATGAGATCAAGGTTTGTAATTTTGTCTACAAATTTTTTAATTAAATTTTCAATATTTTTTGCAGGATGTTGGCTACCTTTGTGGGAAGACTTACTTCGCTGGATTACTGAAGACCGGAAGCAATTTACCCTTCACAGGCAACAGAGCCGAAGAGGTTGCATCTTGCTCTTTGAGCGCTGTCCTCAGTAGTCGAAATTACAACAAGAAAATCATGCCAGAGGCCAGTCCCCATTACACATTTACTGATCTGGCACAAATGGTGTGCAAAGAGCCCAAATATGAGGACGAAGGTAAACGTGGCAAGACCCTAGACCTTCAAAAACTAAAAATTTCTACTCTAGAGTCGTCAAGTGATGATTATTACGAGGATGATGATGACACAGATCAAGAAGCCCAGGTCGGAGGTTATGTGTCTGAGCCAACTGTAGGAACCTCCATGAAGCAGTCACGTGGCAAAGGCTATTCCCTCTCTGACAATGAACTTGATGGAGAGGAGTCTGAGACCGAGTATAGAAGAATGGGTATGTGCAATATAAGAAGAAAATAATATAGCCCTCTGTGGTCTGATGCTATTTTTAAATTTAGATTGAAGGACCACTACTTGCACAACTCAATAATTATTTAATCTCATCTAAACTCAGATAACTGGAACTGTCAAGACTGTGAAGAGATGTCAGTTTTATAATGTAAACCAAGTTTTTTTCTCCTCGTGGGCTGAAGTTATTTTTAATAGGATGTTTAGCTACTTTCCAAACTAGAGACTACTCTTCTATTTTGATGATACCTATTAAAGACATTTTTTGATTATATTGTTCCCTTTGAGCACTAACCACTTAAAACCCTTCAAAGTTTGCCTTGATATGTTGTTTGTTTTTTAAGAAAAAATTTAAAATCAAATTTTGTGCCATGAATTTGGATTGTTTTTCGAAGGTTGTGTTCAAGCCAGGTTTCCTGAAATAAAACGTTTAATGCCAAAGATTGTAGTACTTGCGTTTTCCTCTATCATTAATCATTATTATCAAAAAAAGGTCAAGTAAAATAAAAATTTTTTTGTTATAAAACTGATTTTATCTCTTTAATCCAGTAAATATATCTTTATAATACAGCGTTGAAAATAGTGGAGTCATAAAGATTTAATTCGTAATCACCAGAGTAAATGGCTAAATAAAAATAAAGCTCGTTTGCTTACAATGACACTCGAGTTACATTTTGCTTGATTCTCACTTAACTAAGCTTTGAGTATGGGAGCGAAATAAGTAGGATAACAAAAATATAGGCAATTATAATCATAGAAAAATTATTACAACTATGTAAGAAAGGCACAAGTAGATTCATTTTTTATACATAATATATAGAGGCACTATTAATCAAGATTGCATTAGTTCTTTAGACGAAAATTATACATGAAATATCAATGAGGCTTTTGCCTCATGGTTTCAACTTCTTGCCTTGTGCGGTTAAATGCTTGTGTTTTCACAAAATCAACAGTGTTGTATATTGTTGGCGGGCCTAGTGAAAGAGTGCTCTTGCTAGGCTTGTTCCTGGGAGAGCTGAGAGTTCCATTTGCCGATCCTCCCATCTCCATGTCAAGATCCAAATATTTCAATTTGTCAAAGCCTCTGTTAGATGGGACAAACTTGTTGTTCACAATGTGGAAAAAGTTCTGAAATTTGAAATTTGGGTACTTTTATTAATAATATCACAATAAAAATTGAATAAAACTTACTTGTTCCTCGTCGGAATCGTCCGAGTAGGAATAAGCAGGGCAAAAAGTGCCAACAGGACTCTTTGGCATTGTCCCAGGGGGCGTAGGGCTAGGAGCAGCACGCTGCTTCCTAACTGATCTGCTGTCCGACTGTGCCCGATGCATTGGAGGAGCAGATAACTTAAATCCTGCCAAGATGTTAACATTAGGAAATAATATATCATAACAGAATGTTGTGAAATATTACCATTTAGCTCTGAATTTGGACTGTCTGGGACTCTCCTTATGGGTTTTAGACCTCGATTCACATTTGGTGGTGGTACAAAGGGACTCGGAGAGGTTTCACAGGAAGTTGAGTCGGAAACTTTCCTGCCTGGTTTCAAGTCCCTGTGTACCGACGGTGGCTGCGTTGCCGTTGAGTCTCCAGCTTTTAGCAGCGCAGGGCTTGGCAAGTTTGAGTAGAGAGTAAAAGAAGATTGGGAACCGTTGTCAGACTTGGGAGTCGATGGCTCAATTAAGCAGTCAGCAATCTGCGACGTGTGTATGTGGTCATCCAAGTTGAAGTCATATTGGAAAACATTTCCGTTTGGATTAGCCGACGCATTGGAGTAACAGTGCTTGGGGCCTCGAGACTCGGACAACACCTGGTGAGATCGAGGGAAGTCGTACATGTCATCAGTGATCACTTCCACCTGCTCGGGAGGAGAACTCTTTGACGGCTTGGTAGGAGCGCAGTTTTTGTTCTCCAAAACTGATTCGATGTTCAAGTAGCTGTGAGACGGAATGTCTACAAAATGCGCTGGCTTTGGCGGACGAGGAGGCGCCTCATCTATTTGTCCGGTTATGACCCTGCTGAATCGCTTAGCAACAATTAACGACGCTAAGTCGGCTGAATTAGGATTTTCTTCGGTTGACGCTTCCGAGCTCTCGGACGCCCTCTTGCTGTTAATTTCAGACATACTGTCCCGTGGAAAGGTGTTCCAGTTTACAGACGGTGCTTGGCTCAGGGTCCATTCGTCGGCAAACACGTCATCCTGCATGCCCTGTCCAAGCGAAATGCTGTCTTGTTCGTTGACCGTCAATTTACGCGGCATGTCATAAAAATCGTCAGCCGGTATATCAGACACTTTGGGCACCGACTGAGAAAATTTTGTCGGTTTCTGCGAGCGAATGAACTGTGTTTGTTCAGCACGGGTGCGTATTTTTCGATCCGAAGTCAGATTGTCGATTTGAGCTTCCATTTCTTTTGTCAGCACTCCGGGTGGTGGCTTGCCAGAGTAGCACTCGCTGATGAATATGTACGGCGTTGATGCTGAGCTCGGACTTGTTGGTGTTGTCACGTCTTGGTTCTCGAAACTCATTTCCATGGGAGAGAAACTCAACTCTTCAACTTGCACTGATCCATCTATAAAATAAAATAAAAGATTAATGAGAAAAAAAATAAACATTAAGAGTGGAAAAAGACACCATAAAACAAAGAAAATGGAAATAGAATGAATACTTTTTTTCCAAAATTATATTATTTATTTTGAATTTCATGCAAACTATTAGAATTAAAAACATTCATATATATGCAACACTTAAGAGATTCAAATCCCATACTTACAACTAGTTTCTGTAGCGTCGATTTCTGCTTTCAGTCCACATATTCTGCAAATGCACTCAACCCATTTGTCCATCTCAACTTTCGAGTCAGCAGCCAGGTAATATGTCCTATGTGGTGTTTTGAGATCAAACAGATTCTCTCTGCACTTCACTCTCAAGTGATCCGGGCTCTCAATGCCAGCATCCACCTAAAGCGACAAAATTTTTGTTAGCTAACTTCCTTGCTCAAAGACTTTTTGATTCAAACAAACCTGCTCGCATTGGTCCAAGTCTATTTTTCCTTTCAACTTAAAACACTTTTTGTCGGTGTAGTACTCAAGGAAATACTGTCCCGGTAGGTCTCCCTGACGAAGGACAAACCATCGTCTTCTCCACCTCTGCAAAATACATATTCGACATATTCAATAAAAGGTCATATGTATATGTTAGAGTGCGTTGTTGCACTGTGTCTTAAATGCGATTTACAAGTTTATGAGACATTGGTATGTAAAATGTGAGACACAGCCAAAAAGGTTGTGTTTTGGTAAACAAAGCTGAGCGAGCGTTTGGACGACGACGCCTGTGGGCAAATTTAATTATAATTAGCAATGTGACCATTCGTAATTATGTCCCAGTTGACGACGCAAAACATAATAAGTGCCTCTTCCAAACAAAGCGCTCGACTTTCCTTATTGCCCCAGTTAAAATATTCATGAGTTCTCGCTGGGAGAGCGAATAATTATATTATCAAATTTTTGTAAAAGTGTCACTAAAACGCAATCTGTAAAAAGAGGAACCAACATGTGAACGAACTGACTCGGGATAAGTGATGCAAAAGCAAATCAGAGTCACAAGATATGGTTAATTAATTGCGTTCAATACCATTGCTCGCTCGACACAAAGTGCAGATTATGCATTCACTTACGCTGACGGCTCGCCACAATCTCTGGGTCGGGGGTGACTTGGTCAGCCACCCCTCGTGGACGATCTCATTTGAATGTCGCTTGGACATTGTAAAATGTCCCTAAGACGACCACTAATCAGGAATTTCAGCTCAAATTACTGCGTAATCCTTGTGTCACTTGCGACCATACACCTCTAAAATGGTAATCGCCATCATTTCTGTGATTGAAAAACAACGGCTGTGATTGGCTGTTTCTTTAGAAACAGACGATTATTCCCATGGGAATATACCGGTTTTTTTAAGAAATAACTGGATTCTTATAAGCATTGCTTTAATGACGAACGCGAGGTTTTTAACTGCGGTTTTTAATTAAAAAGTATAAAAACCGGTATAATTTCAGCAGATGAATAAAATGTAAAGTGCAAATGCAAAGGCGGAGACATTTAAATGTTTTGTTTACAACCTGCTGAGTTTTCAGTCTGAGGTCACGTTTTTGCTCTTTGATTGTTAATAAATTTTATTTTATAGTTCATATATTCGTTATTAGTTTTGTGTTTTTAATTAAGCATTATCATACGTAAAAATGGCCAAGCCTAGACCTTGTGGATGCAAAGGAATTCGAACCTGCTTAATTTGCGAAGTCGAGTTCGGCGCCGCTAATCTGCAAAAAGAAGATGATTTTGAAACCGCCATCAAGGTTTCAATTTTTTTATTATCAAATGCAAATGTTCGGACGTAATGCTTTTTTCTTTGTTTTACAGGAAGGGAATTCTTTTGTCTACTGTCCAAAATGTCCCGGTAAAGCATGGTCTGGATGGGATGAAAATCAAGTTGTACAGGAGCATCCAAATCACCTTGGAGAATCTGTTGATTTCCCAGGAATTTACATCCATGTAAATTTTATCATATAGTTCCCACTATGAAATTTACATTTTTCTCATTTGAATTTAGGAGGACTTTTTAACAAAGGAGGAAGCAGAAATTTTAGTTCGTGGAATTGACGACACTCCTTGGGACCTTTCACAAAGTGGTAGAAGAAAACAGGTTATTATTAACCATAGTTTTTACTTGCATACACAATTATAAATTTCTCTATTAACAATATAAATTTTTACTGCAGAATTTTGGGCCCAAGTGTAACTTCAAGAGGCAAAAAATTGCAGTGGGAAGCTTCGGTGGTTTTCCTGCTTTTTCCCTTTTTGTGCAAGAAAAATTCAAAAAGGTGCCAGTGATGGATGAATTCCAGAGCATAGAACAGTGCACACTTGAGTACAATCCTGATCGCGGTGCTTCAATTGACCCCCACATTGATGATTGCTGGATCTGGGGCGAGAGGATTGTGACTGTGAACGTGTTAGGTGACAGTGTGCTTACAATGACGTATCTCCAGGAGAAAGACCGCTGCCGTTACAATTTACCCTTGGCACCAGATTTGTATTTGAATTTTGACGAAAGCCTTGTTAGAAAAGTTGTGAGAATTCCGATGTCTGTGAGGTCGCTACTTATTATGACAGGACAGGCTCGATATCAATGGGAGCACAGAATTTTGAGAGAGGACGTAAAGGAACTAAGAATCTGTTTGGCTTATAGGGAATTTACGCCTCCATACCTCAAGGGTGGTGATAAATTTGGTCCTTTGATTAACAAAATTTATGAATTGGCTTCATGTGGTAGAGTTTAATTTTGGAATGTTACTATGTGAGGAGTCTTGTAAAAATGAAATTCATAATTTTTATTAAGTTTGTATATTTTGTTACTTTGTTTCATATTTATTTTACATCCAAATATAAACTTTCAAATTTTTCAAAGCTTAATAAATAATTTTATTCCATCAAAACAAATTCAGATTTTTACAGAACCTGTAAATAGTAAAATGCATAATGGCATTTGACAGCAAAGAAATTTACAATTATTATATCACAATCATCAATTTACGTCATCTAAAAACTACATTAGAAATGGACAAAACTTTGCATTGCTTTGAGTAAAATCATTTCCTAATGCAAATAAACAATTAATGAACAAAATGGCAAATGAGAAGCAAAAAAGTTGTTGGCACAAAATGTTAGGAAACAGACAATTAAGTATAAACAAAATTAAAAAGCAAAAAGCTTTATAGACTGCCAATGTCGTTGAACCTTTTGAGTTTCTCTGGGAATGGATCCTTGTAGAGCACAGGGTCAGCTCTGAACTCCACAGACTTGAGTGGCATTGACCCGTAAATTGAGGCAAACCTGTCTATGCAGTCCGACCTCTCGGCCATGTGGCTCAAGTCTGCAGAGAGCATTTCGGTGTTGGTGCACTCAGGGCACTTGAACTTCTTCCTTGGTGTCACTTTGATTGGCGCTTTGCCAGACATGTTGGCCACCAAAAAGTTCATGGCGATGTCCTCGCAGTTCATGTGGTCGTCGACCCACTCCTTGATGTTCCCAGGCATCAAATTTGTGTATGCATAGCTCCAATATTTGTGGTGGAAAGCAGCGCCCGTCAGCACCAAGCTTATTTTGTTTGTCCACTCCGACTCATACCTCCACTTGTCCACCTCCTCATCCCAAATGTGGGTCCGAGAAGGAAATCCAACAATTCTGTCTGGAAACTCTCTCCAGACTTCATATCCAAACTCTATTTCGTCAGTGGTCAGCATGACAATGTCGTCGTCTATGGTCAAAATTGCTTCTGTCTCTATTTCTGGGTGAGGATAGAATCTGTTTGATAATTTATTGCTGCTGGTGCGGATGACTCGGAAGGGTTTATTGATGCGTGGCCAGTGAGATGGAGGTGGAGGAGACTTGTGCTGGTTGTTCCACAGGACAATGATTTTGGTCAAGCTGGGCACGACGGACAGTTTGTTGATCAGAGTAAAGAGACTCTCAATGCGATCATAGGTTAGGATGACCGCGGTGAAGCCGTGCGATTTTGGTGCCGTGATCGGCAGAATGAGCGGATTTTGCGACGAAGTGTTGGTTGGGGCTGTGTTCCAGTCATAGTAGTTTCTTGTGTTGTGCGTGAAAATTCTGTCCTCGATGATCGAGAGTGTGGTTATGGCAATCTGACCCAGACTAGAGAGGTACTGCTCATACACCCAGCGTCCTTGTTCCTGCAGTTCCAATCTCTTTTGTACAGAGATGCTGCTCACCTTGAGAAAAATGCTGCTGAGATCGCTCTCGGGCAAAAATATGGCCACTCTTTTCCAGTCTATTACCTCCTGAAACATAAAAACAAAATAAATATTAAATTCAATAACTTTATTGATTTTTTGAAGTGAATTAAGTGAACATTAAATAATAAAAACATTTTAATTTACTTCAATGCAAGTAAAAATTATGCGATATATAGGAATAGAAGAGGGAAAATTAGTTTACCTGGAAGGGCATAATCATCGTGTCCGCCACAACCACAGGTATGCATCCTGCAGACATGGCTTCGAGCAGTGCAGGCTGAGCCAGTCTAGCGCCTCTAATGACTGCGCAAAAGTGGGCCCTGCGCAGTATTTCAGGGTACTGGTACACATCCTCACCGCTGCACCTATGAGTAGAATTGGAAACCAACTCGCTGCACGGCCTGAGAACCAACATCTTGGCCGGTTCTTGAGCTGCGACGGCCTCCAACTGGTTCTGGTACTCGTGGTGGATATTGATCTGCGGAGAAATTAAGAGCCACGGTCTATCCTGCAAAGGGTCGACCGGCAAAGGTAGGGCGAAAGGACTGAAGATAGGGATAGAAATGTCAAAGCCTGGCTGATAAGTCCACGAGTCAAATCCAGCACCAGCAACGATGGCTCTGCCGAGGGCCAGTTCCACGACGGTGTTGTATTCAGGTGCCACTCCAGGGACCATATTAAATATAAGGTGGTTTTCTCCACCATTTCCCCAAAAGGGTAGGGCATTCAGTGCTGCAGAGGTCTCGTGAGGTCTGAAGCGGTTCTGGTTGAAGGTGTCTATGGACGGGATGAGGATGCAGGCCTTCGAAGGGTCTGGTTCGTAAAATTTGCTTTTGAATATTGCGTCCAAAAGATCAAAATACTCTCTGGAAGGTTGAGCTGAGATGGGGATGCCTTCAGAGTCTAGGTAGCGCCGCGGAGGGTAGATGTACACCTTGAGGCTACTGCCATGGCCGCACCGATAGATATCCAAACAGGTGTGGTGCGTACACTCCTGACGGAAGAGCAAGAACTTGCTGCCGTTGTTGAAGGGCAGGTGCTCCTCAGGTGGATAGGCGTAGTTTTGCAGGGTCAGCTTGGTGAAGATGCCGTTGGGCTCGCTCTTGATCGTGTGGATTATGCTGAAAATTAAAGCTGCCAAGAAAAATGAGACGACGATCAAGAGCAAACACGCTGCTCCTAGGGCGTACTTTGAGTACACTGCCGTCTTCAGCCACCTTTGCAGCGGCTTCTGCTGCAGAAACGCGCTCAGCGTCATGTTAATGGGCTCTACGCAGTATTCATTTTTTGTTATTTCCAGGCTTCTTGGATATTCAACCGCCCAACTCCGCAGCACCCGCGAGGCTGTATGAAAATGCGATCATATTAAAAACACATAAGATATAAAAGATACGTAACGCATATATAGGATAAATAAATTAAAATTATTATTATGAAAATAATTTCCAATTATTGATATTATCAAACTGATACATTTCGTGAAGAGTTACCTTTTCCAAGGTTTATATTTTTGTTCTCCAAACAACCCACAACTTATGAACTTAGGGGTGGGCTGGGCAAATTTTTGGGAGGGGCGCAGGCGCATGTTCTCTCACATGTTTATCCCCACCCCTTCGACTAGCCCAGAGCCCATTCCTGCCTGTTTCCTTGTTTACAAAAATTACGAGAAAGAAAACAGAATTGCAGACAATTGCAGATGAACAGCACGGAACCGGCGAAAAAAATTTGATATATTTTTTCAAGAGTAATTTTTTTATTATTGCATCAATTTCTAGAATCTCCTAATATATTTTGCATATTTTGTAATATCAGAGAAAAAATCATTTAGAAAATGGCAAACAGTCGCTTGGAAAGAGTCGGAACAATTTACACAAGGTTTGCTTTTAATAAAATAAATTTTTCCACGTGCATGTAAATTGAAATTTGTGCGATTTTAGAATTAAGGGACTTCTTAAGGCAGGTGCTATGCGTCCAGTAGACAGACCTATGTGGTATGACATCTATGAAGCATTTCCACCAAAAAATTTAGCTCCCATACAGAGCAAGGAGCCCCTTCGTCAAATTTTTTACGCAGAGGATGAGATCAGAGCGTGAGTACTTACGTTAATATTTACGTTTAAATGTAAAAATATTCCTTTTAAGGAGATACCACAAGGAAAAAGTTACAAGTGAAACAATCAACCTTGCGGACAGGCAGTACCAAACTAAGTGTCAGCAATTCATTAGAAAATACCAGGAATTGCAAGCAGAAAATCCTGAAAAAGAGCCTGACGAACTGTACAGCTTGACCTTGGAAAACGTCAAGTTACAAGCCATCAACCCGGAAACAACCAAAGAACACACAATTGAACTTGGAGACTCTTCGCTTGCTGCATCTTTCAAGAATGCGTTCAATCCCAATGAAAAGAGAAGGCGAGGGAAAGTAAATATAGCTGAAATTGTGAAGGATGAGTAAAAATTCTGATCTAGAGGGATTTTATTAAATGTAGCTTGTTTAATAGAAACAATAAAGTGAATTTGCCAAGATTATATTCATGCCTATTTTTTTCGCATTTCAAATTTCTCTCAACAAAATTTTCAATTCCATCTCACATTTATTAACGATTTAAAAAATTAAAAAATTTTTCTTTTACTTATTTTAAAAGAAGTTCAAGATTGTTTTAACTTTTTATTTTTAAATATTCATTTTTTTCTCGTCAGTACTGCAGCAAAACTTTTTTCCTTGAATACATTGGCACTCGATTGAAGAAATCGGCACTCCAGGCGACAACTATGGAAGTGAAGAAAACGGACTTTGTCTCTGTTGAAAGAATTATATTTATTAAAAGAAACAAAAGCGGCTCTACCAGTGCCATTTGCATTCTGCGACAGTTGCTGACGAGACAGCGTGCTGACTATATAATACAAGATACAGTTTTCTTCACTTCCAGAATTTTGCGCATTAGATTAATGTTTCCAAAAGTCAAAATTCGGTCAATGTAGTTTCTCTTGTATTTCTTAATTTTGCTGAAATCCAAGAACTTTGCATACAGCTTTTGAAATATTTTACAAAAAAAAATACAGTTTTTTTCAACTGCCTAGACAGTAAAATTTTAAAAATAAAATGTCATTTATAATAAAAAATGATAAAAAACTTGCTTTTTATAGTATCATAAAACTATGATGAAACTGATGAAAGCTTTGCGCCACTGCAGTATAACCAATAAATTTATTTATTGGAATTATTTTGTTCATTTTTTTTTTTTATTATTAATTATTTTTTTTATAGAACAAAATGCTGCACCTAAACTGCGGGTTTTTTACTTTTATTAGTACATTTACACATCTTCACTCTTCAATCAAAAATTCTTATTTGTCAAATTTCTGTTGATAAAAAATCTGGAAAAAATATATTTATATTTTTTTTATACATTGATTGATTTTGAATAAAAATTATAATTTGGGGCCACGCCCATATATATCTGCATGTTGAGAGACTCGTGTTAGATTAATATAAATAAGTGGTTTCTTTTATATGTATCATAGAGTGCTACACTTTTTGATCTTGGTTTGAAAACAAAGTAATAAATTTTGTAAATTTATCAGCAAGTCGCAAAATGCAATTATTTGCCGCGAGAGATAATTTGAAATAACCAATCAGGGGACTTGGAATTCTACCTCCCCCCTCCTTAATAAGACAAAACCAGACAAAACAGCAGAAAAGTAAACATCTCAGGAAAAAGGACCATCAGTAAACACATTGAACCGAGAAATTCGCAATTTCGCAAGCAAATTTTAAACTCGTCATTCTGCTTCTGTGCTTCTTAGAAATATCCAAATATCAACAACTACAATAACGTTATAACTTTCTGCATCGAGGATTTTTCAAAATGACCAGCGTGAGTTTACTATTCCTAAAAGTTTGACTAACAAAATCTTGTGATTTTTGACAAAACTTGATCGCATTATTGCAGAAGATAGAAAAAGTTGTCAACATCTACAAATCTATAACTCGGTTTCCAACCCCAAGCTCTGCTGAAATATTAAAAAGAGACCAATATGGATTTTCCCTCATCACGAAATGGACACAAAATAATTTTGAAACAGGAAAGAAAATTTCCAGCCAACAAAACTTCCATGTCAACCTGTCTCCAGCTCTAAAAATTACCGCTAATCCTGCTGTTGAAGTGAATGAGTATGGGGAGAAAATATTTAATTAAAAAAAAAATAAAAAAATGCATTTTGTGCAATAAAATCAATATTATATATTTTGCAGAGTCTTGAGCTCTTTGTCACCTTGTGGTTCATTTAAAGCCGTAATTAAGGAAGCTGTGCCTGCTTCGTCAACGTCGACAGCATCATCAAAGCAGCAATTTTTAGAAATTTGGAACGAGAGTCTGTTGGTACTCAACTGCAACTTGTCTAGCCTTGATATACACGGAAGTGTCTATTCGGAAGGTATTTGGAATTATTGAAGTTGTTTTTTTTTTGCTGTCAAATTATTTGTTAAATTCTATAAATTATTGTTTTACTTTCATATGAACATTGAAAACATACATTTTTGCAGCTGACTTTGCTTCCCTTGTATGGTCTCCTTCTGGAGACAAAATAGCTTACATTGCTGAACAGAAAGTGCCAAAATCTGATTCTTTCTTGCCCTTGAAAAAGAAGCCAGAAGATGACCAAAAAGATGAAAAACCTCCTCAGGTAATTTTAAATAGAAAAATAAAAAACGAACAGTTTATGATAATTTATTGTTTTCAGGGACAAGCAAGTATTTACCGTCCAGATTGGGGTGAGCAAATGGTAGGACGTCATCAGCCAGTGGTGGTCGTGTGTGACGTGAGCTCTGATGCCAACCCGAAAGTCCTTGCTGGTGTCCCAGAAGGCCTCTCTCCTGGTCAATTGTGCTGGCGTTTGGACGGAAAGTCTATTTTTGGAGTTGCATGGAAGAGCGAACCTCGTCGGCTGGGTCTCATTTATTGCACCAACAGAGCTGGATTTATCTTTGAATTGGGACTTGACGGATCATACAGTATGAGAGGATGGAAATTTTAATCAAAAAATTACTTAATTAATTGACATGAAAATTTCAGAAACCATAACTGATGGAAATACTGCAGTTCGCTCTCCAAAATGCAGCCCTGATGGAAAAACACTTATATGGCTAGAGCGCAGTGTTGGAGGACCTCATCACAGCGGAATGAAACTTATGAGCAGTGATTTGACTGGAAACAATGTAATTTTAATTATACAAAATTATTCCTTCCCATAACACAAATTTGTTTTTAGAAAAATATTATTGTCGATTTAGTAGCTGAAAGTGAAACGCTTTCGTGCGGGCTTCCATTTTACGGACTCTACTGCTCTGGCCTTTTGAAAAATTGCTGGTTAAATGGAGGAAAAAAGTTGGTTGTAAACAACTGTCATAAGGAGAGACTGGTTCCTTTTGTAGTTAACTTAGGTTTGTTAATACACTTGTGTAGATATATTGATATATGGTAATTAAAATATTTTTATCACTCCAGCTACAAGAGCTGTTGAATATCTGGACCCCATACAGCCCAGCGAGGTCAGCCGAACTATCTTGACTGTTCAAGACGATTTTGTCGTTTACACGGAGAGCTCCATGACCTCTCCAAGCAATATTTTCCTTGCTGAGCTCACTTCGGAAGGACGATTAGCAAACGCCCAGCCGGTCAGTAAAATTTTGGCACCACCTGAAATCCAAAACTTTGAATACAAGTGCCTTGATTTGGAAGCACCCGGAGGAAAACCTGGCAGTGAGTTTTATATTTACCAAGATTTTATTTGCGAAAAATTTTCTTTATTAGGCAGATTCAATGCAATTTTCTTGGGCCCCAAATCTGTGACTGGGAAAATTCCTCTCATCGTCTGGCCACACGGAGGTCCTCACGCAATGTTTGCTAACAACTTTATGGACGCCGCTGCATTTTTCTCGCTTTTAGGTAAAGAGTTTAATAAAATTTGTGTTATCACTTATTTTTAAATTTCAAGGTTTTGGGTGTCTCATGGTCAATTATCGAGGCTCTGTGGGATATGGCGAGAACAGCGTGTTGTCCCTTGTAGGAGGCGTTGGCAACAACGATGTTAAGGACATGGACCAAGCTGTCGTGCAGGCTCTCAAAGAAATCCCTCACTTGGACAGAGATCGTTTGGTTTTGTTCGGAGGATCCCATGGTGGATTTCTTGTGACCCATTTGAGCGGGCAGTATCCAGTAAGAAAGAAAAGTGAAATACAAAGACGTAGTGTATTAAATTAAATTATACTTTCAGGAGAAATATAAGGCTGTTGTTGCCCGAAATCCAGTCATTGATATCACCACTATGTTGGGAACTTCAGACATTCCAGACTGGTAAACTGTATTAAAAAGGATATCTGCATTGACTATAAAATTTAGCGATAGGTGCACTGCCGTGTGTGGAATGGAATTTGACAAGATATCACCAAGGCAAACAGAACTTCTGGTGAAGTTAAGGGAGATGTCGCCTATTTGGTACGCTCAGAATGTCAAGGCTCCAACCCTCCTCATGGTAGGAAGCTGTGATTTGAGAGTGCCTCCAAGCCAATCGAGCATCTATTACTATCAACTCAAAGCTCAAGGAACTGACGTCCAGTATGTTTTGGTTATTATTTTGAAGATAATGAAAAATAATACATTTGATCAGCATTCACATGTACGATGATAACCATCCGTTGGGAAAAGTTCCGAATGATGTCGATAATATCATCAATTCGGCTCTATGGTTTTTGAAGCACACAGAGAAATAGACTACATTAGTTTTGTGTGGTAAGAGGATTAGTAAATAATTATATTTAACCAATTAATATTTTCATGGAAATAAAATTACAGAATCTAATTTTAATTTTGAGGCAAATTTATTTTAGTTTACCCAAGAACATTGCCCAGTTTTAAAATAATAGGTTATTGTGTTTTGAAGAGTAGAAACCATTATTTTAAGACACACGTTGCTCAGATTCATCTTGCACTTAAACTTTTTTCACAATCTGTACAACATCTTCGTCATTCAAAATATGCTCCTTGCCAACTTTCTGAGGCTGATGCTTCACAGAGGAACCCCAAACAAGGGCACTGAAAATTAATATAAATATTTGTTTTCAAAACATATTTATGTTACTTACTATTTAAATTCTTTAGCAATAGTTCTATGCAGTTTGTTGCAAAAATCTTCAATGCTTAGTCTTTCCGAGTGCAATACAACTGGTGATTCGTAATCAGGAAGTTGCCCCTTGGGCTTGGTGTATCTGCACAATTAGATTTTAAACTTAGTTCTTGCATCTGAAAATTGTAATAAGCAACTTACATCCTGACAAGTTGCAGGTACACCCACATCTTCTCGAGCAAGTCATCGAAATTCCATTTATGATGCGCAGAAATGGGCACACAGTGGGGAATCTTGTAAATAATATCCAGTTCTTCGATGCTGATTTGATCTGTTCAGAAAAACCACTTTAGAGAACTGAACAATATTTTTAAGAAAGTTAAATACCGATTTTGTTAAGAAGATAGATGCACGGGACATAAATTCGATTGCCCTCAATAACGTCGATGAGGTCGTCGGAGTTAGCATCGTATCTGAGAGTTATATCAGCATTGTGAATTCTGTACTCAGACAAGATGGTTTTGACAGTATCCAAGTCCAGTTCACTTTGTGTAACCTGGAGAGTGAGTAAAAAATAAAGTAAATAAAGTAATAAATCTTTATTATAGCAACTGAGATTACCATGCATTGCAAATTAACGCCGCCTTTGTCTTTTCGCCTGAAGACAATGTTGGGTGGGCTCTTGTTTAGCCTCAGTCCAAAGCCTTCTAGTTCATGTTCAATCAGCTTTTTGTGTTGCAAAGGTTTCAAAACGTCAAGTACAATGAAAATCAAACTGCATGTTCTTGCAACAGCGATGACCTGTCGACCTCGACCCTTTCCGTCTTTTGCTCCTTCAATAATGCCAGGCAAATCAAGCAACTAAATAATTATAATGATTGGTTAAATATTTCCATAAGATATTTAATTAAAAAAATTATTAGACCTGAATTTTTGCTCCTTTGTATTTGATACAGCCAGGCACTGTGGTAAGCGTCGTAAACTCATAAGCTGCTACCTCGGAGTAAACTCCAGCCAAATTACTCAGAAGGGTCGACTTTCCAACAGATGGAAAACCTGTCAAATGTAAAAAAATTAATTTCTAATAATAACAATAATAAAATACATATAAAATTGTATTCTGTGTACAAATGTACGTGTACATACGTACCTACAAATCCGATTCGGGCATCACCAGTCTTCGCAACATCAAAGCCTTCGCCAGTTCCACCACCACCACCCTTGGGAGTGATTAATTCTCGTCTTAATTTGGCGAGGCGCGCTTTAAGTAAGCCCAAGTGGCCGGCAGTCGCCTTATTTTTCTGCGTCCTGGCCATCTGCAATCAGTCCGAGACTTGTCATTTTAGTTAAATTTTATCACAACATGCACTGTATCATAACTTGTAATTTTCTTAAATTTTCAGGAATATGTTACCTCATTTTCGATGGCAGCAATTTTTTCCAGGATCGTACTCATTTTGCTTCCGTTTTGGCAGGCAAAACGACGAAGTCAACAGTGCAGTCCTACACCACACGTGTCGATTTGCCGAATAATTTTTTGCGGTCCAAAATCAACTTCTCGCTCGGGATCGAAGACGCCTTCCTCCGCCGTACGGAGGCGCGTTGGCCGCGTTTGGAGAAGCGCGAAATTTAAAGTTGCCATTGAACTTATGAGAAATTCAATTTTCGCGCGTGTTCCAGATTCCCTACTATTGCTTTACAGGCGCGCAGTTTGCAAAATTTACTACTGCGCAGATGGAGCGATCGCGTTTGGCTTTTATCGAATGAATACTGAGCACCGCTGGCACTGGCACTTGGGATTTTTCGATGAGAATCAGCTGCGCCCCGGTAAAATGGCAGGAATGTTGACACGATGGAAGTGTTGTCTGCACAATCAGCTCATTTTCTTGCTTCTTGTGATACTGGCCGAGCAGATATCGGCGATAAAAGACGTCATCTACGCCATAAACGCCGGCGGTGAGGCGCACGTGGACGTAAACGGGGTCAAGTTTGAGCGTGACCCGCTGTTCGGCAAAGTTGGCACAGCATCGGACTATGGCAAGCAGTTGCTGATCGGCCGCGTCCACCAGCACGATCACATCCTTTACCAGACTGAAAGGTATCATCATAGTACCTTCGGCTACGACATACCCATCAAGGAAGACGGCGACTACGTCCTCATCCTCAAGTTCTGCGAAGTTTACTTCCGACAGCCGAACGCGAAGGTTCGAAAAACTGTTGCTTTTTTCATAATTCGGTCACCTTCATCTTTTGCCGGACGATCGATTATCAGATAAATCATAAATGAAACTTTGCTTCTCAAGCCTTTGGAGTTCTCTTATATTATTCATCTACTAAAATTAGCGAAGGACTAAAACATATTTTAATTATGATTTTTTATAACCTTTATAGCTTCTTTAATAAAGTGGCGATATCTGCAATTTAAACAATTTGATATTCTAACTAGAAATGAATAATTACGTTGACATATAAAATTTGAAGCCCCTGCTCAGTACATGATTTCAAACATTATTCAATCGATTTTTGATACAAATAAAGATCTATGTAGCCTCTGTGGTTTGAAAAATTCGATAAAATTCTATGATTATGCACGTGTCATTTCCGCGTTAGCTACGTACATACGCTTCAAGCGCCACTTCCTCTGACAAAAACACTGTGCTCTTATCAAAAACATTCAAAAAACAGAGGTCAAAGTCGTTAAATTTTTAAGTACCTAGGAAAGAAGAAGAAAAAAATGAATTTTTCATCAACACTGAATTTTAATTGTAATATTTAATATCATAAATAATTTATAAAAACTTGGACAATTAGAAATTTTTCTGCTGTATTTTCAACATATTATATTTGATATCTGTACATTCATTACCGTACATATACTATTATGAAAGGTCTTTAACAATTATTATTATATATTTTTGTATTATTACTATTTCTTTTTTGATTTATATAATTGAAAAAATTAATTTAATCTGATGAATTCACTCTTTCAGGTGTTTGATGTCGTTTTAAATGGTGACCACACCATAATCCCTGACCTGGATATATTCAGTAAGGTCGGTCGAGGGGTCGCTAATGATGAAGTAGTGCCATTCAGCGTCTCCAATGGAAAGCTCTCTATAAAAGGCGAAGAGTCTGAGATCAGGGGAGGAAAAATTAGAGTCGAGTTCATCAAGGTAATATATATAATTTGATTTTTATATTTTTAAACAAATCTTTTTTAATAGGGTTACAGAGACAATCCAAAAATCAACGCCATTCTGGTGCTTAAGGGTTTAGTCGAAGGTAGTTTATTGTTCACTGATTTTTATTTCCCCCTGATTGGAGTATTTTCCTAGATGTGCCAAATTTGCCTCCAGTGTCTGATTACGATGACGACATGCAGGAAGAAGTTGAGGACTTCCAGCGCGCAGCCAACGCACAGCCAGTAAAAAACAGAAATCCGTCGGGACCCCGGACGCCTGACCCATATTCGATTGACGACTCGTCAATGATGCTGCCAGTCTTCGTGGCCATCGGTGCTTTTATACCGTTGTTATTCTGCCTGTGCAAACTGTGAGGGTTGAACGGCCGCGAACTATAAGGGTGGGTGGTCTGTTGGACACACTCGGTATGATGTAAATGCCTTAATATATACAAGTTCCCAGTGACAATTACGGCAAACCAGTCCACACTATCAGCCACAATAACTAGTTAAAGCTGTTGTCGTTGTTGTTGTTTGCAGCAGTTTTGGCACAAATTAATGCTTGTTTTTATTTGATTCGTGGGAGACCACTGCTTTTTTCAGACATTGGATTGTACTTAAAGTAATCTCACTTGAACACGTTTGATAATTATTTTGCCTTTCTACTTATCTTAAGCTCTGGAGGACCTGTTGACAATCTACAGATTTTGACAGACTCCCCCAGCAGAGCTCAATCTATGGTTGTGTTTTAATTTCTTAAATTGTCAACTGTTATTGATTTTTCGTTGCACAATGTGTAATTTTCTCTCAAAAATTTGATTTGTTACAACGGGATTTGGTCTTGGGCTACAATAGAAGTTGACATCTCATGATTTGGCTGTTACTCAAGGCCTGACTGTGCAATTTAATTTAATAAGTCCATCAACCAGTCAAATCATTGCCTATAAATTTTTAGCAACAAAGACTACAGTGTCCAATTTTGTAAGATTTTGGATCTTGATTATTTTGATTTGCCTCAGCCTGCTCTTATTACATCTTGCACTTTGAACTTTTTCCAGAGGTTTTGCACCCAATTAATTGCTATCAAAGCACACAAACTGAATTTTGGTTAATACTCTAAAAGTTATTTTCTCAAAGAGATGTGATCAAATGGTATAAATCTTAGTTTCGAACTGCTTATTACCATACAAGTCCACGGACATAAACTAATTATTATTTCTACTAGTCCATTGAAGAAGCAAATGCTAACATGCGGAATGGAAAGGAGTGGCACAAATTTTGAGTTCAAGTGTTTGATTTTTTACTTGCCATTGTAATGTCATATTGATGCAGAAATTTCAAGAAACACGCACTTGAGAGCAAAATAATTATTCATGTTAATTGATGTTTTAATTATTATTCACCTCGAAGATGAAAAGGTTGTCTGTCGATATTGCTTTGCTGCCCATCCAGGGACTTGGCATGTTAAGTGTGAAATATCGGTACTTTCCATGTGTGCGAAAGGATGTTGTGTATGTGTCGGGAATCAGCACAAAGAAGAAACTATTTTGTGACCTGCGAGTGTTTTTACCAAGGTCTCTTGCCACTTTGCAAGTTGTGATCATTGTTTTTAATTTTTATTAATTGATGTAATCACGTTTTTCCACTGTTACTTTTGAATTGAACTCTTGCGTTTCATTGCCATGTGTTCTTTACATTGGTATTTTTGAAAGATAAGTCAAAATAAAACCACAGGTTTTTGTTTAATACTTCAATTTTTACCACACAAATACCCCGTTTTAAAATACTTGTGAATTAACATTCAAGGCAGTAGTTGCATTAAAGCTCAATGTGGACGTTTCGTTTGGGCGCCTCCGCAGAAAAATCTGCGTCAAACCAGTTCTTGTATACTTCCAGCGGATCAATAAGCCAGTGTTTGTGGAAGGAAATTGGCTGCTGCATTGCCAAATATTCAGGTGCATAATCATCAGGGCGAGCCTAAAAGAATAAAGTTAACAACAAATTCATAGGCTTCCACTCTCATACTAGGCACCTGATGGAACAAAGAAGAGTGCACTAGTGGAATTCCTAACTTTGAAAGGCAAACTCCCATTATGAACATGTCGTCAGGGAAGTCGTCAGCCGGGCAATGACAACCTTTGGTTAGTTGATGAACAGCGGCCCTGTTGACAACCATGCCTCCTCCACCAGTCAAGTAGTTGTAGCCTGTGTCACGTTCAAAAACCCTAAAGCCGTATCGTTCCCCCAAGGCGAGTGGCATTTTTGAAGAACTGTGACAGCTCAAAAATTCTTGCAATCGCTCAGCACTGAAAATGTTGATTAATTTTTCTTGTAAAATTAATTCTACAGTCCTCTTTTACCTTAAAATTGTGTCATCATCTGCTATAACAAGCCATTCAATTTTGGGATCCTCCCTCATCTTTTGGTCAACATACTTAATAATTGCTTCAGTCTTGCCGCAGTGACCGTGGTTGGTGTTCGGCACCTTGAGATCAACTAATCCAGGAATCAAATAGTCTGGAGAAATAAATTTGATATTTAGCGCATTTAACAATTAGAATATTTCAATAAAAGTACCAGGCACGTCGGAAAAGAGAGCTAAGTGGTGCGCTCTCTTCCCCCACGTCTGTAGAACAAATGGCACTCTTGTTCTGTGAAATTTATGGCAGGTTTTTACAGCGAAGAATATTTCATTGGTTAGCACGAGTGGTCTGCAAGTGGTTTGCTTTGCAGGGTATGAGACGCAGTTTGGTCCTTTGGCAAGACAAAATTTGCTCGAGTGTGTCAATGTTGGCCCATGCCCATCATTCCAGACAAAAAGGGCCAGTTCGTAGGATGGATCGATGGAAAATTCAGACGGATGCAGATCTGCAGTGTTGTTGGAATTCCATCTTTTAGAGTTTAAGAAAAAAAATTAAAAATCAATTTAAAGCCAAAATTTGAGCTAAAGTTAACCTTTCAGAGAGCGAGGAAAGGAGCCCTTGGCTCAGTGCAAATCCAGAGGAGAATAAAGGGTAGAGAAAGTTATCTTTTGCTTTTGTTAAGAGGGAGAAGTGGTGGATAATTGTTGGTTCTCTGTCGTGAAGTCCATAGCCAAGCCAAATGGGCTCCTCAGCGTCGTGTCGAGCAACAAGGTTCAGAAGTTTTGGGATGTTGATTCGTGTGGACGGAAGTGCAAAAAAATACCATGGTGAGGCGAGATCCAGTCTAGACAACCTGTTTGCCTTGGAGTAAAAAAAATCAAATTTTCAAGATATTTTAAATTTTTACTTTTCTATTAACTGGATCACCGTCCAAGCGCCAATTTCTCCAGTAAAGTTATTTGAAACCGTTAGAATTTGAGGAAGTTTGCCCTGAAATTTTATTTGTGTGTTCAGTAAAATTTGAATTCAATTACAATCATATTTATTTCAACAAACCTGATAATCATTTTTTAATTCAGAGCAAAATTCATTTAGCAAAGACTTTGAATTATTGTCATTTTCTTGGTCCAGTAGAATTATCACAATTGAATCAGTACCTAAATCAAAAAGAAAGACGTTTTAAAAAAAATTACAATAAATATTATTTTATTTTACCACTAGCGTAGTTATTACTGCCTAGACAAATGAATGGTGCAAAGATGAATCCGGCGAGGATGAGAAATTGCAGAGGGTAGATTAACTGAAATCCTAAAAAATTTAAGTTTTAAGAAAATTCTCTTTTAAAAGAAATAATCGGAAATAATTATAAACTCTCACCTCTAATGACCATATCTGGGCCGGCGAAGAAATATCGTGTGGCTCAACACATATTATATGCTTCTTGTAAAGACAATTTCAAAGCAGTATTATCCGTATTATCAAAATTAAAAATTTTAAACAGCGAGGAGATTCACATTATTTCTTGCAAGTTGTGTTGTTTACTTTATCGCCACTAACTTGGGCTCTGTTTGGGTGATCATATGGGAGAGGGCGGCGGGGGGAGGAGAAGAGAGCGGAAGCAGGGGAGAAAAATCAAGTAAAAAGTCCACTAGTCATATCAAGAAGCTGTATTAAATTATTGTTATATTGGTTATATTATAATACATACAGGAAGGAGGCAGGGCGTGATTACGGGATTATTTCAAAATGTAAAAGATGACGCTAAACGCTAAATGTATTTTAATTGTAAAATTGTTTATATCGGTTATTTCGCGCGTCCCAGTTTTCATGGTATTAAATTAATTGTAGTGAGCTACAAAATCAATATTTTTAAAGGCAACAAAGAATCAAATAATTATATTACTTAAAATGTATTTTCTCAATAATTGTTAGAGTGCGTATTTGCATCATGAAATTTTTTGTAAAGTCGTACACTTATCAGTGGAATTTAAAATTTAAAATGAGATATTAATTTTTTATTCTAGTTGTGTCTTTTCAAATTTTGAATTTTTAATAAAGTAAGAATATTGACTTCTAGGCTTCTTATAAGCTAATTGTAAGTTTATCTCATTTAGCGAAATGAAAAACCAAGTTTCTCATTAAAATATTTATTTTACGTTCAATTTGACACATAATAAAGTTAAAAAATACGCATCATCAAAAAAATGTATGATCTTTATTTTTAATTTGATACATGTTGATATTTATTTTATTTAGTAATTATTAAAAACAAATAAGTGAGAAAAATTTTTTATTGCATAATTTAAAATTTGTTTTGACGAGAATAAAAATAAAATATCACTAGCATTTTTATATGGTTTTTTTGTGTGATCGGCAGCTAAATATTTTTTGTCCACAGTTACGACACAAATTCTGTACGGCATTTTTTGCGGCAAGTGGAACTTTTACAGTTACCGCACAGTGTTTTCTCAGCGCTGGCACATCTCAGCGGGCTAATAATGTTTTAATTACGAATGAGCCGCGCAGCGAGAGAGAGGAAAAAGAGAGCGAAATAAAGAACAGCATTATAACTCGAATACATTAACTCGCTCTCGATGGCAACGGAGAGGTCAATGGCACGCGACGAATAAACCCAAGACGTGCGCGCAGTGATCTCCTCTCATCGCTCAACACAACCGCGCTGGACCAGAAAAACGCGGAGCGCCGCTTGTTGAACAATAAAGATACATCATGCCCTTGCATTACAAAGTTTCCTGATCCCGCGGCTTTCTTGAAGGCGATTGACTCGCTGATATTATAGCAGAGAGAGGCGCAAATTGCAAAATGGAAAATATACAGAAAAAGAAATATATTTAGAATTTAGAATTTAAAAAATTTGTTTTAATTTCAAAGTTTATGCATTTTATAGTCTAAACCGAATAAGATTTATAGTTCAGAAAATTATATTTAAAATGAGTTGCATTACTATTTTATATTTAGTTTTTTCCATTGGAATTGTAAATATTTTAAATTATTTTTTAATATACAAAAGATTTCTTTTGACTAAATTTGGTTATTAATTATAAATGCAAGTTGTGAAATTTTTTATATCCGGGCGCCTCTCTACATTGAGCAGAAATAGATCTGAGAGTGAGATGCCAGTGGTGGTCAACTACCTGGTGGCCATAGGTGGCGCTTGGCAGGTTGGATGCTGCGTCAGGTCGAGTGTCCCTGGCCGGTCGATGACAGAACGGCACCGTCTCGCCATGAAGTCGAAGCTCGCTCTGCTCTTGCTGCTGGCCACCTCGGCGTGGACGGCCCCTGGTGCAAAGAAGTCCAGCAACACCCCTACCTCGGAGGACTTTGTCGCAGCACCGGCAAGGGACGTCGTCCTGTGGAACCAGAATCAGGAAGGCAAAATCAACCTGCAGGTCTCCTTGAAGGACGTGCAGATCGTTGCCCTGCTGAACTCGGACATGTACGACGACGATAGTGGTGGCAGTGATGTAAGAAAAAACTTATTAATTACACTTCGTTAATTTAAGTTCTTGAGCTGTAAAAATAATTTATATTTTTAGTTTTTAAAAAATTATATGAATGAAACGGTTGAAATATTTTTGTTTGGTGAAAACTTGTTATTTTATTATTTGCTTATTTATATTTTAAAGTTTGAAGAAATATTTCTGAAATTTTATTTCATTATTTTTTTTTAAATGATTTCTAAATTAAAAAGAATATCTGCCTTTTAAAATATATTTTTCTAGATCTAATCTATTATTTTTACAAATTACATATTCTACTGGGCAGAAACATAAAACTTAGAAACAGTAAATGTTATGAATATTCATGCGTCCTTTTTGATAATTATTATATGTTTTTATTATCAATATAATATATCGAAAACGCAAGAATTTGCAGATAATTATTATTTTTGTCTGCACTCAAAGACAATAGATCAGAATGAGAAAAAAATTAAATGAGATTGAACATTCATTTTTTTTTTAATTTAAGCATTAAAACGCGCACCACCTACACATTAAAATTGTTTTTTTTTTTTTATTCCAGTACGACTACAGCGAATTGGAAGCCCTTATTAACAGCACCATTGCCGCGGCCGCCACGTCAACGACTGAAAAACCTTCCGAAAGCGAGGAAGGGACGACAGACGACGAGCCGCTCCTTCAGCTAAGTGAAGTCCTTGAACTGGCCGCCAACGAGTCCTCCAAGGGAATAAAGGGCAAAAACGTGACGACGCCTGTGTTGACCCCAGCCGTGTCGTTTGTCGCGAACGGGAAGCCAGAAAACATCTCGCAGCTCCCCAACGATGAGGGCAAAAAAGGCAACGCCACCCGGCCCGAAATTTATCATAGAGAGGCACCCAAGAGGGCCGCGCCAAAGCCCGCGTGCGGAGAGGAAGAAACCCGCGACAGGCTGGGTCGATGCCGCGCAAAGGCGAGCAAGGGCAAGCGCAGGAGACCGAGTGCCAGGCTAGCCTTCCCGTTAGTTTGATGCGGATTATCGTGTTGCTATATTTAAAAAAAAAAAACAATTTTTTCCAGATTGAAACTGAACCTGCAAAGCCTGGTCAAGGGATTTAGGCTCGCGAGACTGGACCCAAGCGAAAGTGACTGGGAATCGTGAAATTCTATTGTTAGTAAAATTATTTATATATGCAGTAATGTAATTTTTAATTGGATAAAATGCAAATAAATTTAAGTTAGATATTTTTTAATAATGTGCATTGTCGCTCGCATTTTAAATCACAAACGACAAGTTATTATATCTTTTTTTACTCCAAGATATCGGAAAAAAATAGCAGTAGCTATTAACAATATAAGCTTTTTATATTGTTGTAAAAAAAATATAGTAAAATTTGTCATTCCTCATTTATTGAAGAATAATAATCACAAGTTTAATTAGAGTAAACGCCTGCGAGATACGCCAATAGGCAACCCGCGTAACTTCCAAGACCATCAAGTTGCCTATATAAAACTTTCTAGTTGCATATTCCAATCTTGTTTTGCTTTATTATTGACTATACCGTGTGCTTAAACCTTGCGCTATTTAAAAATTTTACAGCTCAAAAAGAAAAAAAATTGAAAAAACAGTGACCTCATCAAAAAAATCGCTTTGTCTGCATGCGGTGTCAAACTCCTCATGTTTTAAAGGCATGGAGTGAGAGTTTAATTATCAAATTTGCATGTGAAATGTATAACATTTTACATAATCTTATTAAGTTTGCAAAAGAAGTTGGTTGCGATGCACGCGAGATTTGACAAAATTGATACAGGGAACCACTCCAAACTCCAAGGCTAAGAGAAGAGTATAAAGAGCTTCTCATTTTGCTTTATTGCGGCAGGCACGGATGTGGTGAAATTCAATTGCCATCGGCCGCCGCAAGTGCTGGCAGAAAAACGAACGGACATTGCTGCTGCTGAAACGTAGTTTTGAGAGAAGTGCCTGGAGAGGAAGAATATTGCGTTTTCAAGGAATGTGAGACGGTGGAGAAAAGTCTTCTGCTATTAGCAAAAAAAAAAGAACAGTCCATTTACTTGACAAAAAAATAGCGGCTCATAACCTCAGTTGGGGAAAATCTCCAACTCTCAGAGAGAAGTTACTTTTTTTTAAATATTTGAGCGAGTAAATAAGGAAAGCGTTTCATTTTTTTTAATTCGCAGATTTTTTTCATGCTTTCTCAGCAAAGAATTAAAAGAGAAAATAAAAAAAAATCTCTCGTGGGTATTATTTTGCTAATTTGAAATCTGGCCCAACTTCATATTTAATTGAGGAAAAGGTTTATACCAACTAAGAGACACTAAGAGAGGAAAGAAATTCTAAAATCCCGAAATTTTTCCTTCAGCAAATATACATAAGCAAACACACGCGTCCGCCGTTGGAAGACAAAAACCTTTGATAACTGACGCGAAAAGGTGACGCTTCGTGCGACCGTGCGTGAAACTGCAGGAAAGGGCGTCGTGTTTGCGGCGCGCGTGTGTATTGACTGTGCACTCAAGACAGACGGCCTCGGTGCGTTCGACGCTTTATATAAATCAGCAATTAGTAGGTGCCGAGGTGTTTCAAGATGCAGACCCTGAGCACGGTTCTCGTATTGCTCGCGACCATCCTCCTGCTGGGCATCATCCAAGCCGCCCCCGCGTGCAAAACGGCCTCCAGGGCAAATGTTCGACCCATATTGATTGAAACACCCTCCACCACACAACCACCAACGACCATCTCTGAGAAGTAAATATTATATAAAAAAAAAACTATTGCCCGTTTACAGTAATAGGTAATTAGTCAAGTGACGGAGAACTTTTGGCTAAACCATCTCGCCCGTTACGTTACAGGATCGAGTCGCAGCAGGTGCCAGTGCACGGTGTTTCAATGACCAGCATCATAATTGCCCCCAACAAATCTTGCCCACCCGGCTCGGAACGCGACCACAAAGGAAGGTGCAGAAACAAGATACAGTGAACTGTTCGCTCACGCAAAAGGTCAGTTATGTAAAGAAAAATTTCATGCTCCTTTTACGACTGAACAAAGCCCGGTGCTTATTTGAGGCACTAAAAATGTCACACGGGAGAAATAATGTATGCCGCAATCTCTTAGACCGCTCATTATGTTGTTATTATTTTTATTTTGAATTGGGAAATTTCTTGAATCTCTTATAAATGGGGAACTTTCTGAATCTCTTAATATAGAAATGGGGAACTTTCATCCAAGCAAAACCACCAGGGAGGATGTGGGTTTGGCGCTGAATATATATCTCGGAAGGGAAAAAGCCTGGTTCTTTCTATCTGCGCGTCTACCTTGCCGCAAGTCAGTGAAATTTCAAAGTGACAGCTTTTAGTTAGCGCAAGTTTACTCCGCTTAAATATTTGCAGCCATCCATATTTATCCCGTTCAAACATTTAAGTTCCGATAGCACAATGAGACCGCTCTTTTTACAAGTGGCGCTCGTTTTGTGTGCGCTGGAGGTGTCGCGAGTGGCTCCAATGTGCATACCTTTGAAAATGGGCTTCATGTCCCAAACTACGACGACCCCTGCGCCGTGCCCCAGAGGTTTTGCACCGAATCCAGAAGGAAAAGGTTGCCGTTTAATCTTGCCAAAAGACATGCCGCCGCGCCGTGTTGAGGCGGGAAGGCCGCGATCTGAGCTGGTGGACCATATCATTAAAGTGCCGGTCAAGTGTCCCGCGGGATATCAAATTGACTACAGGGGAAGGTGTAGGGCGCCGTTGGGATGAAATGTGTGTGATGAAAGAATTCTCGTGTTTGCTAAACTGCATTGAAAAAATCTTTTGTCATGTATTGTTTCAGATTCGAAAACACCTCTCATGAACTGGACCAGTCTTCGGGGAAAAACAAAATTTGTGTATAGCGGGTGAAACAATATTTTTGTATATTTTGCTTAGTGCAATAAAAATTCAAAAACTAAAACTGCATGATTTTATTTTATTTTTTAAATATGTGTTACAATTTTAGCACTTTAATCATACTAATTGCATTCGTTGGCGGTTCACCCAATATCCATGTATGGTGGCGAGCAAATTATAAAACGTCCACTCTTTATAGTAGCATATTCAAATAACCTGGATTGAAACGTCAAAGATACAGCTGCTACCCCGCGGCAGTGCAGTCACTACTTCATAAATTATTCCCATATTGCCGGCGTGCTTTTGCATTAATATAACACCGGCGGCGACCGAGCGAGCACCCGGATGCACAATCATAATGACTCGCGCTGTTTTGATCATTTAGAACGAGCCGTGCAGAAAACCGCAAAAAATAAAAACGAGCCACAAAAATCCATTAGCAAGCGTTCGCGCCAGAGGCGCTTGGCTTTGACTGCAGCAGTGGATTTATTGCAAAGAGGAAGAACCAAATCAGCGAAAAATTTCTCATCCATTGTTAGCACAGAAAAAAGAACACGCACATAAAACACAGTGGGAGTACTATTTTCAGAATTAATTTATTGTTTAATTATTTATTAACAGAGATGAATCCACTTTATTATTAGTAGTATTAATCAAATATAACTATGCTATGTTATAATTTTTGAATGTAATTTTAATGAGACACACAGAGGTTAAAGAGAGATCACAACACACGAGTGAGGCTTCCTTATGATTCATTAAATGCTGCGTGACATTCTGAGGGGAGATTGCGTACACAGACGAAGAGAACAAGTAAAAAATAATTTTCCAAACACGTAACAAGTAAACTATTAAAGTGTGTGAGAGCACGACTCTCGCGAACGAAGTATATGTACATGGTTAATAAAATACATACTGAAAAAAACGGCATATAACAAGGCGGAGATGAGGTCTGATAAATACAGTAGCAGCGCTCTCTACTCGCAATCGATAATCGACTATTTTTAATTATATAGTACAAGAGAGAGAAAGAGATTTTTGGGTCTCAAAAGACCGTCGAACGCACAAACATTCTCTAATGGCGAATCTACGATACATTTTTTTTGGCATGATCAGCTCTTTTGAATCTCTTAACGTGGTTAAGTTATGTGTGTGTGTTGTGTTTGTCGTTTGGAGTGATTAGCGTTTTATCTGGCTGTGGGGATGAAAATGCAAAATGTTTCCGCGCTCGCACTTCCAAAAGGAGTTTCATTGACATAATTCGTTAGCATTCGCACGACATCAAGATTATTAGTTTGACCAAGCAATTTTTTAATAGATCATCTCAAGAGCAGCAGACGTTTCTGTATAGTTTGCAAAAGCATTTTAGTGCCACTGTCGACTCGAAGCGGGTTCTCACTTGTGTACAAATATTGCCGGGTTTTGACTCTCCGCGCTTTTTATATATTTATATTCCTGCAAGAATTCAACGTGCGAATAGAATTTAACAAACGGCGCCGGTTTCCTTTTTCGTTCCGCGTTTTACATTATATATATAATTAATCAATGCAACAGGCAAATAATGACGCGCGGTCATTTGTGCAGCTGAGAATGACACATAAACGTGTGGATCAACTAAGACATTATCACAATCATATCATACAGAACGCATCTTCTCCCATAATCACTCGGTCGTCTCGATGAGATACACAGAAATTGGCCGCTCAAAAAACACGCAGGTCTCGTAACAAACAAATCTCGGGAGTGATTGGTTTAAGTCAAATGATAATTACGTCGGTTCTAGCCTCCTTAGTGTTTGGATTTTAATTCCGAGGAATGAAAGTAAGAACTGTTCTCGTGGGGATTATATTAAGTCTTGAAGACCATTTTGGTTTTTTGAACTGGGCACACATTTCCATTTTGTGGCTACTGCGTTACTTCATTTTTCCTGTCTTTGTTAATTTTATATTTCATTTGTTCGCGTCAAAATGTAAAGTTAGCACCTCGTAATCCTAATTATTTGGTGTATTATGCAGTAAAATGGCAACTTTACACTAAAACTAATTGCTCAATGCAGCGATGGGGTGAGACAGACGAACATACACTGACGAAACTACTCCCTAAACCAAGACACAACACAAACATTAGGTCAGGTGATCGATTTGCGAAGTAGGAAATTAGACGTTATCTTTCTCGTATCTTCTTGAACAGGCACGTAATACATTTTTTTTTGTCAAATGTTTAAAGATTATGGGAGCATTTTTATTTGAAAATTTCCTTTCCTCAAGCAATCAATTTAATTTTTCACATAATTCCGAATTTCTCTTAAAGATATTGCCATTTCTCTTCATACTCATGAACTTTACTTCAACGCAAAGGTATTCCCAGAAGTGTACAGTGTGTTTAGTTATCTTTTAAAATACCTGCTAATTTTCAGCACTTATGTACAAGCGATAAACCGATTTAGATTTTTACTACGCGTGGATTTTGCCGATTTAAATTACGCATACAACAATATCGAATCTAAGCTTTCCTCTTTAACTTCATCTCACTGAACTCACTTATTTGTTTCACTAATTTGACGTGTAATTTTTTAACGTTTAGGAAAATATTTCTCCATGCGCAACTCCTTTTTATAATTTTAGGTTTCCGAGTTCTCTTACTAATTGGGCTATGAAGTAGCGTTTGCAGCAAACATTTTTTTACTCTACATCATCCGCAAAAGTTTTTAATGTGAAATGAATTTATCCGTTTTCCGCCAAGAAAGGTGAGAGGGTGCGTTTATGAAGTCTGTCTTACTTCAGGCTTCAATATAAAAATAACGCTCTGTCGCATGTTGGTGAAGTAACTAATGTTTTCTTAACAATCATGAATATTAGCAATAATAAAAAACGTGGAAACAAAAGTGAGGGCGTTATATATTCGCTTCGTATTTCCTCAGTTCCACCTCTTTTGCTTTTCGCAACGTTTCTTTGACACTTTACTATAAGTCGGCGCTAGCTATAGAAAAGCTTGTTGGGCTTTAATTTTTTTAGGCCTACGGGGGCGCACGTGCCGTCGATTTTGTAAACGGCTCTGCGTCAATGTGATGCTTTCACATAGTTAGGCTTTTCGTAGAGCTTTTTGTAAGTTTGCACATAGAAAAGTTTTCTTGTGACGCGATCGTCAATACAAATTGATGAGTTAGCAACCAACTAGAACTCCTGCTCGTCTAAATAAAGAACACGCTTTACAAAAACGTACTGAAAATATAATTTGAAATTTTTGTATTGTTTTATAATTATTCAATACGCTTCCTTTTTTAATTTTAGGGTACAAATATTGCTGCTTTTTTATAAGTTTTAAATTACCGCGGAGCGATGGGAAAATCTTGAGTGTGTCGACGACATGTTGGACTGAATGTAAATAATGTTAGGGGGGGTTAAAGGGGACTTATCTCGTCGCAACGGTTTGTCTACGCGAATTCTTGTATATTACCTTACAAGATTTCAAAATTTAGTGCTTGAGCTAGTTTTTGAAAACTTCGTACACCCTACACAGAGATAAGCCACACACAAATTATCAAAAATTTTTGCTTTTTGATGCAAAAAATGAGTATATTATTTCTATTTCGATAAACCGAGTTGCCAATATTTCACGTCAGCTCATCCCGAGAAGCTTTTTGCAATTTAATTTTAACATTATTGTGTTTGAATTGCACATTTATTATATAGACATACACGTTACTGTTCTCGTTATTATAGGAGACATAAAAACAATGACACTACATCTATATCACAAGAATAATAAACAAACGCTTTTTGTATGAATACAATACTTTTTGTAATCGTTATGCATTATTATGTTTAATTATGTATTTTTGTAATGTACTTTAACGCTATAGTTATTGCTACTGCAAATTTTCATTTCCGAGTCCCCTATATGTTTGAATATATTAATCAATTTTCCGTTTCGTGGCGTATTTTTTCCTTTCCAATTCCGAGTGGAACACGACATTCCGCGCACAAATGTCTTTCAATCCCTTGCCCATTTTATGATGCAACAAAATATAATAATAATCGTCAACAACTTCGCAAGCATTTTCTCTTTACAATGTTGCTTTATCATAGTTATTACTAATAATTTATAATTTACAAAGGACCGTACCTTCTTAAACTCTTTTGATCATTTTCAAAAGCATAAAATTGACATTCTCATATTGAAGCATTCTATAGGTGTGGGAATCATTTGGGAATAAAGACAACAAGAGCAATTTCTTTATTCCCGAACTACATGATTACTAGATATTTAGCGTCAACTCGCGGATCGTTACTGCTTAGTATTTTCCTAATAGCAAGAGGAGAGCGACTTCAATTTGTAGGTTTTGCATCGTCGTTTGCTAAACGCTTTATGTTTTGCTTTTTATCCTGCTAGAGCATGGACTGCTGCGAGTTAATTGCCTACTTAAAAATGTATCATGAAATCATGTTCTAATTTCTTTTTCTCCGTTGGGAAATTATTCTGTTGATATGCTGCTGCTGGAAATACGGGCCTATTTTCTTTTGTAATCGGTCTCTCTTGCCGAGAAACGATTGAAAAATAATTGGTTAGCTATATTAGCTATACAACTAATTTACAGGTGGTGTTTCAAGGCTACAGAGAAGAACATAGTTCCAAAAGAGTCAGATCTGCACTCGGCGTTAGATCGTAACAGAGGACGCATGCAAGAGCGCTTCGTACAGATTAATTCAGAAAATTTGCTCACGAGAATTCTGACCCACAGGGAAATCAATGCACAGGAATCTTTGGTATAAGTGAACCACAAATTTAAGAACACGGGTAAGAAGTATTCACGAGCAACACTGAAAAAAGAAAGAAATAACAGTTAGAATAAAAACCCAAAAAATGTATAGCTTTGAAAGTTCAGTTGTTATTTAGAAATCATGCACCCAAACGTTACTTTCATTCAAAGATGAATCTTTTGGTTTCCCATAGAAAGATTTATTAGTACTTTTGACACTTACGAAGTTTCTCTTCAGAAACCAAAGTAGCTGGCAACAGTTGATGCAAGTACGAGACCCAAGACGGTCAAACAGATGAGAATCATAATTTTCTTCTACAGATGCGCATGAAAATGGGTACAAGTATGTCAGAGAGAATTGCCATTTAAGAAAATTATCATTTGACTACTCTACAATAGGGACGGTATTGAAGGTTGAATTTTTGTGCATCCAGTCATTCCGAAAAAAAATTTACAATGAAAGGAACAAAAAGGCCAAATAAAAATAAAATGCTAAATAAAGTTTCTTCGAAAAATTATGTTTTTTTTTAATGGATTTCAAATAAATAAATATGTAGCAAATAATAAAATGAGAAAGCAAAAAAAAAAAAGATAATTTAGACGAAAATAATTTTAAAAGAATGTAGAATACATAGGCACACTATAATGCAGATTTTGAACGAAAAAATATAACACGGCAACGAGGTTACCTTTATGGATCATTTGGCAGCAGAGTTTGATGTAATATTTAATATTAAATAATTAACGCCGCTCAACAAGAGATTCGGTTTCAAAATGCACTCGTATGTAATAACATGAATTGTCCAAAAACTATCCAACGTGGGACATGACGTCAGTAGGTAGACGTATATTAATAAACAGAGATTCTCATTCCTAGACTAGATTAATGAACATTACTTGCTAGCTTCACAGAGCTAAAATTGAATTGGAACGATAAATGTAATAATTAAAGGTAAAGCGGCTGTTTTAAGCTATTTCTCGTTATTGCTGCATAAAAAAACCCATGCCCGCAACATCATCATACCGACCAATTAAATTTCTCTTCATCAAATTCTCGCCGACCTTTTAAAGCACTGTCACTTAAATAAATATCAACAAAGACCGCACAAATGTCATACAGAACAGATCGCGACCGATGGCAGCCAAGGAAGCAGTCTGGGGCGCAGCACTGATGGTTTATGTAATAATCGAGTCCATGACAGTTCTCCACAGCACTAAATATCATTTTGGCATCGATATTTTTTTTTCTCTCTAAATCGCGCGGCTTCAAAACCAGTGCACTCACTGACTAAGAACGATAATCAAAATGATGAGCAGTACCGATAGGCAGATAATGATGAGTATCTTTTTCTGAAAAATAAAATAACTCTAATTGTAATCAAAAGACGAGTTAGTACAAAATTGTGCACGCCACTGATTTTTTTTCTCTCTTTAAAAACAGCTTATTTCACTGCAGAGAAAAATCCAAACATGCATTATTGAAGTTTTGAATAGCTGTGAGATTTGGAGCTCAAGTTTAATATTTGATAGTTTTAGAGCCTCTGAGAAAAGGAAGATGTAAATAGCAAAACAAGCTAGTCCTCACTGAAATAACTATTTTAGCATAAAATAAACGGCCTTTTTTTAAACAGTAATTAATTCAAACATTTCTCATGAGTAAGTAAAAATTTCCAGAATCGAAGAATCCTTTCACCGTAGGAATAAAGAGCTTTTAAATTTACAGACCAGGCTATCTGGTAGTATATCTGTTTGTTTTTAATTTAAAACAATAATTTATTCAACAACGACAAGCTTGTTTTCCTCTAAAAAATGTCTTCTTCTCTCAATAGAGAACACATACATCTAGGGCCTGAGTTATATTTTACAGCATGGAAGAGTGTTGGAGCGAATTTTGAACATATAATAATAATAGTCTTTAAAAAGTAATGAAACGTCAACATCAGCTATGATATACATGCAATCCAGTCAATTACAGAGATATATTTTCACGCAATCTAGAATGGCTTGCAACTTGGTCTGTCATTTTTAGATTATTTGTTTTTCAATTGCTGTATGCATTGCTGTAAAATGTGAAAGAGCCAAAGGCGCGCTCAAAAAAGTCGATGGTGTTTGCATCAATGCAATGATTTAAAGATTGGCTTTTGTGTTTTGCGAGGGTTAGCGGCTTAGGTCTACATTTGATTACCTTTCTCGATTTGGTTTTTAAAGTCTGTGCCTCTTCAAGTTGCAGTCTGCCTTTCTTGATGGGTTCTTCAGCAGACTCAACGTGGTGTTGGATGTTATCAATGAGACCACCCTAGATTGGGGGCTCGTCCAGATGGCCGTAGGGAGAAGGGTTTTTTTTGTTTTCAATTGGACCAGGTTAGGAAGCAAGCCATTGCAGTAATAGAGAAGTGGTAGTAGTAATACAGTCATAGAAATACAAAGCAGGCAAGAAGTAATAACACCACCAGCGCCATTGAAGATATATCACAGATCCATAAAGTGTAACATTTTTGAGTTATGTTTTTATGTAATGAACATGGCAAACCAGAGAAATAAAAACAAAGGGATATAAAATAAACACACACCCACATCCACGCACCAACCAACCATAAATGAGTGAGTGACATTGGTTTTAGTCACATTAATCAACATTTAATGTTAATTGTTGAAAGGTCCAATTGGAAAAGGAGAATAAATAATTGGAAGGGGGAAAGAACAGAGACGAGAATCGTGAGTAAAAACTTTGCTGCGAACTTACCCGTCTGGCTTTACTTTGGTATTTTAGAGCTTTCTTGGTGTCTTGTGTGGCAGTTTGAACATAGTCAACAGCGTGTTCAACATGGTACTCAATGCGATCAATCATCTCACCCTGTTAGAGAAAAGCAACCACCAATTGTTAGTGCTACCACACACCCCAATTCATTATATCATCATGCAATATCAGGCAGTTTGACTTTTCTTTAATTCCACTCTTCAAAGGGAAAATTGTATCACAACTTGGTATAAAGAGTCACTCTTTTACAAGACACCGAGCAGAAATGTATAAAACGGACAAAGAACATTTGCCCTCAATAAAGATTATTAAACAAATAGCAGGAAATGAACCACGCCCTAAATCAACCTTAAAGAGTCAATTAAAAGTTCATGCAATCCTTGAAAAAAACCTCTCGCCATTCTTCGAGTACCATGTTTTTAATTACTTGATCGCGACGCTTTTTAATTCTTAAAATTTTCATCTTTTGATTGCCAGACAGATGATGGTTTATAAAATGAACTGTTCTTACCTGGCTCTCAACCAACATCGCCATGTCCATGAACATGTCGTGCAACTCTCTGATGGAATTTTCCAGCTTGATAATATCAGCGTGCCGCGCCTGAATATCCGCCAAAGTCTGTTTGGCCTGCTGAGTTTCCATAATGATCTGAAAAAATCATAATGAATTAAAATAATTAAAGGGATTTTTCAGATAAATTTACCCCCTCTGTAAAGACAGCAGAATTTCCGGACTCTAACATTTCATCAAGCTCTTCATTTGTTGTCTTTTTGCCAGCTAAAAATGTATAAGTTGAGTAATTTTGAATCAGTAAAAACTTTTTGACTCACTAATTTCTAGCTGTCGTTGTAATCTGTCTTTGAGTTTCTGATTGTAGTCAGTTTGAGTTCGGTTGTACTCTGTCATGACCTCAATGAATTTTCTGGAGAGTGTGGCTTGTTGAGTTTTGCGTATTCGCAAGTCCGCTGAAGACTTGTTTACATGCTCTTCTTGCTCAATATTGTTCTCTATCACTGTGGTAAAATGAATTTAATTTTAAGGCGTCAGTATATTTATAACAAAAATAACCCTTCAATTTGGCGCGAACTTTATTCGCAGATTTCTTGATGTCTGCCATCAGATCATCCAGTTCTTGCTTCACCTCTGCACATTGGGGAGATTAAGTTAAAAATGCCGGAAAAGATAAATTGAGCAAATAACTTACTCTCATCAGTCTGTGGCGCTGATAGGATAGCGCTGTGTTTTTTCTTGATCTCTTCCACATTAGACTCGATCCGATCTATCATTTCTCGTATGTCTTCAACCTGAGAAAAAATTGTGGTTTCTTCAAATAAATTTCTGGGAATACAGACAGGAAACAGCTTATAAACTTGTAATGGGCACTGGTCCCATGCAAGTACGGCCAAAGAACAATAATTTTTATGATTATTATTATTATATTAGTTAATTAAAAATGTTAATCCGCTTCTTTTCGGTTTGTTTATTGCTAATTAATTGTGTGTAAACCGCACCCAATAGTGTAAAATAACTATTTTATTTATTAAATTACTTATGTTTAACTTGTTGTTAATTCAACTAGCTAAAAGGTACGTCATGCTTGCAGATTAAAGTAAAAAAAAAATAATCGCTACTGCTGATCTTTTGAAATGGAATTTTATGAGGATTACTGAGGGGTGTCAGCACAGAATATAATATTGCACTTGATAAGTACCCTGCTGCCGGGGAGGACACTCGAAAATTTCTCTTACCTCGGCAAAAAATTCATCCATAAAGCCATCGACGTTGACTGCAACATCGTCAGGCCCGACGTCATCATCGTCGCTTTGAGCCTGCAATCAAATTTTTTATCATGAGAAACTGAACGCAAGAATTTGGAAATATAAGATTTTGACGAATTTGTGTGGCTTTTTATCAAAATCTGTTACCTGGTTAAAAAATAAACTAAACAATCTAAATAAATTCAGGTTTGGTTTTTTTTAGGGTCTGGCCAAGACAAAGTCTTGTCGGCCTGTGCCCTTTTTTATTGGTGCAGAAGGCACCACCCAATTTAATTTATTTTTTTTTCTTGCGTGTTAGCTTGGGTATGGCAAGATATGTTAAATTTACTTCTTAAAAAAATATTAGCACAGCAGACTACCGCGTAGGGCTGGCTTGACTGGCTCTTGAGAATTGGCGTAATCAGTTTAGAAAAGATTCACGGCCAAGAGTGTTGATCAAATAATAAATTATTCCGTTCACGAATCTCAAGGACAGTCAACTTGAAACCAATGAAAACATGACATAGCCATAATAATTGGCAAATATTATTCATCCTCTTAGAAAAATAACGGTTTCATCACTCAAAGAAAAGTATTCATCTAAAAATTATTGTATATAGAAATATGGCAAAATTCTATTTAATTAATTTATTAACCGACTGTAAAATTATTCATTTTCCAAATTAATTCTATAAGCGTGAATAAAAAGATAATAATATAACCATTATTAATTTTTTTCCAGTGCATGCAATTATATTTTTAGGATCTTTTTCATAGAGAGTCACGAGTAGAATTTTTCGATCAATGCTTCATTTCCAAGTAAGATATCACGGCAGACTTGAAAAAGAAATGGCTTGATTTAAATAGCACCGATTGACATGCACAGATTTTGGAATATTCACTTTGCGTGGGGACCGTGTGTGGAGTTTGGCATGTTAAATGACTGCATAAATCATGCTGGCTCAGGGGTTGTTTATGGGCCTAAACAGGTACGAATGAATGCGCCCTCGCTACGGAGACACTTGTTCACCAGCAGTCTCGAGATAAAACTCACGTAATTGGAAAACAAATAACAGCGGCTCCTCTACGTGAACTTTTAATAAGATGCAAGTGGAGGAGCCGTCTAGCGTAATTGATTTTCCTTCCTTTGGTACGGTGCCTGGACCCAGTTCCTTGTTCCGCCCACTTTTCGAAAATGCGAAATTGACCGGTTCGGCGCCGAATTTCAGCCAAATAAGCACGGTGACCGATTTTCCAGCCGTATGTTGGTTGTTTGAATGCCTCGGGTGGAGCCCACAAGGAGATAATGTCAAATAAAATGGGGAGAAAAAGAGCACCACCACTGAATTATCCGCCCCCCTGCAACATGTAATAAGTGTCATTTACCGCTTTCAACGCTGCTAACCTATCCTTCGTCATCTTTCGGCCGTTTTAAACAGGTGCTTCCTTATCGTCTTGACTTACATAAGAATTTCATTCACAAAATTAACCATCAAAATTCACTAAAACTAGGGAACCAAGACACCACAATCCTAAAAATCGATATCCCCACGATTCGCTGTTCTGCAGTGGCGCTGCTCGGTCTTTGCACTCCGACTGTGACGTCACTGCCAATGCCGTAAAAGGCAGTAGCTCAAACTAAACTAAAACTCTCAAATTGCGTTATGAACCTTAAATTATTTTCCTAAAATTCATAAATTTAATTTTAATAGCCATTTCAAATCTATATTTTGTTTCTGGTAAAATAATTTGATACATAAATAATTTTCTGTTGCCGATTAGCTTTTGAAGCCCCGCCCAGACCTTACCGAACGCCATTGTAGACCGTAACGAGGAAATTTTCAAGTGAGTAAAATCTCTCAAATTTTAAGTCATCGCTGCCTAGTTTGCCTTTTAATTTTCACAATCTGTTTTCCACGACATTCTCTTTGGTAATCGCTGTTTAATTCCGGAATCGGGCGCCATCTAATCAGGATTTCGAGCCTTCGTACCGGCTCGAAGCTTCGAGTTTCCTGTGAGACGCTGAATAAGGCGCCTGTTCAGCGATTCAAAACGTAACTGCCGAATTTTTCCTTGCGCGAATGTCTCCAAATTTACTTAAAAGCTTATTTTGCAACATGAAATTAGTTATTTAATGGATTTGGAAGAAACAAAGATATTAATAGCCGAGTAAGTGCAATTCTACAAAAATTCTTGACCCTGACATGGGCCCTCTTACGTCAAAACCGCGCCATATTCAACGGCTTGTTCTTTTTTTCTTCACTCAAATATATTTTTTGTTATCTACTCGTAGAAATAAATTGACTGATAAACAAGCTCGGATGCAAATAAAATTTGAATCATATCGTAATTCTCTGCACTAATGACAGGTTTTATTATTTACGTACATAATTTAAGGCCACATATTATAATGATGAGGACGGCATTGATTTATAGAAGACCTTGAATGATATTTGCATTCTTTGTTTCTAGTACCAAAGATGAGTACCGACGCAGAAATGCCCACTTTCAAGTGCGTCCTCGTTGGTGACGGAGGCACTGGAAAGACAACATTCGTAAAACGCCACTTGACTGGTGAATTCGAGAAAAAGTATGTTGCTACCCTTGGCGTTGAGGTGCACCCTCTTGTTTTCCACACAAACCGAGGCGCTATCCGGTTCAACGTGTGGGACACTGCTGGACAGGAAAAGTTTGGTGGATTGCGAGACGGATACTACATACAGGTAAATCATTGAAAAGGTTAAATTTTGTGAAATTAAATTATGTTCTTCCAGGGACAATGCGCCATAATTATGTTTGATGTCACATCTCGCGTCACATACAAGAATGTCCCTAACTGGCACAGAGATTTGGTCAGGGTCTGCGAGAACATTCCCATTGTTTTGTGCGGCAACAAAGTAGACATCAAGGACAGAAAGGTCAAGGCTAAGAGCATTGTCTTCCATCGCAAGAAGAACCTTCAGGTAATTTTGAATAATGACTAAAAAAGACCCCACCAGAAATCCATGATGAGAAACCAGTTTTGCATGTCTGAAATGTGTGATGCTAATAACTGTCCCTCTAATCTGACAAAATAAATTATTTTGTGGGTCCATTTTCCTTTCATTAATATTCCACTTAAAAAAATTAATCTTCCGTTGCAGTACTATGACATCAGTGCTAAGAGTAACTACAACTTTGAGAAACCATTTTTGTGGTTGGCTCGCAAGCTGATTGGAGACCCCAACTTAGAGTTTGTGGCGATGCCTGCTCTTCTGCCCCCTGAGGTTGTCATGGACCCCACCTGGCAGCAGCAGATCGAGAAAGATCTCAAAGAGGCTCAAGAAACAGCCCTGCCCGAGGATGATGAAGACTTGTAAAGCTGCCGTCGACAAACTCGTGAAGAAACTTTTTCTCCGTTTTAAGTTTGCTGCAATGTTTGGAATATTCAATTTTTGCTAAAAATTGGTTCCAAAATTTTTAACCTCAAAAAAATTCTCAAAAGAATAAATGGAAATAAAAGTGCGAGCGAATTCTGCAAAGTGTTAAATAAAATCCAGTTTTATATTTAATTGCATATTTGTACTGCCATTTGGTTGCTTTGACTTATTTCCCTAATCATGCATGTATCCAGCTAATTATTTTGTGCCCTTTGGATAGTTCATGAAACTTAGGTTGGGGAAATAAAAGCATATTTTTCACAAAGGTAGCATTTTGTTTTACTTCATTATTTAAATAGCCATTTTGATGGTATTTTAGTGGTTACAGATTTTAACTTCCTCTTAAATCTAAAAATACAATAATAATAATTCTTTTATTAAACGCGTTTGCGTACAACATGCACTGCTGGAGCAATCATAAAGCTCTTGGAAGGCTGGATCATTGATTTAAAAGGATATTATATATAATAAACCAATGGGCAGGAACATACTTGGAACATACCTTTATATGCTTTATTATTAATTTGTGAAATTTTGATTGAAAGCGCCACCTTGCGTCAAAACATTGTACTTCTACGACTTCCTTGGCAAGCCTCCTTGCAACTGCCAGGCTGCTCCAGCACCAGCAGAATTATTGAAATAATGGGTGTTAACCAAACGTAAATAAGTGCATCAATTTTTCAACTTTTTCGTTCCGATTGATTTTATTTGGCCGTACAATCGTTCTGGAGCATCGCATTGTCCTTCAAGAAGAGATTGAGAAAAGAAGAAGAAGAAAGCGTCTCCGAAAACTGCGAAGTCGAATCAAGAAAACCACCTGTTTCGTCACTGCCAATAGATGATAGTCGGCGATCTTCAATTAATTTGAAGTTAATCGAACTCAATTGCGTTCTGTTCTGTGGCCAATTCCTCGAATTTCCACGCAGATGACTTCAGCTCAGTGATGTAGCCAAAGTCGAAACGCTTCGAGGAGCAGAAACATGTCGAGAGCTGATAAAACCAAGTCCGGATTTGTAAGTCTCACATTTCTTTTACTACGCATACTACAAACTTTCGAAGTTTTGGCTTTTGGCATTCCTTTTAGTCGTATTATGTTTACCCTCCACAAACCTGAGATCAGTGCATTCTCAATTTAAATAACTGATTTAATTATTTGGGCAGTCAGAGACTGTGGAATTTTCAATCAAACTATCACTTCATTAGAATATTATTAAGGAGAGCGTTTCCGTTCCTGTTCATAACAGGAACTTGTTGGGAAACAGGTGCAGCCTTTGGGATTTTGCTAGTAATTTTTACAATGTGTAAGGGTTAACAAGAGCCCTAGACAGGAAGAACAATGAAGTAAAAAATATTTTCCTACCTATATACGTGTTCATGAAGCATTATAATATTTTTTAATAATATTTTTTTATCTTTTAATTGTTCCTATTTTGGCATGAATCATGTTCATTTCACATTTATCAAGATCGTCGCCGTTCCGCCTCAAACAATCTTGCTTCAATAATTACTGATTGCTCTTCTCAGTGTTTATATTCACTATTTTAACCATCTTTCCACATTAAAAGACCTAGATTTTATTTAAAACACAATAATAAAAAAAAAATCAAACTATGCGTAATAGAAAAAATAAAGAAGTCGCGCAATTTGATGGCACCCAAGCGTGCAAAATGCATTTTAATTTTATTAAGAAGTATCACGGTCCTTGAAAATTGTAAAAAAATCTAAAATAGTTAATTAGACAATTAATTGAGATGTTTTATTTTTAACATAAACACGCGAAACTGATTATTTAGCTACTATTGTGTTATTTTTTCAACAACGCTGGTAAAAAATATTTAATTGGCATCAAAAGCGCAATAATTGGCAATCACTTTTCTCTTGAAGTTTCCCTTTTAAAATGAGTCATACTTAGGCTCCAATCTGAACTATCAACCTAACGACCATCTGATAGTTTAACAGTCTATTTTTTCATCAAGCATACATAATCATGACTTTATCTTCTTGTTTCATCTCTATTAAAATAAATGCAGTTTTAATTATTGCTAAAAGCGTTTCAAATTAAAAATCAATTAATAATTTATCAATTTTGAATAAAAAATATCTGTTTTTATTAACATGGATTTCTTATGTCCTCATTTCTGTTGTGACAAATAAACTCTTTGTTCTGCTCAAAGAAGTAAACAATTAACCAAAGTGAGTTCTTATTATCTTGTTCGGCGCTTTACGTGCACGAAAAAGAAAGTTATGCTGTGGCATTCGCTGCAATAAAAGCGCGCCTAATCTTTGTATGACTGCCAATAATTTACATTTGACACTCCATGCGCTGCCCTCGCACCGACCATACCACACCGTCTCTTCACAGTAGATTACATCACCTTCACAATTAACACGTGTGCCATGGAGGGACTGTGGAGAATGACGTCACCCGTCTAAAAAAAGCGCCGTTGACCTAGGGAATCTTTCGCGCGGCTTAAGTGATTTTAGATGTTTGTCTTTCACAATTCCTCACTTCGTCGAGTCCAATTCTAGTTTCAATCATTCTAATTCCGAACCATGGTCTGATTAGATTATATCCTTATTGTTAGTCTCGTGCTCTGAATTAATGGCTCAAAACGTTTGGTTCCAGCTGGACACCCTGTTCAAAGGATCCAAGAAAGGCACCGTCCGGAGCAGCAACTATGCAGGCGGACACGGGGGGCCCAACGCAGGTCTGCCAAGACCTCAATCCGAGTCGGATTTCACAGAGATCGAGGAGCAGGAGTTCATGATTGAGCACCTAGATGATGATGGGGTCAATGATCATTTTGAGAAGATGCTGGTAATTATTTATTTTTGATATAATTACATATTGCATTATTTAAATTACCTTGCCATTATAATACCATCAAAAGTTATAGCATGCTTTATTATTAAAGCTAACCACACGCTTAAAATACTTTTCAGGACAACCTCAATCTCACAGAGGAGAAAAAACAGCCTCTTCGAAACCAGCCCATGATGAACAAAAGGCAAATGCTTAAGATGCAATACAAAGGGACAACGTTAAAGGTGGTTCTTCAATTTGCCTGTTTGTGAATAAATTCGTTTATTGATTTTTCATTTTTATTTTAGAGTGATGAAAAATTCCACTCTGCAAGCGACTACATTGAATACCTGCAGCATCCCGATCTGAGTGTAGCAAAACTCCACAGCTGTGTGCAGAGCTTGCGAATCGCGCTCACCAACAAGACATTAAACTTTGTTCAGGAATTTGGCAATAATGGCCTAAAGGCGCTTCTAAATCAACTCAAAACGTGCAATACAAGGTTGTGTATATAAATAAATTTTGCAGTTTTTCTTTTTACCAAAAGAAATATTTTTTTAGAGAAGGGAAAATGGAGAGAGTGCAGTACGAGTGTCTCAGGTGTTTAAAGGCCATCATGAACAACACATTTGGTCTAAAACAGATTCTCGGCCACAAAGAAGCGTTGAAACAAGTGGCTATTGCATTAAACCCACTTCGACAAACTGCAATGCTAGAGGCATGCAAAATAATGGCCGGTAACGCAAAATAAATCAGCTTAAATTTTTTATATAAAATTGAACATTTTAGCGGTGTGCCTTCTGCCGGACGGCCATGATAAGGCATTGGAAGCTATCACGTCGGCTGTGGACGGAGAAGACCGGGATAGATTTACACCTATCGTTCGAGGGCTGATTTTAAAAAGCAACGAGCAACTGAGGGTAATATAATTAACTTGCTGTTTGAACAAATTTCTTATTTTGATAAATTACTGTGTTAGATTGGTTGTATGACCCTTATTAACGCCCTTGTCACCTCTGCCATGGATTTGGACTTCCGAGTTCACCTCAGAAATGAAATGATGAGGGCTGGCCTTGGGGAGTTGCTGGTTCCTTTACAACGTGATGCTGGCGATGAACTAGCTCTGCAAATGAAGATTTTTATGGACCACAAAGAAGAGGACTATGATGAGTTGCTTCAGAAATTTGACCACCTAAGACTTGACATGGAAGATTCTAACGAATGCTTTGAATTTGTCAAGAACTTGACGTCGGACACACCGGCAGAGCCATACTTCTTGTCTATTCTCCAGCACCTTTTATTTATCAGAGATGACCCAATGATTCGACCGGCTTACTTCAAGCTGATTGAAGAATGTGTGACACAAATTGTTCTCCACAAAAGTGGTTGTGATCCTGACTTTTCGGCAACCAAGCGATTTCAAATTGACGTAGAGCCCTTGATAGAAGGTTTAGTAGGTAAATCATTGGATATTTTTTTTATTATCATACTTTACTTAAATAACGTCTTATATAAATTTCAGAAAAATCCAAGGCTGAAGACGAAAGGGCAAAAGAGGCCCTGAATGCCAAACTTGAAGAAGCCCTGGCTCTGAAGCAAGAAGCTGAAGCTCGACTCCAGGTTGCAGAACAGAAATTGAAGGAAATGATTAGCACTGGTGTCATTCCAACGTCAGGAGTGGGAAAATTGTCAGGGCCTCCTCCACCCCCAATTCCAGGCATGATTGCTAACCCTGGTGGGCCTCCGCCACCTCCTCTTATGCCTGGAATGCCTCCTCCACCTCCTGGCATGATGGGACCTCCACCACCCCCAATGCCTGGTATGGGCCCTAGACCTCCGCCTATGCCAGGAATGGGAGGGCCTCCAATGCCTCCACCACCCCCAGGTAACAAATAATGACTGAAGCTTGCCCTCTCAATATTTTTTTACCATTGAGAAGTTTGTATAAACAATTTTATTTTTTAAGGTATGGGTCCACCACCTCCACCAGGAATGGCGATGGGACCCCCGAGAGCGCCTGACGTTCTGCCGTATGGGTTGAAACCAAAGCGCAAATGGGATGTTGGCGGGCCCTTGAAGAGAGCGAACTGGAAAGCTGTAAGTTGCACATTTTTTCTAGATAAAAACATATGTCATTTTTGCACTTTTAGATTGTACCTCAAAAGATGTCAGAAAAAGCATTTTGGATCCAAGTCAGAGAGGAAAAGCTTGCCTCGCCAGATATTCTGGAGGGATTGGCGCAGAAATTTTCTTCTAAACCTATTTCTAAAAAGAGTGATGATAACATAGAGAAGCAGCCTAACAAAAAAATAAAGGACTTAAAAGTATGTGCAGTGTTACTTACTTAAGAATTGCAATTAAGTGTGCAAATTGCAGGTACTAGACGGAAAAGCAGCCCAGAATCTTTCAATTTTACTAGGAGGGTCATTGAAGCACTTGTCTTATGAGGATGTCAAGCGCTGCATTTTGCGGTGTGATATCGAGTCATTGCCTGATTCAGTTCTTCAGCAACTCATTTCGTACCTGCCACCTCCTGATCAGCTCAAGAAGTTGCAAGAATTCAAATCACAGTACAACGAACTCACAGAGGCTGAACAGTTTGCAGTTACTGTAAGATAAATTTAGGCTCTGTTTCCTCCTTTTTAATGTCTAATTTATTTAGATCTCAGAAATCAAGAGGCTTCTTCCACGGTTGAAATCCATGAGCTTTAGGTTGCACCAGAGCGAAATGGTTCAAGATGTGAAACCAGTAATTATAAAAAAATTATGCTCTGATGAATTTATTTTAATCTATAAATTAGGACATTGTGGCCGGGACTGCAGCTTGTGAAGAGATTAAAACCAGTCAGAGGTTTGCACGCATTCTCGAACTCATCCTACTCATGGGGAACTACATGAACAGTGGGTCAAGAAATGAAGCTGCCTTTGGATTTGAAATTAGTTTCCTACCAAAGGTGATTTTTATTTTTATTCTTGAGCGGCAAATGAAGTCCATATAATCGCAGCTTTCAAGCACAAAGGACATTGAAAACAAAAGCACCCTGATGCACTACCTAGCAGAGACTGTAGAGAAAAAGTTCCCTGATCTGTTGGCTTTGTCAGAAGAATTGGCCCATATCGACAGGGCAGCAAGAGTTTCCGTCGATACAATTGGCAAGACACTAAGGACCATGGACACATCCATAAGAAATTTGGAGACTGATTTGACCAATTCTAAAGTGCCTCAAAACGCTGATGATAAATTCTATGATGTTATGAGCGTATCCTTTCACAATAGAAATATTCTACTAATCTGAATTGTCTTATTTTCCACGTATTTTTTTGTTTTTCCTTAACTCCAAGAACAGGAATTTGCTAAGGAAGCAAGACAGCAGTGCGATCTTCTGACTAACATGTTTAAGAATATGACTAGCCTCTACAAGGAGTTGTCGGAGTTTTACGCATTTGATGTGGCGAAGTACACTTTTGAAGAATTCTACACGGACATAAAATCCTTCAAGGATTCCTTCTTGGTAAGCAATGATTAATCATTCAAAAATTTTAAAATTCAAACAAAAATTTATTAGGCTGCACACAAGGAAAATGTAAAAGTTCGTGAAACTGAGGAAAAGGCAGAAAGAGCCCGGCAGGCTAGAGACAAGCAAGAACGAGAAAGGGCAGAGCGAATGGCCCACAAGAGAGCTCTGGTGGACATGAACGGGGCTGAAGAGGGCGTGATGGACTCGTTATTAGAGGCTTTGCAGACTGGATCTGCATTTACTCGAGAGCAACGGCGAAAAAGAGCCCCAAGGGCTGCTGGTGGTATGTTAATAGCCACATTTGAGAGTTTAGTTTGTGCTAAGCTTGATTTAACTTTTAAGCCGAGAGACGGGCGCAACTAAGCAGAAGTAGGTCGAGAACAGGGCTGGCCACAAACGCACTTACAGGGCGAGAGCTGGGGTGAGTGCAAAAGCCATTTTCTTGCTTGCCTTATTTTTTAGTTGAAATTGAAATACTTCCTTTTGCGTTTTCCTAAGTTATTTATAATATAGCAAAAAACACGTGAAGCGCTGATGATTCTAACGAAACCCAATTTATAATTGCAGAGAACTCTTGGCTGCATAGCATCTCAATAATTATTCACCAAATGAAGAATACGTACTTCGAAAATTCCAAACATCAAAGTTCAGTGCCTCACTTTTTATAAGTTAACTTTTCACGCAGATATTGTAGTGGCGCTGAGCCAATCAACGTCAACTATTTATATTGATATGATTTATATAATGTGCAAATTACCGCTTACGCCTGAAATTTTTATAGTACCATCTATTTTATACAAAGCTTGAAGCTCAAGCTTTTTGAAATAATAATAATAATAATGGGCATCATAATAGGTATTCCTAAGGATTGCGGCCGTGATGTTATTGTCTGAGACGACTAGGGAACTGTATTTTGTATTTTTATAATATGCAGGGCAATTGTCAAGCTGATACAAATTTATAAATAGAGCGTACTTTGCCTGAACTAAAGTAATTGTGTATTATCAATACAACATCATTTATGGTTAAGGTCTGTAATCATAGCTATTTTTCTAAAGCTGAAATAAAACCTCGTCAAATAATGAAAGATTTAAGAAAGATATTTGTCTCTTTCAATTTTACCAATTATCCATTAAAATAAAACTATAAAAGCATGAAGGGTTGGAGGTGAATGAAAAGAAAAATAATTTTTTACTAAATATCACCCTCTTTTGACTTTTTCTGTACATTCAAGAAATTATTTGCCCTTGTCCAGTATCAACCAATAAAGTAAAGCGGGCTGGAGTTGCACCCATTGGAAACTGCGGGAAAACGGGAAATCGAGTTTGAGGCGCGCGCATCCCGATCACCGACACAGCGATGCTCGTTCGTTTGGCAGGTTTGATTCACGCCCGCGGCAGCCTTCGTAAATGGCATTGAACAGGTGCAATATAACGCGCCCCAGCTGCAGGTGCACAAACGCCTATGAAAACTGATAAATTCGATGTTCGATTTCTAATCATTGGAGGTTTGGGGGAACGGAGCTGTCGATCGGGCCAAACTGCGAGTTAGGCTGCAGCCAATAGCTAAGTGTGCGGGTATCAGGATTGCGTAGGAGGTCGAGCGCCGCTGGCACGCAAGGACTCGGGATAAGGACCGATGCGGGTCGCATGGATTATTGTTTTATTTTCTAACAACGCAATAAAGAATTTCCGATCGAACATATTGGAAGGCGAAGATCAAAATCCACATAGACAATTGACATGGTATTAATTAGCGTTTTGGGGGGTGGTGTGTGTACCGGGGGCGAGTCTCCGTGTCGACGATCGATCGGGCAGGGCTGCGAGATGAAGGCGAGACGCGGTGGGGAGAGGCGCGTGCAAGAGGAGAGGTTGCCGAAAATACGCACAAAAGAAGGGACAAAAGAGTTTCTGCGTTCACCTTGGTGTTCCCATTGAGGACAGGCGAGCATATTCCGCTAGGAGGTTGCCCAGCTTTGGTGCCCGACCAAATCGGCAATGCGTGTGCGTAAAACAATAGATCGATACTCGGGGTGTCGTCCGCGAATTTTCGTACTAGGTCCATCACATGCGCGCTGGAGTCCAACTTGTGCCGGGTAATTCGTAACAGGAAATAATCAATCCAATCGCTTTTCTGTTTTTTCTTTTCTTACCTATTCGCGTGTTCTTTCACTGAATTAACTGCAAAAAGTCACGCACCCTGCAAAAAATCCATAAATATTGATTTTTGTGTTTGTTTGTTGCTGACAAACAACAAACGCACCATGAAAAAGGCTACTTTTTTCTTCATACGACAAGAGATTTTTATTGACTCAATTTGTTAAAATTGGTTTCCCTTTCAGGCAACCGTTACTGAAATCGCGTGTTACTATCCAAAAGTATGGCAACTGTTAAACCAATTCCTTTTTTTAAGATTACATTAAAATTTAAGACATAACAGATATTCTAAACATAATTAGTCCTGTTCGAATTACAACAAATTTCACAGCGAAGGAACGATAATTTTTTCTTTATTAATTTTTGAACGTTGATTCAAAATAAGTAGGGCTCACGGAATGAAAATTAAGGAGTTTAGGACTAATAGAGAGTTAATTAAAATAAATATATTCTCAGTAAATTATTAAACTGTACGATAGTGGAAAAAATGTAAAAGAAACGGGGACACAAAATATATTTAAGATAAAATCTTGATTGCACAGCAGTTGAATCAAACAACCAGGGACGTGCTCAGCAGGCAAAGGCTGGACACGAGATGCAGTAGTAACTTGGGCTCTAGTCATTTTGCTGAGACTTTGAGCGGAGCATTGCGGACAGTTCGATGTTGATACCTGAAGACAGTTTAATTAATTAAATTAAAACATTATAATTTATAGATAAAAATTAAAAAAAATCACTATATTTTTGTAATGCTTTTAAAAATTTTTTTTTTTTTAAATTTAAATTGAATTTATGCTACTTTTATTATGTATTATTAGGAAAAAGTAGATACCTTTTCATGCCAGGGCTGGAATCTGACCTCAAACCACTCCCTGAGCAGCTACTTTCAAGCAACTGCAATCGCCTCTCCGCAGTTGCACCTTTAAAAAAGGGTAACATGTTAAGAGTTTTCTTTATGCACGAAAAAGTCAATTACACTACCATTTATCACGCGATTGCTGTGGAACATGTCTTCTTTCTTTCCCCGAACAGTGCCCTTTCGATTGGCAGGGGGTATGATCCGCTCCACGGGTGCACGAACCTTACTCAGGTCAGATTTGACGACACTTTCACTACTCGTCTTGGATACCTTGCTTGATTCCTGGACGGACGTTGAGTTAGCCGATCGGCGGCTTTTACTCATGCGAAGCCTAAATTTAATTTTTCAATTTTTTGTGGTGATGGATATTTTCATTATTTTACCTCTCCTTGGCTATTTCAGCTTCCTCCTCGTCGCCTTTGGATGAGTTCAACGAATCGGATCTCTTCCTAGGCACTCGTTGCCTCCGAGACGTAGGGGTGCTGAGCTCAGTCAATTTAGACGTTCTTGTTCCATTAGTGGTTGTTTTTCTTGTCCGCAATGACCGAGGGGTTGTGTTGGCTTCGTGGCTTGTGCTCTCAACAGAGGAGTTTGACGATGTGCGACCAATATTGGATTTTCTCAATCTGTAATTTTCATTTTCATTTAAAAAAATTTAAGTGATCAAATTGAATATTATTATATTGCTTAATTTGCAATTTTTTTTTGTTACCTGCTACAAGTAGTTCTTGTCGTTGTGGAAGAGGAAACTTTAGAGATTTTCTCATTGTTGACCTCTCCTTCTTTCAGGGCTGGGAGCAAGGTGACAGGGCGCGGTGCGTCTTCGTCGCTGGATGGTGCCGAATCGTCATAACCGTTCACAGCCTGCAAAATCTCATCGGCCGCTCTCGTCAACTCTTCAATAAGAGCCGTGGTACTTGTTTTCTCTTTAGTAGAGCTTCTGCGCTGTCCAAAATCGGTCTTACTCGGTACGCTCTTTGACGGACTGGGTTCTCTTTTCCTCACAGGCCTCTCAACATCCTCTTCTTCCGAGTCATCGAGACGACGCCGGTCATCAGAAGGTCGTGGCTCCACTTCCAAAACCTCTGCTCCGAAATAAAACTCTGGCTTTTTCTTGCGCATTGCTGGAGAACTCGTGCGGGTTGAGAACTTGCTCTTTGCTGGAGAAAGTGATCTGGGCGCCGTGATGTCGCCGAGGCGCACCGGGGACCCTTCTTTTTTGCTCAAGGACGAGTACTTGGACTCAACCTTGCTGGCCTGGAAAGCTGACATTTTCTCCAGGCGCGGGCAAGTGGGCTTGTTTGTCTCAACTTTATTGTTGTCACTGGGATACTTGATGGGCCTGGTGCATTTGACGGGTATTGGCGCCACAATCTTGGTCGGCTCGTGTTCCTTTTTGGCAAGTGGTTTCGCAGGGGCATTGATCGAAGCCAAAATTTTTGGCTGGCTGCTTTGGTAGCTGAGCGATATTGATGTTATGCTAGACCCTGAATTTGCGGCGGCATTGCCATTGCAAATGCGTGGGTTGGCAGGCGCGATGGGAGCAACAATTTTTGATGGGCTGATTTGCGGAGGCGACCTGTTAGAACTTGTTTCCACCACATCCTTCTTCTCGTCTGAAAACATTGAATGTCAAAATTAGGCTCTATCGCAATAAGGAAAAGTTGTAAATTTAATGAATTATGTTTCCTAAACACGAATGCTATTTATTATAAAGAAATATTTTCTTTTAATCCAAGAAAAGAAACACTCCCCTGATATTCTTAAATCAATCTGAATTAAGTATGTTATTATTTTTCATTTACTTATTGATGGAGAAAATTTAATGGCAAATGCCTTGATCAATCATCAAATTAAAATGAATTGATTGTTGTAATTAATTATATAACTAGAAAATTTACAAATTCTGAAAGATATAAATAAATTAATCCATTTTAAACTCTCTAGAAATGAGATAGTATTTATATAAATTTAATTATTATTTTTAATTTATGCTAAATGCTGATATTTTTAAATGGCATATTTAATTATTAATTGTTACAATTTGTTTATACGCAATACAAACTTTTTCTTCATGCTTTTCTAAACTGAATAATTAACTTTTATTTTTACTCTAATTATAGGACCACCCAACCCAACCTCGCTTTTATTAAATATCTAAATTTTCGCCTCACTTCCCTCTGATAGTGAAAATGATTAAAATGCAAATCATGAGATTCTTTCTTGAAAATTTTCAATTTCCAGTACCTCGATTAATAAGAGATCTGGGTTCATTCAAAGCGTCCAAATTGATCGCGCCACGCACATATCCGTTCTTCATTGCTACAGTCTCGTTGAGAAGGCTCGGCGCATTCTGTTCTCCCACACCTTGGAACTTGTGGAACTTCTGACTCAGTCTAACCACTCGCATTTTACTCCAGCTGCCGGACGCAACACTGGGTGAAGTGGAGGTGTTTTTGTTCATGCGTCGTGGTGGTGGCATCGGTGGCTCGTTGGGACTCATGAGCGAGCAAACCTCACGGTCGGCGGCGTCGCAGTCTTCGCCATCGTCGCTCGCTTCCTCATTCATCTGCCGTAGCTGCCTCAAAGAGGTGAAATGACTGATCACAGGGGTGGTCGGGGTACTGTTGCTGCTGCTGATGGGCATGAAGGGTTTGAGCAAAGTCGTCGGCGAGTCTTTTTTCAGCTTGTCGATCTGCATGATTAGAGATGGCGAGATGAGCACACCGTTCGAGCCGTGTCCCCTTAAAATCGGCTCAAAGTTTATGCTCGGCGGCGCCGCAAGCCTGTTCTCGGCCGCGGTTTTGTCCTTGGTCGGAATTTTAAAAGCGGTGCCAGTGTGCACTAGTTTATCCTTGGCTGCGCTCTCTGCAACGAAACATTTTGTTTGGCTTTTGGAGCGATGATTTTCTGGGGTCATGCATGAGTTAAATTATTGAATTAGTCGTGTGCGGCACCCTTTTAGTGGAGCGAAATGGCATAAGTGTGGTGAAATATAAAAGAATTGTGGGCGGTGAATCTTCAAACTTTTTGTATCTCGCGTTTGAAGTCCAGGCACATGCACTGTATGTTGGTGTGTGTGGAATTTTCTCGCTGGCAAACAGAAGGAAGGAGCGGACAACAGGTGGATGTATAATATAGCACAGAGGACAAGAATTTTTATTTGCATAATTATGCGCGTCTTATGGTAGTGACTCGCACTGGGTATATATGAGAATGATTTGCATGCGGAATAAATTTGAAATAAATCAAACAGAAAGTGAAGCGAAAAATAGACAAATTTAATGCTAAAATTGGCGATAAATTTAAAGCGATATTTAATGATGAGATAAGATATTTCAAAATACCCCAAAACGAATGCGTTTTTTCATTTTAAATAAATGAAATAATATAAATTATGTGCAGCAAGCTTTTCAAGTGGCCGATAGAAAATTTCGGAAAATTTAATTTCCCTCGTAGCACTTGAGACCCAGCAACCAAAGAACATCCTGAATTTGCATATGGAAATAATTACCTTTCGCGACCTCCGCGTTATTCTCCATCTCTCCGCTTCCTTGCAGCCAAATCGACTCGGAGTTTCTCACAACCGTGGTCCCACCGACGTTGACCGTTGTTGAAAATCCCTTTGTCTTGCGATCTTCCAGATAACGAATGCGCTCTGGGACGGAAAATTGCAACGGCTCCTCCTCGGTAATATGCAAGCTCTGTGTAAAATCTACGGAGCGCCGCTGGACTGGAGTTGGTCGCAATGATTTAATTAATTTTTGCAGCTCCATCGGTCCAGCGTTTGAATCTAAGGTGCTGTTAGGGCTGCTTTTAGAAATTTCAGTGGGCGGCTGGAAGCGAAGAGCTACGCTAGATTTTGAAATTACAGTGGTTTCATTTATTGAAGAGGCTCGTGGACGAATTTCAAGATCGGTCGGTCTGTTTATCGTAGTGGCAAAGATTTGTTTTCCCTCGGATTCAGATTTGTTTTCAATAGCGGCAATTTTCACGTTCAATTTTTCAGTGATCTCTGAATGATTTGTTTTGGTTTCCACGCCTATGGTTAGCATTTCTTTTTCATACGTCGTGTCGCCAAAACGTAATTCCGGCAAGGGTGGCTTTTGAGCAACCTGGGGAGGGTTTTCGGTCGTTGTGTTGGTGACTGGGTGCGACCGGCGTCTTCGCCTGAAGTTGTTGGAAGGCGGTGGCTTCTCGTCCGTCTCAACGATGTTAAATTTTCCTGACTCGGCGGCAAAGTGCACTTCCGTCTTGCAAAATTCCACTCTTTTATTTTTCTTGACTTGCGTGTTACTGAAACTGTGCGAGGTTTCTTCCATTTCAACGGTGGTTGAAGTCAGTGATGTTGTTCTATCGTCTTCTCTGTGGTTACCAAACAGGGTACTGTCGCCTGCCCAACTTCTTCTCTTCAACGGTGCCAGTCCATCCAACTGTCGTTTGGAGACCCAACCAAGTGACTCAGAATCTTGCGTGGAACTTTCAGCATCAATCATACCGCGCAAGGAGAATCTCTTTCTTTCAGCTTCTTTGACGGACAAGTCTTGCTGGAAAATAATAGGAATGGTGATCAGGTTCTGCCGTGCGGGACTACTCGTCTTTCTAAGCGTGGGCGACTGGCTCTCAGAAACCATGCTACTACGGAAAAATGCAAAGGACTCGTTGAACCTCTTTTTGGTGGGAGAGAGCATGTCCTTTGAGTGGTTTTCGTTCAGGGTGACGAATGTTCTGTTCTTATCAGTCAAACTCTGTGGCTCGATCGGTGTTATGTGCCAGTCGGTGTCAGTCTTTCCAGAGGCACTACCAAAGTTGGTAGTGGAGGAAGCCATTTTTGTGCTCTGCTCGATGGCTCGCACGAGACCACTGCTGCTGTTGATCTGCTGCTCGTCGTTCTTGAGTATAATGCTCTTCGGCCCACTGTAGTCGTCAACGTCAATTGGATCAAAATGCTTCAGCCGACTGCGCACGTCCCTCAGTGACTCAACGGTGACGAAGCTGTGCCTTTTGGTAGCAATCACCGGTGCAAAAGTGCCACCGTCCTCCTTGGTGCTGAACTGAAGCGAGCGGCGAACCCTAGCTCCACGTCTCCAGCTGCCCGAGTCATCACTATCTCTTCCTGGGTCACCAATTGGCAGGTCATCTGTTGAGGAACTCTTGCTCAGTCGGCGCCCCAGGAGCTCTCCTAGTTTCAGACTGTTTTTCAGTTCATCAAACGTCAAGGATCTCGATTTGTTAGCCTCCAGAGAGTCCTCTTGATTGTTCTCTGATTCGTCTGTTTCTTTATCTGCTCTGCCACTTTTGGAAGCACTAAGACGTCTTGACCTTGCAGAAGGTGGTCTTCTACTTCCAATGGCGCCGCTCCGACCGACGCTTGCTTTCATTTTAAGGGTGCTCACATCAATGGGGTTGATTTGCAGCTGCAACAAAAATCGGAATTTAAATTAATTTACGAAAATATGACAAACAAAAATGCTGCTAAAAAGATCGGCGCAAATACGGTATTTTGAATGGCTAGCAAGCCGCACTTTGAAAATGTGTTTGTTGCTTAAAATTTTAATCTCCGTCTTTCATAATGAAAGTAGTTTTCTAGTTTTTAATTTAAACGAAAATTTGTCTCAATCTTGATTGCTGCATCATTAAAATTAATAAAGAACCTCATTAAGTAATATTTAAAATTTGACGGTGTATTAAAAGTAACAAATTATACGAAAAGAGCGGAAGAGCGAGAGCGAACAATTTTAAGACCGGAGCGATTGAAAAGAGGGAACTTTAAAATTTGGTGAGAGGAGCGACAAGTCTGCTCAAAGAGCGAGAGCGGAGCGGAAAAGTGAGAGCGATGGCAAGTCTGAAAATATCCCTCTTAACGTAATCAAGTTATGATGCGTGATTTTTAAAGTTAAATCTGCTTGTGTTAAGATTAAAACAGCACCGTGAAACAAAGCAAAGTGAAAATATGTATTACCGATCATTTTTTGTTGTTTTGTTTGTTAGAGCTGTGTCACTTTTATTTTTATTGCCTCCATAGCTTTTACTTGATTTATATTGTTTTGTAATACACGCGTTCCATTTACAAGAAACAGCAATAATTTTTACGATCGAGTGATTGCTGCTTTTCCTGTCACGATTCCTTATTCATGTCAAAAATGATAAGTAAGAATTGCACCACAAAAAAATGTCTTCATCAAAAAATAAAATAAAAAACTATTGAAGCAATAACTCATATAGATACCAATTAAAATTGCCAATCACCTGCAACTTATTAACATATCTAGCACACAAAGACGGATGCTTGTGAACACCGCGATCATAAAAAAAAGCTCTAGCAATATCAACCGAATGCAGGAAGATTCTCCGCGAATGCGAAGAGAGCATTGTTTACATAATTGGTTTCCTTTGTGATGACCTCACGCCATATATTCGCCGAACGCCAAATTTTAAATTACACGTAATGAGATTCTGGAAAGTATAAAGAACGTTGCAAATTAAAGCGCTCCGCGTCAACATCCTAAAAAATACGCGCCTTTCTCAAGGTCGTGGCGAGAAGCGAAAAATGCGCGCAAAGTGCAAATTAGGATTAGAGATACTTTGCATTATTCTGGAGAGTTAAATAGAAAAAAAAGGAAATTTAAAATAAAATTTCACCTCAAGGTTGGCGAAGTTATCCGTTATAGCTGGCTGCTCCAGAGTGGCATCGGCAGTCGCCTGGGACCTCGAAGACCATCTCGTCCGACTGCTCACCTTCAAAACAAAAATATCAACAATGAGCTGCAATAATGTAGCTTAGTCGAGTTGAAAAGTGCGACGAGGACGAGAAGGGCCTTGGTTCTGACCGCAACCACCCGCGCGCCCTTGCCGACTCAGCTGCCTCGCACTTTGCAACAAAGTCACATCGCCAAATTTGGAAGCGACGTTAATATCCTTATTTAATGCGGTAATAACACGGTAGTGTGGCACTCTAATGTTACACGTTTCCAGCCCATCTGGTCAGTGGCGTGATCTGAGAGAGACAATTTTAGGAAATTGCTTTTGAATCAAATAAAAATCGATAAACTAATGAAAAGATTGACCCACGTAAAAGTCTCATAAAGCTGCACGAAATAATTCATTTTATTATTTAAATATTCGGGATAATCAGATTTATTTTTAAAATAAATGATAAAAATAGGCGTGAAGCACTTTAATTCTAGTCTAGACTGTTTCTTTTTTTTATGTCTTAAATATTTATAAAAAAATACCGATGTGAAAGCTTTAAATTTTAAGGAGATAAATTTACACTCTCATTGCAGTTGCGAAACTTTCCATTCGAGCCCAAGATGATATATCGCAGATAAAATCTGTAACTTATCACCCGCAACAATCAATCCAGATTCAGAGTGAGAGGGAAGGGAGACAAAAAACAATCGACCGCGCTCGTTTTATTTACGCAAGCTCTAATTGCAAGTTTGCTTATAATATGCTCCGGGAGTAATACACTGCCTAGCTGTGTTTGTGTGGGAAAAAGCTCCGCCACTGCGCCGAGCCGCGGTGCCAATACACTTTTCTTTCTCTCGCTGACGCCGTGCTCTCGGAGAACTTAACTCTCGAGAGAGAGACAGGCGAAACAAATAGCTCGCGCCTTGGTCAAATTGAGTTTTCATTTAACACGGCAATGAGGAATTCTCCACGCCCGTTTTCAGCGTCCCATGTCAATTTTTGAGCTTTTCCTGTTTTGCATGTGTCGTCCCGAGTCGGGAACCGTAATCCGTCATGATTTATCGCGGATCGGACTGACATGTGTTCCGAATAAGGCTAAAAGCATTCCATTACTGTGTCATTGGCACCACAAGGTCACACTGCATTAATCATTTTCTCAACTGCACTTCCTAAAACGCTGCTTTTTGTTCTACTCCTGCACTCTCAGTTGCTTGTTTGTTTTTTTCTCTCTCTCTCATATACACATATATTGCCATTGTCAGATGCACTTCCTTACAAAGCACCTATTGTTCCTCCTCTGGATATTTTCTGCCTCAAATCAAATTTACAAAAGAGGCTATAAATTGAAAAGTAATCTTATTATGCACGCCTTAGATGGTCATATTGCGACAGGATTCAATGAATAACATTTAACCTCCATCAAATAAAAAATTCATCCTTGGGATTTGATGCAACAGAACAAATAATTACCATAAATTTCACGTTTAAAAAAGCGGATGTGCCACCACAAATTGCTAAGTTAATTTTCAACAAAAATAGCTATCGAAGCCTGAGGACTAACAAGAAAAGTAAATAAATTTAAGCTGATTATAACTTACTGTGGTCGAGGTGCCAGTGGTCCTGGAGCCGTGGGCGCTCCAAGCAGCGGAGGTCTGGCTTTTGACCATTTGCAGGGCGCCGCCGGCCACCTTGGATTGGAACACTTCAAGCTGTTGCCTTTGCAGGTGCTGGCCCTTCTCGCCAGTCTTGCTTGCGTCAACCACCTTCTGCAAAGTGTACAAAACAATCTCTTTTTATTTCTGTTCGGCGTTGACGCCCTGTATTCATTGTCAGGGAAGTGAAACAGTTGACTGGCAACATATTGTTATTTGCAAAACCCTTCAGTGCAGCACACAAAAATAAAACAAATATAAGTTGAGTTTAACAACTCAAGGCTCACTGCGGTGGATGGGGTCTCGGAAGTTTTAGTAAAATTCTTGCTAGAGGTGGTGCCGTTTTGTACAAAAATTCCTTTTTTTAACAGTTGAATGTAACACATTTGGACAAATAAACAAAAATAATATTTGAGATATCTTATAAGTAAAATTTATTTGCAAATAAATCTCGCTTTCGCTTTGATTGGGAAAATTAAAATTCATATATATTATGAAAAATTGAAGAAATCATATATAAATTTCCAAATTCATTTTATTAATTCTTAAGTGCAAGAATCAATGAAAGTTAAATAATACATCAAAGCAAAAATAATTACTTTCTTGTTAATGACCGAAATTTATCAAGCGTGCCCTAGGCAATGAGTTTAAAACGGTTTATTGCTCTACGCTACGACGGTGGATTACATCACGGGCTAAAATTAATTAAAATGCAAATGCAGCCTTCATTTCCTTCAAAAGCAGGGCAAACGCATCTTTTGTTATTCAAATTTCCTCGCTGAGGCCAAGGCTCAAAAGAGCTCTTTTAGGTTTTTATGCGTGGCCAAAAAAAATTACAATTTGTACTCACTTTTCCATATTTATGCGAGCCACCTTGGGCATCTATTCCAGCCCATTGATCCGTCTGCACCCGAGCGTGCTCCAGCATTCCGGTGAGCTCGTCAAGGCGTGACCACTCCTCTACGTCCCGCCGTCCGAACGGGCTGTCGCCGCCGGTCCGCTGTACTACCTCCATCCGGTCTCACGATCTTTTACTCATCTCACAGATTTCACGAACTGAAACAAAATAAAACCAAATAATTTTAGCAACATTTTATTTCATTTTAAATTTGAGTTGTTCATTGATATCATTTATATGTCAGAAAGAAACAATTGATTTTTTTTTATATTATTTATTTTTTATGGACCATTAGTTGATACTTTGATTTAATCCAGACGCAATCAGCGCTTGGCCGCATTTGAAATGAAATCCAATTAAACAGCACGATCCACTTACTACGATGGAGTTATAAAATGTAATTGCATCTTAATTATCACCTGTGCACGCAAGCTGTGGCTGTGTTTTGAGAGAGAGCAAGCAAGTGAAAGAGAGTAAAAAAGCAAACACGTCGCTCTTTCGGAAACAGGAGCAGGCGAAAAACACCAACATGATAACGCAATTAGACGCCCAGAGCTGCTGCAGAGCGTAGATGAGCACGGGAGATGCATGAAATTAATTCGAAACCGCGCGATGTTCCTCTTTTCTTTTTTTCTCCTCGGCGAGTGACACGCGAAAACGCTGTTGCTGCGAATGAGGTTACAAGATAAAGCAGCAGCAGTTTTCCACCTACGTCGAAGTGGGTTACGAAAATTAGCGAATTGTCATCAAACAAAGACCGCGCGTCGGGATAAATATGGAAGCGGTGCGCTAAGTGCACTTGCAGTTATCCTCAGTCAGCAGCAATTACTCTTGCACGGAATGCTAATTGGCCGTGCATTTTTGCGCCAGCTGACGTGACTGCTCACCGGCAATTTGCCCTGCGAGAGACCAGAAATCAGCAGCAGTTTTCCGCTGTGTAATTACATTTTGCCATAAAATATCGAATTAATTTTTAATGAATCTCCGCTAGATTTGTTTCACATGAATGCGGTCGTTTGAATTATTATTATTATTCTAATTGAAAGACAGCTTGGCGGAGAAAGCACCCGACCAGAGCGCGTATTCACGTCACGAAATTACGCGCGCAAAGTGCTTGCTCTTTTGTAGGCTAATTGTGCCAAATAATAGGATGCAAGACGCCCAGCTGAGACGTATGAAGGATTTAAAGGGTTATGCGTCGAAAATAAAAACACGCTCGCTTCTCTTTCTTAACAAGTAACGGGCCCGTTTGGCGAGTTCATAAATTACCTCCTGGGCGAAAACAAAGCCTTTTAAATTTCAAAACAAAAAGACCGCGCAGACACGCCAAGCTGCGAAACATCTGCCTTTTTTATCGTCACAAAGAAAGAATGAAAGACCACTTTTTGTGGCATTCCTTGAATTTACAATGAGTTGAAATTAATTTCTCGTGTCTGGCAAACATCTGTGCGCTTGAGATGAAATTTTCGCATAAATAAAGTCACTTTTGGGAATAAACGAGCAGGAAGAAAGATTTCTTGCTCCAAGCAGCATTCGTCGCGCACAAACATTTAACTGTTTTCGCGGTAAAATATGACTTGGTCTTTCCAAAATTTTTATATCCAGCTGTTGACATGTTCTTTTTGTGCCCCAGGATTGTGGAAATCAGCCTGAAAATCTCGCATTTTGTGAGAAAAATGACATCGTATCGTCTTTTTCTCTCAGCTTGCGAAACAAAAGCCGCGCAACAAGTTGCTCTAAATTTGGCCAAGAAGGAAAAGGAAATGAGTTGACAACAGACGGGCTCCTTTTCTCTCTCCACGTCCAAAGATAAAATTCACCACATCTCACAGAGCCGCTTTATACATAATGCATACAATGGTTAATGAGATAACTGCTCTCGGTGCTTTTGAGCTAGACACGAAGAAAGTGATTTTTTCTCTCTATATTCCGCGCGCGCACCGTCGGCCCTTTCACCGCTGCACGTTTTTAGGAAGCTGAAAAGCGATTTTCTCACCCAATGTAGCCGGCATTATAATTTTTTGCCCCCATTTCGGCAACTTGTTCTTGTGCTCGCTGAGACCAAATTGATTAATAATTTCTCTTCCCTCCACACGTCAGATAAAGCTTTTGCGGTTTGTCCCGAGTTAATCGATTCGAGTCGCAATTTTGCGGTGCAGGCTATTGTGTCGGTGCGACTGATCTGAGTGTCCTTCAAGTAAACTGAAGCCAAAATTTCACTTCACATTCAAATTAAAAAGTTCCTGGCGCACGACTTCATGAAGAAGGAACGAAGTAAATAAATAAAAACGACATCTGGAAATTACCACCGCCCTTGCATTGCATACCGAAAGTTGAAACACTCGCGCGTGTGGGCTGCGGGACATACGCGGAATAAAAGCGGCCGTACATAATTCATTTATTCTAACTCGTTGACTCACAGCGCTGTCGTTTGAATAAATCTTTCCTTCTCGCTTGAAAATAAGAGGATCCTCAACATACATTAGCTTGGTTTCAAATAAGAAATTGTGCCGGGGACTCGTTTATCTCGCGTTGAATCTCGCGCAAACTTTGAGAGCGAGCGAGTCACTCTCTCAGGTTGTTGAAACTTCATGGATCTTGAACCGCGCTCGATCGGTAAACACATAACACACACATCAAGCTCAAGGCTCCATTGTTGTATACTGCATTGTCGGACGCGTTTTGTATAGAAATTTATTTTCTTGTTCTCGGAAAATTTCTCGGGGTATGATTTTGCCAACCAATGCAGTTGCGATTTAATCATGCGCGTCGATTCTGGGAATGGTGATTTGCTTCTGTGTGTCGAACGAAAGAGGTTTTTCACAAAGGGATGTGGATAGAAAAAATGAAAGTACTTATACAACTTTTGACTCAAATTTACAGCAAACTGTCAAAGATAAACATTTCAACAACTCGCGAAACTTGTGAAACGGCAGCAACTAAATTGCTGCGAACCGGACACCTATGAATCACCAAAATGTAAAGTGTGCCAAAAACACCATTACACTCATTTAGTTGCAAAGAAGTTTGTTTTCACATAATTTCGTCCCATTATTTTAGAAATATTGAATATAAAAGTTATTTTAAACACTTTTTATTATTTGATATCCTTATTTTTGTAGACAAAATATTCACAGCAGGCCACAGCTGCGTCGAATAATAGAAATTTCATTCACGTGCGAATTTTTCGAGGTCGAACGCGCCTGGTTTTTTTTAATTGAAATTAATTTAAATAATCCCATAAAATAAGTGTTGAGCCCGTTGAGCTAAATGAAATGAATAACCCTTCCTAGGAGCTTTACTTTCAATCGGCGCGCGAGCAATAATTAGTGATTGTAAGTACTCAGTCGAAAGAAACAGGCCTGGCAGTTAACTGCGGCCGTAAACTAAACACTCTTTTCGTAATCCATCAATTTTGATCGCTCCTCGAAAGCCTACCGTCGTCGTGTCGTGCCTTTTTATGGTGAAACTTTTTTGCTCCCTGCTTTGTAATTAAAAAAGGGATCGTTGCTTCTTTATAAGGCGGATTACAATTTTCAATACAAGCGTCTCTCGAATCACGTTCTTGACACTGTCAAATTTCCTCTCGGCCGTCCACCTTGCATTCTCTCGTGAAATTATCTGGTATATCAGGCAGGAATAATTTGAACAACCGCTGAGTAAGAAGATTGCAGAGCAGAAAAACGTGTACGAGTATTAATTTGGAAAGTCTAAAACAGCCGTTAAACAGGTTGAAAGGAATTTGGTATTTGTAAAGAGTGTTTTTTTTCTTATTTCCAAACGCCTCTTTCTCAAGCATCATTGCAAAATCGCAGTCGAATCGAATGAATAACAAGCGGAGCGATTTGTCGGGACTGCCGGTTGCCACGAGAGTGAATTGAAATTCGTTCATCGAGCGTGATCTCATGCTTGCAAACAATCTGCCGCCGTCCGTGCAAATTATCGGGTGAATTAAGTAAGGAGAAATTGAAAATTCATTTCTTCGGCCCACGCACTGTTCAGCGCCTGCTGCCGCGTTTCAACCAATTTTGCTTGAATTATGAGATCGAAAATGCCGATTTTATCCATCGATGGAGATAATTTTTTAAAGGCTGTGAGATGGAATGCGGGCGTGCTATGAACTGAAATAACGATGGCGTTGTGAATTTTTTTAAATTATTTCCCACGCCGTCGTTTTCATGCTGTGACCCCAGGCGGAGAATAATAAAAAAGAAAACAATTTTTTATTTAGCTCAAACCGATATTTGCATTTTCCCCCCATTATTTTAAATTTTAGGAAGGATAGCTGAATTTGATTTATTTTTACTTTTCAATAAAATTATATTTAAATAACGAAGATCTTTAAATTTTATTGAATAATAATTATACAGAATTTTACCTACTCATTTTTTTTTAAAATATATATAAGAGGTAAGAAAAATGTCACATTAGACTAATAAAGGAAGTCAAACGAAATGTAAGTACGATTGGCTCCAAAATCAATTATTTCTAGAATAATAGCCTCAAAATTGGTTTGTATTTTTTTAAACCTGAAGCTGCTAGATAAGGGAAAAAATTGCCATGGAACCTAATTTCTTCAGAGCTATTTTTGGTTCTGTAATTTATATCAACAAAATGTATTTAATTCATCAAAATATTTAGACTTAATTGAATTTTCAAATTTTGGTCCAATTAATTACATTTTCTCTACATCCGAAAGAGATTTTTTAATTATCCTAATTCTGAACGTTGTTTTTAGTTGGACCAATGCAAGCTCTGTCTATAAAAGATTATAATGTGAAGTTATTCTCAAAGACGTAAAAAAACTTATCAAAAGAATGAGAGATTGTTCCTCCTAGTTTCAATTGTTAACGAGATTGAATTGAGATCTCTAATTTACACATTTCGTTTGTTTATGCATGCGTCGCGCTCAGCTCCGAAATCGTAATAACACACTAATCACACGACGCACTGACGACTCCGAAGTTCACGGCGATAATCACTGTTATTGTAACAGTATTCACGTGAGCCAACTCTCGGCAGCTAAGATTATTGAGACACTTGGAACAATCTCATCCAGACGTAATTACACGCAAACACCGCAGACTGATTTTTTAATCTGGCTGACGACAATAGCGAGCCTATTTCTCGGCCGCAAGAGACTCAAGAAACTTTTCCGTCTTCTCGTTTGCAAAAAATAAAAGAATCACGACGATCAAATGAATTGAATTACACACACCGGTTGCTCTCGCTTGGAAATAAAATACACACATAATCGCTTGGAAGGCTGAACAAAGCCGAGCTTCTTTTACGTAAAACACACAGCCTGTTTTCCTCTTCAGGTCTTTCATCAAATTCTAGGTTCTGCGTCATGATCGAGGTGGGAATAATTCAACCTCCGGGAATCTGAGATGACAAAGACCACGTTCTCTATTATAAGCGAGATGAAAAGTTTTTAGATGCATAATTTTGTCGTTTTTAATGCATGGAAATAATATACAAAATATGCGCAGAAATTTAGATGAATTTGTAATCGGCATTGGAGAATTTTGAGATTTAAAGAAGATTGATGTGTATTTTTCAAGACGCGCATTTTCCATTTTACCTTGTCAAAGTGAAGAACAACAGATCTATTTGCATCGCCCCGAACCTTGAATTATATCCACCTCGTTTAATTAGCTTCGATTGTCCTGCGCTCGGCAAATGAAAGCAACACAGTCTCTTTTCATTTTCTGCAATAACGTGTGTTGTTTCGAAGCCGGTTGAAATTTCATGCCGGCGAAAATCTCGCTGGAGATTTGTCCCGGCCGCTTGAAAACGAAATCGCGAGTGGATTAACATTCTCGCGCGGTGTAATTATTGTCGCTCATTGTGTGCTAATTGCGCCATTCGGCGACCGACACTCAACTTTGAAGTGTCTTTAATATTCAGCAGACGTGCCGTTTGCCTGTCTACACGGAAGACGAACACAAAACGCGCGCGCGTGTGTTGAGTCGAGAGTGCTTTTGATGATTGCAACAACTGATTCATTTGCTTAATCAAATGTGATTCGCTGAAACGTCTTTATCATCAGATCTGACTGTGGCTTTGCGCAATGCATTTTATTTATGAAGCCAATCATTATGTTTTTAATGAATATTTGCGGAGTTAAAAAATTTTATTAATTAACTTGAAAATGATTTAAAAATTAAACATAGTTGAGAAATAAATCTTCAAAGAAATTACAATATAATCTTTTTAAAAAAATTCAGGAAATTAAATAAAGGAAGTTACTTATATCAATAAATAGTTAAAATTAGTAACTAGTAAAAGGTTTTTGAAAAGATATTTAACTTGCAGTAGATAAGTGTTTTTCTATTTTTCTTTACTAGTCATGTAGCCTTTTCGTCCAACGCATTCAATCAATGTTTCCCCAACAATTGATTTCTATAATGGAAATTTTTCTTTTAAAAACAGGATAAATTAACAAAAATAATAAAATGCGAGCATTGAAATCTTTTTTTTTTAACTGGTAATTATAATTTTTTTTTTAACTATAGAACGTTCCTTTTCAAATTTTTTGTTTTATATTTTGCAATAATTTTTGCTTCAATGTTTTATTGATCTTTATTGCCTTATTTATTGCTTGTATTGCTTGGGAAACTGATTTAAATTAATGGAAATAAAGGCAACTGGCAGCACAATGCAAATAGGCGCTGCTATGCTAACGCGAGGTGACAATTTCTCGTTGGAATCAGTTCAAAAGCGATAAAAGTACACGCCTAGGGAATCAGAAATTCAAATGAGCCGCAAATCTATCGCACACGCACGTCCATTTATTTCACAACACACACGCCGTTGCTATCGATCCATTTTCAATTAAACCCTTTCCATGGCGGGCACCTTCTTTTTGTTACAGATGAAACCAACCCGCAGAGAACGAGTTCTTCAATCGGTAGTAGTAGAGCAAATTATCGGCGCTGCATATCTAATTGAGCCTCCGGCGGCCACCGAAGACAATAACCGACCATAACTGTCCCCACGAGTTTGGTAAAAAAAAAAAGAATTCTGGCGGTTGATTACAATTAAATCTGTGAATGTGGGTCGGTGCCCTTATGGGACTCACCAGGGGGTGGTTGCAGGGGTGGTGCGAGGGCTGCGAGTGTGTGTCACCTGGTGCGAGGTCGGCGTGTCTGCCCACCTGAGCTCGGCACTCACTCACTCACTGGCTGGCTGGGCCGCGTCGTGGGTTTAATTCCTCGCGAGTGGGCGAAAAGCAGCTAAGGGTTCTGCTGGCTGGAAAGCCTTGGCCACTCGGAGAAAAGCGAAAGACCGCCGCCGCCGCCGGTCTGGCCGAGTCCCTGGGCTGACTGAGGCAGACTAACTAACCAAAGCTCGGCTTAAGACTGGCTCACCTGCAGAAAGCAGGCAACGCCGTAACTTGCCTTATAAAGGTATAGGTGAGTGAGTTGCCGAGATGAAGGGTGGGGGCATCAAAGAGTTAAAAAGCTGCTGCTGCTGCTGCTTTGACGATTTTTTAATCGCGAACACAATTCAAATGGACACACAACACTCGCCTGCATGCACCCAATATTTTCAATCGCCTTTCCTTTTCTGCCCGCCGGTGTCGCAATTTTGCGGAAAGTCTGGGTCGGCTGATCTGGGCTTGAATATTATATTTTGTTGGGAGGGCAAAGTTTTTTCTACTTTTTTTCGATTTGGAGGTCGACGATCGGTTTCGCTTTCTCTAAAAATTTGAATGAGTCCGTTTCTGAGAAGAGCCCTGAATGGACCAGGGAACTATTCAGGTTGCTGCGACGCATAACAAAAATAAAATGAATACAATTAAAAACGTTTTGATGAGTCAACGTGGCAGATTTGAAATTCAAATTTGTTACGGTGATATATCAATTTAAAGGTCTTTAATACACAAGTCAAAGTAGCCAAAAGCGAAATTGGCGAAAACAAACCATAAATTTTCGCTCGTTGAAAAAGCTTTAAATCGCCGTATGTCATGGTCACGCATAATTCCATATTTGATGAGGAGGAAAGTGAATCACGGTGTTATTAACGTTAATCGGGGTTCCCTAAAATAATTAAATGGAATTTAAAAAAAAAATTATTTCCTCCATGTGAAATCCAAATTGTTTAATTTTTTTTTATCATTTTATATTTCTTATCTCATATAATTTTGGTAAAATTTTAAAATTAATATTTTTTATTGTATTTAAAATATTTACAATAAGTTTGTTATTGTTGCATGATATAAATTTATTTTTCAATAAAGTTATAAAAAGTTGATTTATATTATTAAAAAATGAAATTTAAAATATAAATTGATTGTAAATTGGCAAACATTGTTGAGACAGCGTTCTAAAATCTAAAATAAAAGTTTGATAGCATTGGTAGAATAATCCTTAAAATAATAATCATAATTATAAATTTTACAGATAAAACTATACTCAAAATGGTCTGCGTTATGGAACAAGCGCGCATTGTAACTGAAAATATTTAATTCCGTCGTTTCATTATAATTATAAGGTGTATCTTACTGTTTTAAATCGCAATAAATAAGTATTTTAGCGTATAGAAAATGTACAAGAATTTATCACACTTAAAAAAACCATGTTTAAACAGCTATAATAAAACAATAATTTAATTATATTATTAATGTTAATATATTTAATTTGTGTTTAGTATTTAAATTGAATGAAGATTATTTAAATTTATAAATAATTATTTCGTTAGTTTGTAAGGATTAATAAGTCTGTTTATATCTGACTTGTTGTTAGTTGTTTTCAGTTAACTAGCTTGTATTTTTGACTATGCAATTTTTGGTCAAGTTAATTGCAAGACTCGCTTTACCAAATACATATTGACCGTGAAATCACGCGTTCGAGCTAAAATTCAAAGTGGAAAAAAAATGCGAGTGTAATCTCTCGGCCTCCAAATGAGCAATACCACTCTCGTATTCGCTGGCTACGTGTTTTTCTGGTGCTGTGTGGTCGTTACTCCGCTGATAAATGCCCAAGTCTCAATACTGGACTGCCGAGCAAACTGTGTGTCGGTGTGTGTGTGTGCCGTGGTGATGTCACACTCTAGGCCCACACATTTCACAATAGGGCAGTGGCAGTGGAAAACATTTTGTGTTGTAGGTACGCTCTCTCGAATCCTTCCTCGTTTGCAAGCAAGAAAAATCCCGTCAACGCCACGCGGAGCTCCCATAAATTTGCGGAAATCTCGTTTTTTGGTCACCAATAGAGGACGAGCCTCATTTTTCACCACTGTCTTTATTCTCTTTCGCTCACTCGTTCCCACCGCAGACCATTTTGAGACAAGGCTAATCTGGAAATTTATACGATTTTTATGTTTGTCTCTCGCTGCGAACGAGCAAGAATCTTTGTCAGCTCTTGTAAGTAACAGTAAACGATACTTGACTGCTCAAGGATAAAGCGCAATCGCACTTTGATGAATCAATCTGCTTCTTAATCTCTGCAAATCGAGTGTGAAATGAGAAAAAAGCGAGTGCAACAGAAATCTTCTTTATTTCTCATCGGGGAATTCCATACAGGCAAAATAAGTTGTCTATTACCAATTTTTTCCCCGAGTAATGTATTTTTAATTCACTTTAAGAGCTAGTTAAATGAAAATTTTAATCGCTTTGTAACGATCCACACTGACCTCCACTACATACGTGAAACGAAAATCAATTAGTCGGCGCATAAATTAAACCCTTAATAAAAATTCGTGAGACGCGGTCACTGTGTTGCTATAAAAAGACCGCCGGAGAACTAGCCTGTGGGAAAGACTTTTCAAGCGCAATAAGTTAAATTTCTCCATTTGCACAGAACTGTGTCCATCTACGTAAATCTCAAACGTCATATTTTTATGCCGGTTGTTAACCCAAATATTTCCATTCGATGCTTTTGATTTATTTTCATTTCAAAAGCAATTAAAATCTGGATTCTGCTTATATTGAAAGTCGACTAGGCGGCACTTTGAACTTGCTGCACGTGGGAGATATATCAGCAAAGCCCCTGCAAATGTGAAGTTATGCAACCTGCTGGACTGGAGGGTTGCTCCTGGCTGCCTACATTCTTAATTGCGGTTTTTGCTGATAAAATCTAAAATTTATTCATTTTAATTTATCCATTTCTTCTCAATCCAGGTACACAGAAAATAAGACATCTTAAATCAAATTACATCAAAATTTAAAACAAAATATTATTGGAAATAAATTTCATGTATAATTTGCAAATTAAAATACCTCCCTAGTTTCAATAGATGTAACTATTAATTTATATAGTGTATGCGTCTGTATACTGATGATATTTAATGAGACAATATAAAATAAAATAATAAATTTTTATTTTAAAAGTTTTGAAAATTACGATTCCAAAAGAGGTGATGAGACAAATTTTAGAGTGCGCATCAAATTAAAATGTGTCAAAACAGGTCAAAACAATGCGTTCTTGTTTAATTTATTAATGGCCCACTTTGGGAGGAAGTGTTTCAATAAACAACGTGCAAGGTGGTTGGTGGGCTGCAGTTTTTGTTAACTGTTGGTAAACAATAAAAGGTTATCCAGAATCAATTTGTTCCGTGCTCTGCCCTCGCGAGCGCGTGGGCTGCAAAAAATTCCCCGAATTCATTCGCGTCTGACTCGCGCGGCTCATCTTTTCCCGCTCAGCGTCAGTATAATTTAGAGCTTTCCAAACGCACATCTGCTAATAATTTAATTACGAGAGTAGGTCTCCTTTCTTTGAAGCGCTCGACGGCGCGAGTGGGCGGATAATTGCAATTAATAACACTGCGCTATTCAACACAAAGCGAGAGAGTTTAGTTTGCCGAAGATCAGCAGGAAAATCGCCGCGTGTGCCCATAAATCGTCCCGAATTCTCCGTACTCGCGACTTTCGTAATTAAGTTTTAAAAAGCAGCATTCTCTCTCGTCGAAATCCTACGTGCGCTCTCAAAGGGCGGGTCGACCGATTTATTTACACACACACACACACACTCGTTTGATATATAATATGTGGGCACAAACATAAATAAAAACCAAATCACGGCTGCTTTTTCGCATTCTGCGCCGCGCACTTTGAGCGTTTTTTCCGTCACTTTCCTGCTGAGCAGCGAATCGGCGTGTTTTTATTTTGATTCGCTTGAGCAGGTGCCAAAAAACAATCCAAGGGCACACCAAAGCTTGGTGATAACTTTTCTTTCTTTCTTTCGATCGAAACTCTATGCTCTTGGCCAATTTAAATTCATCTCTGCGTGTTGGTTTAGCACCTTTTACGGCAGGCACGGAGTGTCCTCATTAGCGCTCAATTTATAGCCGCCGAGCATAAGTATACATTTCGCGCATTGTGCGCGGCTTGTTTTTGGGCAGCGGCACTAAAGCTAATGATTGGCTTCGCGCGCCTGTGCAGATGTTTCACTTCATTATGCAAATTAGTGCGCGGCGATTAATTGAATGCACCAAATGCGCTCCAATTTGTTCGCCTGCCCATAAACAAACTCATTCTGCTACTGCTCTTTGGTTTTTCATTTTATTTTTTTATCTATCGAATTTCATTGAAAATTTTGAAAAATTAAAGCTTATGCAAATACTGATCTTTAAATAAATTTATAAATTAAACTCGGAAAAAATTAAAATTTTGAAAAATATCGGCAAAATAATTTATATACTTCCACTCCAAGAAGTGGAAGGCCAAATTTTACGGTTTATTTACTAAACAAGTTATCTTTTATTGAACTTTTATTGAATCAAAAGGTTGCAAAAGTTTAAGCTGCGCAATTTGAAATGAACTTTCAATCACAGAGTATTGAGCCTAAAGCTACCGTAAATTTACTGAATCACTTTGATGTCGCAAAAGTTCGGGCCAAAGAAAGTCTTCTGAACTCTAATCAAGAACCAAATCTCTAAAGCCTCTCCCTTTGAAAGGGATCTAAAAGACCCCTCTTTTTCATTCTCTTTTGTGCGTCGGGCAAAATCTCGTCCGCGGGCCAAATAGAAGTGAACGAAAATTGGCACCAATAGCGAAAAGGAAGCCAGCCGTGCACACAAAGCAACGAAAGAGACGTTCGTCCAGTCCGTCCTTGTCGCATTGGCGGAATCTGCGGAAATCCCTGCTGCCGTCAACGCTGCGGCATTAGTATTCCTCAGCTGCACCCGCCAAGCATAAATTGCGTCCGTGTCCGGCCACTCAGGCAGAACGAGATGAGACGCGCAACAATCACTTTCGCCCTCCTGCTGCTCCTGGTGGCTCTGCTGAATGGGTGTCAGGCCAGGGCTTCGAGCAGGAGCGTGCAGGGGGTGGTGAGGACGCCGGAAAACCAGCAGGCGCAGTGCGCCTTCTGCAACCCCTCGGGGCCTAGATCATGCCCCTCAGGGTGCCGCTTTGACAGGAATAGGAATGCATGTGTGCCAACCTCCAATTGTGTAAGTATTAAATTGGTTAATTTAACCAGATTGATTTTGATACATAATTTGAAATCTCAATCATTTTGAACACTTAATTTACTTTGAAACTGGTATTTTTCTCTTGCTGTGTTTTCCACAGTAAATTTATGAAGAATTTTTTAAATAACTTGTTAAGTTTTTTTTTACAAAGTCAACTTTGTTTGCTTTAAAATTCGTTATTTAATAAATAAATATCAGATGTTTTACTTCCAGAGACAATGTCGTTGCCGCTAACAATTTCCTTCCTAATTTTGATGAGCCACACAACACCCACCTATACTGCCCACCAGTGTGACAACAAGAAATGTAAAAAAATAAATATATTTATAATAATAAAATCTCGAGTTTTGTATTTTTTTGTCCCAACAGCAAACTGTACTTGCATAGAAAAATTATTGTATGCCCAAGAAAATTTTATTGCTTACTAACTGCACTTAGCAAATTATTAAAAATCAATTAAAACGGTTAACGGAATCTTCAATTCACTGGAAGAACGTATTGTACCTTATTTTATGCACCACAGTCTCACAGTACCATCATCACTGGCTGAGGCAAGTAATCCAGCCTCTTTGGGGTTCCACGCAACGGCATTCACGTCCTGTGTGTGTCCTTCCCCAGTTGACTCAAGTTCGAATGTTGGTGCATTCTGGTCGCTCTCAGGGGACTCGAGGAAGATGCGAATTTTGTCATCACCGCAGCCGGTGGCAATTCGGTTTGATTGAGGGCACCAGGAGACGTCGTAAACTGTCCTAGGATGGAAACCTGACAGGGTGCACACACACTTCCAGGCGGGAATGTTGTCAGGCGTTTCAATGCCCTGAGGATTGCCCGGAGGATATTCTTGCCAAATCTGCAACATATTATAATATTTAAAAAATAATTTGAATAAAATATCTACAAGTTAAAAAAAAAAAATGGAATATTCTTTATAAATACAAAATTAAATAATAATACAAAAAAGAACAGGATGATTAAAATTTTGTACTGAACTTTAAAAAGTAATTGAAATTGATACTTATTTAGTTAAACATACTTTAACTGTTAAGTCATCACTACATGACGCCATCCTGTCACCAGAACTGTTGAATGCAAGACTCCAAACGGTGGACGTGTGTGACGTCAGGTTTGCACACTGGACCCATTCAGTTCCGTCTTCCCTGAACATTTTGATGCTGTCATCGTAACTGCAGGAGGCCACAACATCTTTGCTTGGCTGCCAGACAACCTGATTTAATGAAAAATAAATAAATATATCTGCAAATAAAATATAATTCTTACGCACTTTTTTAACATCTTGTGCGTGGTTGAAAAGGACAGCAGCGCATTCGTACTCGTTGTCGTCGGCCGTTTCCCAAACCCAGACAGTCTTGTCCCTGCCGCAGGTGGACAGGTACTGTCCCGAGTGAGACCAGGCCACGCTTTTGACCTCATTTTCGTGACCCTCGAGGGACATGACGCAGTCGTAATCGCCCTTCACGTAGGTCCAGATGCTGGTGGTGCCATCGAAACTGGCGCTGGCCAAGAATTTGCCACACAACGACCAAGACACGGCGCGGATCGTCCGATTGTGTCCCTCCGTCAAGCTCGTCTTGCACACCCACTTCTGTCCTTCTCGAGCCCAGATCCGGATGCTCTTGTCTTCGCCGCAGGACGCCAAAAAGTGGCCCTCAGGGTGCCAGGCCACGTTCCACACACGGCCTTTGTGTCCGTGCAGAATGTGGGACGCTTCGAGTCGACCCATAATTATTGTGGCACCGATTTTGTTCTGCAAAAAAAAGTTGTGTCAAAATTATGTACATAGTTTTTGTGTATGTATGATAATTGTGTAAAACATTACAAAATTTTTTTCATTGATTTTTGGTGCAAAAATTCAAAACATTATTATGTAATTTCAACAGACATGTAAATAATAAATTAATGAATATAATGCAAAAATTAATGTTGATTGTTGATAAAACCTCACCAACCAAATGAATGATTTGTGTTTGTGTTCGGACAAAAGGTTTTCTGAAATAAAGGATGCCGGCACGTTTGCTATCAGCCTCAGCAGCTCATGTTGTTTTTTTGAGGTGCCATGAGCCGTAAAAGGGGGCGAGGAATTGCAAAAACATGTGCGAGGAGACAAAAAATCTGTCTGTCTCTCTCGAGTCCCCATGAAATTGTCGACGGTTGTTTTTCATAAATCGGTAAAATCGGTCTTCTTCGCGTTTTTGATAGGATTAAACGGCTAAATAACTGGAATTATTAACCGGTATGTATCAAAAATATTGACACCGGAAACTAGCCTTCCTCCATCGCTAGTTTGGGGAAAAATTCGACAAAAACACGGGGTTTAGAGCGTTTATTCCAATTAATTAAGCCAAATTAAGGCAATAATGGCAACACTTAACATCATTAGAGCGTGTTCAACACCAGGTGAGTTGGAAATAGTTGAGATTTCTTCAGTTTTTTAGTGCCAAAGAAAGGATGATGTAACTTAGGAAAGGAACATGCGCCGGCATGTTTCTGATTTTAGATTTCAGCAGAGTATGGGGGCAAATTTGTCTAAAATTTTTTTTGTGACCAAAAATTCAATTAACACATTATTATTATTATTATTATTTCAGTGTTGAGGAATTCTTTAAAGAAGCTTTTAATCGGCAGAGAACCCTTCATTCTCTCACATGCGGCAAGTTTTAGACAAAAATTATCATCTCCTAGCTTTGTATTATGTTGATCATCATTTAACAGGGATCAAACAATGTGTGCAAGCGAGCCAGTCCCATAGTCACATTCCAGAGGTTCTACGCAGTGGCCACAGAAAAGAAGGTCTTCCAGAGAGACAAGCCGCATTGCAATGTTGGCACAATCGGACACGTTGACCACGGCAAGACCACCCTGACTGCCGCCATCACTAGGGTCCTCTCGGACAAAGAATTGGCAAAGGCTAAGGCGTACGCAGATATTGACAATGCGCCTGAAGAGAAGGCTCGAGGAATCACCATCAATGTGGCGCACATCGAATACTCAACCGACAAAAGGCATTACGGACACACGGATTGTCCTGGACACGCTGACTACATTAAGGTTTGAAACCATTCCTTGATTTTGTATCAATCTAATGTAAAGACTTTTTAGAACATGATCACCGGTACCTCTCAAATGGACGGCGCCATCCTTGTCGTGGCAGCCACTGATGGCGCCATGCCTCAGACCAGGGAGCACTTGCTTTTGGCGAAACAAATCGGAATCAACCACATGGTTGTGTTTATTAACAAAGTGGATGCTGCTGACCAGGAGATGGTGGAGCTGGTCGAGATGGAAATTCGAGAGCTGTTGACTGAAATGGGCTATGACGGTGAAAATGTGCCCATCATTACGGGCTCCGCATTGTGCGCCCTGGAAGGAAAGAATCCCGAAATTGGTATATTTTGTTTTTTTATGCATTAAATTGCGCAATTCACCAAATGTTTCAGGCTCTGAGGCTGTGATGAAGTTGTTGGAATCTATTGATGAATCGATTCCCACACCTGTTCGAGACCTGGATAAACCCTTTATGATGCCAGTCGAAAGTGTCTACTCAATTCCTGGCCGAGGCACAGTGGTGAGCGGCAGACTCGAAAGGGGTGTTCTGAAGAAGGGTATGGAAGCCGAGTTTGTTGGACACAATAAAGTCATCAAGTCAACCGTCACCGGAGTGGAAATGTTCCATCAAATTTTGGAGGAGGCCCATGCTGGCGATCAAGTTGGAGCGCTCGTACGTGGTGTGAAGAGAGAGGATGTCAAGAGAGGAATGATTCTCGCCAAACCTGGCACCATGAAGGCCGCTGACAATGTTGAAGGACAGGTTTGATCTTTAAAAAATTGGATGTCTTAAATTCTGAACTTTTTGGCTTTAGGTTTATGTTTTGACAAAGGAGGAGGGTGGACGCTCCAGACCATTCATGTCCTTCCATCAGGTGCAGATGTACTCCAAGACGTGGGACATGCCTATTCGTGTGCAGATCCCTGATAAGGAAATGGTCATGCCTGGAGAAGATTCAAAGTATATTCTGAAAACCTTATGCTCTGCAGATTTAACTTTTGTTTATTTATTTCAGGCTTATAATGCAACTGTTCAAGCCCATGGTGCTGGAACAGGGCCAGCGTTTCACCCTTCGCGACGGATCAACCACCCTGGGAACTGGAGTTATTACGAAGGTTCTGCCAAAACTTAGCGAGCCTGAAAGGCTTTTGTTGACTGAAGGAAAGAAGGCGAGAGAAAAGTACCTTGCGGCGCAGAAGGAAAAGAAGTAGACGAGAGAGAGAGAGAAGCATTTTCGCATTAACCCAGCAGAAGTTAAGTGGTGAATAATCCAATTATCTCAATGTAAGCAAAAAATTATTTCACAAACGCTCGCAATGTGCACTATTTGCACAGGAAATTTGCCTTCATTGAAAATGTTGTTAATTTGAGGAACCAGAATTTTTTTTAACTAAATCGTCAAATATTGAAATGTGCGTTTCTAGCGTAGTTAAATAAAACCAAAAAATTACAAAACAGACTCGTGTATTTACACTTTCCTCTAATTTTTTCATCAACTCGCAAGAAGTGAACTTGAGGAACAGTTTTTGTGAGCAAATGTTGAAGATCATCGATTTTGATTCAAACTCCCCTTAAATAGTCTTTGGTTTCGTATTCATTTTTTCCCAAAATTTATCTATTTTTGACTGATAGGGACGGCGTATGGGGAGTTCCAGTCTCGATCAAAGACTGCAACCAGCTGTTGTCGCAAACTTTCTTCGTCTCTGAGGGCATCGTCTAGTTCAGTGTTAGGGTCTCTCACCACCACGGCCGCCCCTCCAGTGTTGATGAAGTAGTCCCCGGACCAGTTTGACGTACCTACATTGTTGATGCAGTGCTTACAATTAGAGCTCCAATTTAATTAAGGTAAAATCCTTACCAATATACGCCGTGTTGTCGGTTACCATGTACTTGTTGTGGTTAACTCGCGCAAAGGGAATTTTGCTTTGAGCCTCAGAACTTGGTACCTCAAAGAATTTCTTCCGAAAAAAAAAAATCAAAATGCACCCTTTAAAAATATTAAACCAACTTACAGCTTCAATCCGAACCCAAGGGAACGACTGTGTTAGAGTAGTCAGTGATTCTAAGAAATATTTCATTGAGGGTCTGGTGTGATTCCAGTGGCTCACAAGGAGCTTAATTGTCACCTTTCTGTCGACAGCAGCGCTTCTTAAGGCATCGTCTATTACAGGCCAGTGCCTAAAAAGTTAAAAATGAGAGAAATAATTAAATTTTTAAATCCAAAGTACTTGATCTTTGGCGTGTAAATGGTCAGTGGGAAGTAGTCCATGACAGCAATGTGGATGAATTGGTTTGCGGAACCAATAACGTCTAGTACTGTGTCAATATCGGACGTTCGTCCCTTTGGGCAAAATTGTGGGGGTGAACTCTGACAAAAAAAATTAAGTTTAATAAACAATAATATTTATAAAACTTTAATATTACGGATATAAAAACGTTTGAGGGGGAAGTAGCGTTGAATGTGAGATTCATCGGGTGGTCCCTGTTGAATTTGGTGCCAAATTGATCCGGCCATTTGCTCGGGACGGTAGCTCCCTCCTTTCCCAAGTACCAGTAGACCTTGTTTAAAAATTAGCCTTTGATTACAATAATTTCAAATTCGATTTACGTCAAAAATTTTGCCCAGATCAGAAGCAAGGCAGCTGCAATTGTAGATGGCGACTCCCATTTCTTTGACCTGCAAAATTAACAATTAACCTCAATCATTCACTCAAATTCTTCTGGATCGTATTATTTTCACCTCAGTGAGTGACCTCCAATCCATATTGGCGCTGCCGACGTAAGCATGTTTGCGGTCAATCAGCCAAAATTTGGTGTGCAAAACTCCGCCGCCGACCAATTTTTGAAAGTTCAAACTGCGAACCTGTGATTTTTTTTGCATCAGTAATGAAATTTCAAATTTATTATTTAATTTAACACGCTACCTCAGCTGCTCCATGCTTTTCAAGAAATTCGGTGTCAAGATTTGGGTTCTCCGGTGTAGGTGCATTTTGCGCTATTCTGATTTTAATCCCTCTATGCACACCAGCTTGCATTAAGCCATGCAGAATTTCCTCACCCTGCATTGTAAAATTTTTTTAATCGATTTTAAAATTTATTTAAAAATTATAAAATAACAATTAATGAATCAAAATACCTTGTTTAGTACCTGAAATTATTTTATTGAAAAATAATATAAAATAATATTTTTTTTAACTAGAGATTTAAAAATTCACCTTGTGTGCTGATGGGTAGGGGTAGACGTCTGACCCTTTAAGTGTCCAGTAAAGAGAAGCAATCTCAATGGATTTTTCAGCAATTTGCAGCAAATTCTGCCAAGTATCATAAGTGGCAGAGTGAATCACTTCACTTGGCCTGTAGGCCAAACCCTCGGGGATGCTCTCGACAAGCGACGCCCTATAAATTTAACCACCACAATGCAATTAATATGCGCGCCAGTTTACTTTTTCCCAATCTAGACCTGCACGAATTGTGGCATGTTGCCCACTTGGTCGCGTACTGTTGGCTATCCTTTTTGTCCTCAATGCTGATCTTCTCATCCAGGAATGGCAGAACCACTAACAGAATCACCAGGGATAGGATGATGGTGACTGGGACGCAGGAAGGGAGTCGCCAGCTTTTGTTCCGCCACTTTTCATCCCCCATTATTGCTTTGATTGAAAAAGAATTATTGTTAGAATTAATTGATTTTAGCCAATATATCTATATCAGCGTAGTTTTACCATCACTGCTACGGGCTGGGGTCTGTAATTCTAGCTGGACGTCGTTCAGGTCCAAGTCTGTTGTCAGTTGCTGCTGGTTAGTCTGCACGCAAATCAAAACAAAAACTCAGCAAAGCATTTTGTGCAGCGGTCCCTAACCTTAACGATGGCAGATGGCTAGCAGTGTTGCCGTTCCGGCAGACGGACTAAATTTTGTATTATTGCAAGGCAATCTAAAGAGCAATGAGCACTAGCTGTAATTTGTTTGATGCAAAAAATATATATAAAATTCTCGCACAGCTATCTTTTTTAGTAAGCTAAATGCAAATAGGAACATATATAAAGTTAAATTCAATTAATTATAAAATAAAAGTAATAATAGATTATTGCAAAATTAGTATAAAGTATTTGAAGATATATAATAAAATTACCTTTTTGTAGTCATGAGCGGTCAGTTTTTTAAGAACAGTATTTTTTAAAACCATTGCTTTCGGTATTTCAATGAAGAAAATTACCACACAATCAAGTTCCCCTTTGTATATTAAATTATTATAGAGAAAATTTATAATCTCTTGCATTGCAAATAAGCATCATCTGAAGTTTTTACCGCTTATACCTCTCTTATCAATCAATTTTATCAGTTTCGCTTTTTTTCTTCTGCGTGTCCGGTGTTGTAGGGAAGTACGAAGTACAGTATAAACTTTTGATATATCCGATTTATATTGAATTTGATTATTTTTATAATTATATAATTAGAAATTTAAGAAAAAAATATTGTTTCTTGCAAGCGTGAATTAATGCTTTCGATAAAAAAATAAAATCTGAAAAAATAATACTTTACGTTATAATTTTAACTTATGTTGAATGTCTATAACGAGAGGGGTATAAAACACACACCACTAATTACCTTGTTCATGTGCTGAATAACAAGCCGCCCGTTTGCCGATGCTACTTGCTGTTGTTGCACCACGAAAATTTGATCATGCTGAGCGCAGCTAATATTATTTCTCTCCATGTTCCTCTTATTCCAAACACTGGATCACTGGATCTGCTCTAATTTTAAACCCCCGAGGAATTACCGTGTCGCGTAGTTACCTTGAATTTTCAACCCAGTTTTCCTGCCTTTCATAAAAAAGCTGCGGTGTGGTCAGCAGCGCAGTGTTTTAATTTATCGACGCGCAATTAGCGCTAGACACCACGCGTGTCTCTTAAAATCAATTTACAGGGACACTGCACGTGAGAACACGTTGTACATGAGTATAGGACTACTTTTGAATAGCACCCAAAATCCTGCGATAAAATGTTACGAGGGCTTGAAAAATAAAATGCGAGTGTGTTTCGCTTTTTACAGTTTTATTAAAACAAATTAGTGTTTTCTTATTATCGTCATTATTAGGCAGTACCAAAAGCAACAACATAAGAATTAACAATTACTGGTGAGGAGCAGTGTGTGTTTGTTTGTGATTACATGAAGCCCTTAATTACTTAGATATGGTTGGTTTCTCGTGAAATAGTGGCATTCGCGATTATGAGAGAAGATTAGATATTGTGTTTATGCATTTGTGTGTTCGCACGTGTCCGAGTTGAGAACTCGCATTGTTCTTAATTTTTTTTTACTTAAACTGACAAAATTAAAAGTACTACAGTGCAGGCGTTACAAGAACCATCGTTATACACAAAAGTAGGTTTAAATCACAAGACATCGTAAAACAACACGATATTAGGAAAAATTAGATGTGGTATGTTCAACTAAGATTGCACAGACCGGCATATATATATAAAAAAAAACAGGAGTACAAGTCTTTCAGCAATGGTTTGAGACGAACGTGGAACAAAAAGGTTTGTTTCAACAGGTCACTGCGCAGTGCTAGCTTACAACAAGTTCAATCTGGCGGTACTTTTTGCGCAGATTGGAAACAGGGTCTTTAAAAAGTACTGGGTCAAGTCTCATATTGGAACGTAACAATGGCATGTAGCCGAAGACGGCTGCAAATGTGTTCAGGCAGGTCTGCCGCTGCACAAAGTGGTCCGGGTCGTTCCAGGGCGACCTGAGGAAAATAAATTCTTTGAGTCCTGAAGTTTCATAACAATTTTCCCAAGACAAACCTGGATCCACTGGCAGGATTCTCCTTGTAGACCTTTCGCTGAGTCACCTTGATGGGTGGTCTTCTGGTCACATGGCTGACTAAAAAGTTCATCAGAATGTCTTCGCAGTTCTGACTTTGCTCGACTGTTTTGTGAAGAAGCGGCCCCAGGCCGTAAGTATAGAGATGATGGTAGTAGTGATGATAGAAAGCTGCACCAGTCAACACCAATGAATAGTCATTTGTCCACTTGGACGTGTAGCCCCACGTGGCCTGCAATTTTCAGGGTCATTATCAGATTGCTTTTTAAAGAAAAAGATGAAAAAAATACCTTTGCGTCATCCCAAAAGTGGGACCTGGCTGGGTAGCCGACTATTCGGTCTGGAAAAGATCTCCAGACATTGTAGGCGAAATCTATTTCGTCCGTCGACAGAAGGGAGTCGTCGTCCAGGGAAAGTACGGCGGCTGTCTCGATGAGCGGCTGCGGCCGGAAGCGAGCAGATATGCCCGCGTTATTGTGCAAAATTGTTAGAGGAACAGAAAGGAGGGGCCAATGGGACCTTGGCGGGGGTGGCCGCTCTATCGACCACAGAATTATCACCTGAAGAATCAACAAATTATCTCAATAACGGCAAATTTGCACAAAAATTAGGACATACCCTGGATATATGACGAGACTTCCCAAGGCTTTTTAGCAGTCTTATTAGTGGCGTGTTAGCATTTGGTGAAATAATGTTAGTTATGGCAGGATGCGAGTAGATCACCGCGGTGAAGTTGGGGCTGACTTCGGAGCCTAAGGCTTCGGCGTAGAACGGGTACTGCGACCACGTGTCGGAGAACTGAGGCAGTGAGAAAAGAGCACCAGGCGCTGAGTTCCAGATCAGCCCGCTCCTTGAGCCTGCTATCTCTTGGGACACTCGGTCAAACACAATCTGCGAAACGAACCAGGCGTGAGTGAACGACCGGCCTAACTAAGCTGCACAAACAAAACGCCGTCTCACCTCGAGGGTTGTGTGTACGATTTTCTCGATCGACGAGAAGTACCGCTCCCACAGAATTTGTGTCCACTGTCTCAGTGCGATCAGCTTGGCAACTTCTATTGAACGGATTGAGTCTGGCACCTGAAATATTGCAAAAGGAAAATAATTTTGTTAAGTTTCTTGGCTTGCAATGTAAAAATTTAAAATTAAATTGTATTTATACAATTTCAAATGTCACAAAAAAAAATTATTTTTAATTAATTTAGCACCTTAGGCATTTTACTGATCAAAGATTTGATAAATAAGTTGTTTAATTAAGCAAGTGTCAAGTTTTTTGTTGCAATTTATAAAGCAAGGTGTGGCATATTACCTGTAGCAACAGTCTTTCGTCGGCCCAAACAACGGCCAAGGACCAGTCGATTACTGAATCGAACGGTAGCACCCAGCCATTGGCGAGCAGCACTGGAATGCAGCCTGCTTGCAAGGCCTCTAAAAATCTAAATGAGCCCAGTCGGCGACCTCGAGGCACAAGGCAAAACGTGGAATTCTGCAAGAGCACTTCATAGTCGTACCTGCAACACGATTTGTGTGAAGAAATTAACTTATTTAACACCAAAATATTTAAATTAAATAAATATATTCAAAAAGCTACTCATTAAAATTAACAATCATTATTTTTGTTTCTTGATTATGTTTGTAAATTTTTTTCAGTGAAATTAGTAATTAAAACAATTAGGAGAAAAATTAGTGAAAAGACAAGAAAATAATTAATGGACAATAAAATCAAATACAAAATTTATAAATCTGCATAAATCTATCATATTTGAAGTAGATAATCTAAACCACGAAGAAATAACTAACCTATCGTACTCGGCGTTGTCCTCATCACACCTCTCGTCCTGCAGGTCCCTCCAGCTGCGGCCGTGCTTGCAAGTGGTCACCAAGATGACGTCGCGGCCGTTGTGAAGGTGGTAGAGTGAGTTGCGCGTCTCGGAGCCGATACCGTGCACGTATCGCTTGCCTTTGAAGGCCAGCAGGTACTTTTTAGTGCCGGGGAAATTGACCGCGTTGACCAGGCCCGGCTCTCCACCCTTCTCAGGGTGGTTTCGGTGAAACAGGGGGATGGAGATGTCGAATCCGGAACGCAGCACTGAAACGGGTGCGCTTGCCCTCGCCAGCATCGCGTAGCCTGCGAACAAACAATACAATTTTTTTGCTCATCAATAATATTATTTGTGTTTCGTCAATTTATTTCCAAATTTGCAAACACACACGCGAATCGAGTTTGTTTTGAACGCCGAGTCAACAAAATTTCTCATTAGCCGGCTCGGATCGATGCGAAAGCAATTTAAAAACACATCATCTGCCGCGCTTTGTCCTTCCGTCTCCCACTTTTCTTTCTGTTCGCCAAATGGAAGATGGAAAAAATCGTCATCGCGACGAAACAATTGAAAATGACGCGACGCGCGTGCTGCCGGCTAAAGGGCCACAGACGGCGCGGTGTTTGTTTTGGCTGGCGATGATATCACTTTCTGAAATAACAAGCCCGGACGGCACCACCATCGAAATGTGAACATATAGATAGTCTCAAGTGGTGCACTAAGTATTTTCCGCCACTGTAACCAACTTGCATCGGTCCCTCGCTTGCACCGCGGCGAATCAATTTCAAAAGCATGCCCAAGTGGCGGCGCGATAATCTCGGTAATCACGTTGTCGTCTGCCTCGTCATTATTTGTTTTCCGCTGCATAATATGCAAGCACCGAAATGTGCCCTTTTACGATCAGTCGGCGTTTTATGTTTACGGTGGCAGTAAAAACTTTACGTCCTATTCGCGCCGGATAGATTACCCACCCAAAATTTGTCACCGCGACGAAATTGGGGCGTTAATTGGATGATGGAAATCTGTGTGACGGCGCTGACGACAAGAAGAGGCTTGATCACGTTTTCACGGCGAGAAAATTGGTCTTGAAGTATTTATTAAAATAAATATAGTTTTTCCGCCACTTTATCTATTGAAAAACTTTACGACTTTTGCGAGGGTAAAGAGGACTTCCTATGGAAATAATTTTAGGGCCCTTAATTTTTTTGAATTACGAGATAAGGAAAGAAAGATCTGTGTAAACAGCTGCAACCTTGAAACCAGCAGCTGGACACGCTCAAATAAGTTTATTTCTTATCCTTCAAAGTCGCATTAAATGAAATACATAAATTTGCAACTAAAAGAAATTTAAGCGATTTTATAGAAATTAATTCCATGACAAGGACAAGCCATGGCAAAAACAGTTCAGAGGAATCATTGCCTTCGTAAAGAGATGAACAGGCTTTTTTTTTAAAGCATCAAGTTTCAATTTTGCAACAGCAGCGATCAGTTGCAACACGCGCTTTTTATCTTGGCAAATGATCAGTGCCACTTGGTAAAAACATAATCACACAGCTGAATGCAATTACTCACAACGTCACTGGCCAATGCGGTTATTAACTCATTGATACTGAATTAAAATCGATTAAAATTTGGTATAAAAATCAACTAATTGTAAGTCTGGAATAGTCAAAAATATTAAAAAAAGAATAGAATTTAGAAATTTAGTGAAAATTCATTTATAGAACAAAAATGATGAAAATTTCTGTAACTGATTGAATGTAAAACTGAGTTGAATTTTTAATGGCGAAATTTTAATTTCAATAGTTTGAATGTACAAATTCGTTTCCTAGGTGAAGATTTATAAATATCAAAGATGAAAACATATTAAGTGATTCAATAAATGTTGTGAAATGATCATTCTGGCCAATAATATCTATTTCCACTAGATTTACTTGTCCCGTCTCTCTATTGATTGTCCGGTTGGCAGCACTAAATGACCATAAAAGCAGCAGCAGCAGCCGTAAAGCATTTGGCGTTTTCCCGGCGGGAGCAGCGACACAAACGAGCAGCAATAAAAGTAAATAAATAACAAAGGGGATGATTTACCGATGTCGAAGCCGAGGTCGTTCATGTCGTAGTCTGGCCAGGTGCCGGCGTAAAGGTTGAAGATGAGGTGGTTGCGTCCGTCGTTCCAGTGCTCGAGGTGCTGGACGCGCGCCTGCATGTTGCGCACGTAGTCGCCGGACAGGTTGTCCCGGTCGAGGGTGTCGAGGGCGAGCACAAAGAGACACGCCTGCTGCGGGTCGGGCGTGAAGTAGCGTGACTCGAGGATCACGTTAAGTATTTTGCGATATGTCGGACTAGGTTCGGGCGCGTTCTCCACCGGGTAGACGTACACCTTGAGCTCGCCGCCACGGCATCGCGACAGGTCGAAGCACGTCTCCATGCGACAGTGCCGCAGCGGGTTGTCCTGCACCCGGCGTTGGTTTGACCTGCCAAGCAAAACACAACCAGATCATTATAAAAAATGCCAAATTTTTAAGTTATTTTTATAGGTTTCATCAAAGTTGAAGTCATTTTTTTTTGTGATCTTCATGATTTCACAATGAAAATTTGAAAGGTACACAAACGATCGAAATTTTTATACAAAAGTAAGGGCAATTAAGTAAGTTTCCTATTCAAAATAATTTAATTAAAAAATCCCACAATTTTCAGTGAAGATTAAAAAAAAATACTGAAAATGGATCCTAATTCTGTGTTTCCATTAAATTAATTAATTTGCTATCTCATTTTGGTTTGGATGGTGTGATTAATGATTTTAATTATCCGTTTTCAACATAATAAAATTTATGCCAATACAAAAGTGATAATAAATAACTACTGGAAATAAAAGACGACAAAATAATTAAAAATACGTTTTTTTAATTCAATATTTGATTGCTTCTCATTATTTATCTTTAACCAAAATTTCATCATTAAAGCAATAATAATTTAAATAAATAGTTTTTCCACAAGTTTTAATTATAAATTTTGTTCTTCAGAAATCAAATTAAAAATTATTTTCCTTTTTAAATTTTCAACTTTTGTTTTAATAATCAATCAAAATCAATGATTAAATTCCTTTGAAAGGGCTAATATTTAAAATTATACATAGATTCAACTGCAACCCCTGAAGCTTGGAAATGAAATATTTAATAAGCATTTTGCCTTGTTCTTCTCATCTTTTAAAACTTTTTTGTGTGACTAAAGAGGCCATGATGGTTTCGTACATAATAAAATAATATGCTTTGTATATGTTTGAAAAAGGGCAAACCGGCGGTGCTGTGTATGAAGTGTGTTTGATCGCACAACTCGGAGCAATTCGCAACCTTTGCCCTCTCTCTATGCATGTACGTACACCAGAACATGGTCCCAGAGCAGAGATCGCTCCGAGCTTTCCCAGTAGACCGCCGATCCCGAAACTTTTGAAACACCTCGCTTGCGCACTCGCCCGTGAATTGAACCGAAAAGAGACGAGGAAATTGCCTTTCCTCAGAATTTCCACAAAGCGCGTGCCTTCTAGATCAATTTTCTGGCACAGGGAAAAACGAATGAGATGCGAGGATAATCTTTGAAATTGCTCCGTTAACATTGAGTGCTCACAGACTTGTCTTTACGCAAGAGTGTTTTGTTTTCGACGCTGCTTATTGACTATCAACTCGAACGACGCAACGAAACGACACACTGAGTGGAGTGTTTAGATGTTTACAACGAGCCGAATTAAATAACCGACTGAAATCAACGAGCCAGACGGAAATAGTCTCTAATTTGACGTCAAAAAACGGCTCGAGCGCCCGCAATCGGAAGAGCGAAAGAAAGAAAGGCGCTGACTAATTAACAAAAAAGATTGCTGTTTGCTTTGATGACTTTTTTACTTGTGTTCCTCTCTGTTGAGGCCATTAAAAAGAGGAAGAAGAAAAAAGTGGAAGAAGAAAAAAAGTGGAAGAAGAAAAAAATTGGAAGAAGAAAAAAAGGCAATTTTAAATAGAAGATTAGCTTTAGGAGGTTAACTTTAAAGGTTCCCATTTCAAATTTGAAACACAAGGAAAATTTTTGGACGATTTTTTTTTTCATCAAAAATTACGTTGGTGCGATCTTACAAAAAAGGTGAGAATGGAAAATGTGAAGAAATAGCAATTTGTCTGGTGAACTTGTTGATAAAATGAGGGGCGACAAGAGAGTTCAGCGACAAAATGGGCTGCAAACTAAATTATCAACAGTGATCGACTGAAAGTGGTGTAACGTTTTGAATTCCAGGTAGGTTGTGGGTCAAACGTTCACATTGACCACAGAAAATAATTAAAAATGGAAAATTTTAATATCGTTGCACTTTTATGCAGGTTAAGAGAAAATTTCTTTAAGCAGGTTTTAATTTATTAAATTTAATTTTAATATTTTTAAATCAGGGTTTGAGCAATTTTCTCTTTGAAAGGATAAGAAATAATGGAATGGTTTGACTTTTGGCCGAGTTGACATCAAAACATCAGGCCCGAATCGCAAATTTCACACAACTTTTAAAATTTGCATTAAATGGAAAGACAAATTTTGTTTGGAAATGGAACATAAATTTTAACCTAACGATTTGTGTGATCATGAAAAAAAAATCATAAATCGCTGAAACTTTTCGTTGACGAAAAACAAAATTTCATTTTTCTAGAGAAGCAACGGTGCACGGCGGAAATTCATCTTTCCTTAAATAGCACTTTATCATAATTGAGAGACAGTTTCCTTGCACGACGAAGAAAAATTGTTGGCCTGATTAAGACAGAGCCCGGCATGAATAAATCGATCATTAGGCGGCCGCATTTCATCATCATCAGCGTGCAGATTGGGAAGGCGTGGAAACGTGCAGGTTGGTCGGGAAATAACTCTGCGGGCCGGTGCAAAAAATCCGAGCGTGGAAGGATGAGCTGCGGAAATTGATGAAAAAGCTTCCGGCTACTCTCGGCTGCTGGAGTTGACATAACATTAGTTTGCTGCGAAAAGGGCGGATTTGCTCGCTTCATTTTTTCCTCATTCCCGAAGGACACACATGGCCATTTTTTTCATGACGTGCGGAGGCTGGGTGCGCCGAATTCTTATCTCGAAAGGGGGAACCGGCGGCGCTGCTTATCGGGGAAGGTGGAAGAAATGAAATTATTGTGCAAGGGGCATTATCGGCGACCCACTCGACTGCAAATCAAGTGCCGCCCGTGCTGAATAAGGAAATGGTGCGGCCGAAAATCTGCCGATTTCGCAAGATCGACGCATGAGTGCGTCGAGTTATTTATAATTTCGTCCACATTTTCTGCGTTCAACCGCGAAAATCGTTAAAGATCAAGCCAGTCGGCGGAAGTAAACAAAGTTGATTTACTCGACTGCGGGAGTCAAACTGGTGCGGATGTATTTTGCCAATATTAGGAAGAATTTGATAGATTTCAAAACCTTATTAGGTTTTATCTTTGAATTTTTTATTTGATAAATTCATATTTGTACGCCAATATTTATGACAAAATGCATTTTTCATAAAAATTTTGATTAAATTATTTTGACTAGACGGTGAATAATGAAGAACAAGATAATATCAAAAGGTTCAACCACTTTTAAATTTAAAATGTACGCAGTTGAAAAATTGCGAGTTTATGCTAATGAAAAAACGTTGTGTTGGAAGCAGCCTTGGCATTCCCGGAAATAACTGTCTCCGTGTCATGCGATCGAGCCTCTTGGGCAACTTGAATTAAACGCACGCAGTTTTCCTCATTGAACTTTTAAGTTCAATACACTAAATTTAAACTTAAAATTCCATTGGAAAAGATGTTTGTCATCTTCAAATTTTCAACGGTTCACTGCATATATAATTGACTATAATTTTTTTAATGCTGGATATTTTCAGCTAGAAATAAATTAAAAAGTAATTTTATTTAACGGAAAAAGCTTTTTAAATTATGGAAATGAAATTAAATATTAAATTGAAATAAAATGATTACTATGTATAACTGAATCTATTTTCTAATTTTTTATTTATTTTATTATTAATTTATTTAAAATTACAAATAAGACAACTGCAAGGGGTGCTGGTGTATTCGTCTGCATTGATTTAATTAAAAAGCCCCAATTAAAAATTCATATGTTGCGGATATACAGTACAGACCCAATACGTTCTCACGCAAAAAATTGCCCCAAAATGGATAAAGAGACCTAGAGGGCGACAACCCTGACCAGAGGTGTTGACGCAGGTTCAAGGTCTCGCCATCACCTGGATTGCAGGTGTTCGTTGCGGCGCCAGAGAGACTATTAAAAATTCACAAAACGATCGTCTGGGGTGTTCCTATCGAAAGACGGGGTAGAAAAAGGCAATTGCGAGGGTAGGGTGCGGGGGTGGAAAAGGTGGCAGCCTCAGGGGTGGCGACTGATGATATACCTTCGGACGCTGGGGGAGAAGGCGAGGTCCCTGTCGGCGTTGAGGGCGACGTCTTCGGTGAGGAAGGAGGGCAGGGCCGGTGTGTCGGCGACCGGCGGGGGCGGTTCGGCCGCCGACTTGAGGCGGTAGCCGCCGAAGTAGCAGTAGGCGAGGAAGGCGCACGACAGAAGCACCAGCAGGTACCGCTTCTTGGCCTGCATTTTGTGTCAAGAAGTGCGTCTGGAGCGGCTCCTCCAGCTCGGCGGCTCTTCTCGGCCCCGGCAATCGGGGGCTAGCTCGCCTCCGGGGGCCGTGAACGGGGGGCCCGCGCCGACAGCATCAGCCTCGTTGGTGACCTTTGTCCTGTTGCGACGACCGAGGTGGTCACCACTCGAATGTAAACATTTCACGTCCTCCTCACACTCGCTCGGTGGGCGGACTCAACTTTCCTCCTCTCACGGCAATCGATGCTCGCCAAAGGGGCTCGCGCAAGGAGACGCGTCTCGCGGGTCTTGTGACTAGCGCCAAATCTTAAAAGTTTCCTACACCCGACATCCGATGGACATAGACATTATTTAAAAAAAAATATGTTCCTTAACCCTTGAGTGCGAAGGCGGGGTCCTCCGGGTACCCCAAAGCATGTTTTGTGCATTTTTAAATAGGAAAACATGCAATGAAAAATATGAAAAAATTTGACTTTGATTTTTTAGGGAATCTGATCATATTAACCAAGGAAAATATTTATTTTCACCAACAGTTGAGTTTTTAGGAAGGGATTTTTGAAAATTTAGGCATTGTTTAGGCGCCAGTGCGAAGGTGGGGTACTCCGAGTACCCCAGTCGACGTTAAACAAAAACAACTGTAACTTCCACAGTTTTTGAGATAGAGATTTGAAATTTGGAGGGGATGTTCTTCAATCATCCCTCTAGTGATAAAAACAGTCAAATTTCATCCCCTAATTTTTTCATCCCCCAAACCACCCCTTTTTTGGAAAATATACAATTTTGAAGCCTGGGCTAAAAATTATAGCTGCTAAACATGATATACACCACGCAGGGGGTTGGAAGAGGGGTGAAGGGGGTGAAAGTACCTTACCAACAAGAATCTATGTCATTCTTATTCACATTTGTGAGGAAAAAACATATAAAATGAGTTATTATTGAAAAAAACTACCCCTGTAAGACAATTAGGGGGTTGTTAGGGGGTGAAAATAATTGGTCAGTAATTGAATTATATAAGGGATGATAAGGGACAGTCTTGAAATTTCAGAAATCTTCATAATAAACAATTAAATGTGCCAAAAATAACAGTTTGGAACAAAAGGGGTGCATTAGGGGTTGAAAATAATAAGGGGTGAAATTTTGACACTTTCCCTTTAGAGGGGTGAATTAAGCAACAACTCCTGCAAATTTCAGCTTTTTATCCCAAAAATTACGTTTGTTACAACGCTTTTTGTATTTTGGGGTCCTCCCGGTACCCCGCCTTCGCACTCGCGACGTTTCAATATAGCCTTCCTAGTCAAGGGTTAATTGTAAAAATAAAAAAAAATAAGCAAATAATTGAATAATAGGAATAAATAAAGAAAATAGACTATAAAATTATGTTGTATTTGCAATGTATGAATTTTTGATAATTTTATTTAAATAATCAAATTTCATAGAATGCATTATATTATTCAAAAAGTAATATTTTTAATTATCTGTATTGTATAATATTATGTTTTAAAAACAATTATTTAATTGGCATTACAATTTAAATTATTTACAAAAATTTAAATTTTAATGCCTCCATTTTTCAACCTTTGTTTCAAAAATTTTGGTTTATTCTTCCAAATTTGTATTTAATTATATCATGGAATTTATTTAAATGCCATAACAAAATTGACTTGTATAATTCTAATATTTTTTAACGGATTGGCCCCATTGCAAAGAATGCCAACAATTATTATACATTTATGCTGATCAATGCTGATAGTCCAAATTTTTTTTAAATTTAATTAAAAAATTTACTGATGAGGTGATGAGAAAAATCTCCATGTATTCTGGAAAAAATGAACAATAACCGAAATAAAAACGCTCGCCCAAACGCGTGTTTCCTGTTATTACAAAAATTGTAAAGAAAAATAGTAAAAATTTTGCTTCAAAATGTTAACTTAAAACATAATTTCGACCAAGAAAATTAATTTTTTCATCTTCTCAGTATAGCAACTATTTTTTTACATCAAAAATCACCCATGAATTTTTGAAAACAAAAAATCGCAGCTGATGAATTTTTGCTCCAGTCTTTTGTCATGTTTGATTTTTGTTTGAGTTTTTACTACTAAGAGATTTAAACTAATAAATGAATTAATCTTAAAACTTCACTATTATTATTATTATTTTATTCAATTTATAATAGGAGGAATTTAATCAATTTACATTCATTTGCCATGCCTTGAGTTACTTTAGCGCTAATTTGATATCTTTTGAATAAACAATTAAATACTCAAACCGTTTTGAGCGATTCCAAGATGAACTTGGCATTAATTAAATTTGCAAAATTCAACTCCCATACAGTGTAGCAACAGGGCTTCGCCATTATATCAATTAGTGAAGCGCAAATCAGCATTTCGCTCGAATAAATATTTTACTTCTCACCGCCTTCCCACACGCGCACGCTCATATATTAAAAATCGATGTGGATTTCTAAATATATTCCAAGCTCCAGTTCGTATTGGCTTTGCTGGAACCGTCTTCTGATTCCTGATGAGATGCGATCAAACTCGATCACTAATAAAAAATAAAAAAATCAAGAAAAAATCGCAAGCAGACGAAGCTTGTAGCAAACTTTCTGCAAAACTGCTGCCTCGCAAAATAAAAAATGAAAACGGGTTACGACAAATATAAATGAATTAAAAAGTGCAAAGAGAGCAGAGAGAATCAGAGAGAGAGAGAGAGCGGCTCTTTTTGCCTCTCATTTGGCAAAACCATATTGTTCAAGCAGAAAGCGCCGGGTGATGATGAGTCTAACAGACTGGCAGTGGTTTTTGGTTAGGCGAGTCGCCCTTGTACAACATGCAAAACGTACATTTGACGCTGACAGTTATGATGTGAAATGTTCTGTGTGCGAGAGAGTGAGAGGGCGAAACGAGCGCACGTTTTTGTACGTTTGTATAATTCCAAAATTGCAGTCGCTGTTGAATCCAATTTAGACTTGCAAACGGACACATCTTTAATAAGCTTTTGCGGCGCGCGGTAAATTATTTATTTCGTCAGCGGCTGCTTCAAAGCGCCGGCAAATTAAATTTGTGTATAGGGTGCGCGCGATTAATCCACACAAAACAAAATATTACGCTGGATTTCACCGCAAGCCTACACACGTCGACTAGAAATGAACCAAATATTGTAAAACCGAGGGGCAAAAAGAAAAAAATCAACATCATCTGTGAAATGAACTATTTGGTATAAATTTGCAAGCGGTCAAGGGAGATAAAATAAATTAACTGAAAGATGAAATACGCCATGCAGCGTTTAAATAAGCAGTGACTATAAAAGAGGACAATTTTTTTTTCATTTTTTGAAATACGAATTCTCTTGTTGGTGACATCAAAGGAAATTGAACGAGCAATAGAGAATTGCAACGACAGTCGATGACAAATTTTGTGGAGCCGCGCCTTGAAAAATGACGCATTGCTTTAACTCAACCACGGACTCAACAAATCATCCCAAGAAAGACCTGGGAAATCTAAAAATATTATGGTCATTGTCAAATTATTCTTGTGGCTGACGATTATAAATTGAAGTGTAGGCCAAAATTAGATGACACATAAAAAGTTTGTTTTTATTAAGGATAAAATAATTTTTCGATGAAAATTAACCAGCCGTGTAAATTTACGAGTGTAAATCAAATTAACGAGAGTGGCATTTGAGGATGCAATTAAAATTTTCAATTTATATTAAAATACGGATCAGAAAAGGAACAATCACAAGAAAAATGGGAGAGATTATAAAGAATTTGAGCTATAATTAATGAGTGCATTATAAAGTGATGAAGACGATGAAGTGCAAATTTCTATCGAAAAGTTATTTTTGAAATGAAGTAATAGAAATAAGTCAACGTTCCAGAATTGATTCGATGATATGATGTGTACATTTTTGGATCAAGTTTTATGCTGTAATTATTTTCACCAATCATAATATCTATATCTTTCAGTTCATCATCTTTCAGCATCATCGAGTGGTCGCCACAAGGATATGCCGTTGAAATAAATTGATGCTCGATTTTTATATATAGATATAAACCCCTAAATAATGGTTATAAAAAAAATTGGGTATGGTATGGTGCCTTCTTCACCACCACTTTTTTGTAGTTTTAAATAAATTTTAACAGTTGCTCATTGAGGGGACCACAAATCAAAAATTCAACAAAATGATTGGAACCTGATTATTTAGCTTTATTATGGAGAGAAAAAAGAGCCACAATTAATAGATTCATGCGCGGTTCGCAGTTAAGTAAGTGAAAAATGGCCATTTTTGAAACGCCAAAAATCTTGCTTAATTTAAATTTTGAATGCGGTTTTTTTCAGTTTTAAAAAATTTTAAGAGTAGCTCATTGAGGGGCACACAAATCAGAAATTCATAAAAATTATTTTAACTTATTTAAAATACTTTATTTTGAGGAAGAAAAGAGATCCACAAATAATCGTTTTTTAATAATAGTCGTTAAATAATAAAAGGCAATTTAAAAAAAAAAAAATGGATGCGACGAACACAAAATTGAGTGTACAATGCAAATATTAATTATTATTATCTTGTATATGAATTTGAAAATTAAGAAAAACGAGATAATTATAGAGTTGATGCTCGCGAAAAAATGGAAAAAATGCCAATTTTAGAAACGCTCAATTTTCATGATTATTGGAATTATGTCTTTCTTGCAGGTTTAATTCATCTTATCAGTGGGTCATTCAGGGCCACACAACTCAGTGTTTCATTAAAATCAAGAGAAGCTGAAATAACCATTTTAATAATAGTCCTTAAATTATAAAAGGCAATTAAAAAAAAAATTGGATGCGACGAACACAAAATTGAGTGTACAATGCAAATATTAATTAATTATTATCTTGAATATGAATTTGAAAATTAAGAAAAACGAGATAATTATAGAGTTGATGCTCGCGAAAAAATGGTAAAAATGCCAATTTTAGAAACGCTCAATTTTCATGATTATTGGAATTATGTCTTTCTTGCAGGTTTAATTCATCTTATCAGTGGGTCATTCAGGGCCACACAACTCAGTGTTTCATTAAAATCAAGAGAAGCTGAAATAACCATTTTAATAATAGTCCTTAAATTATAAAAGGCAATTAAAAAAAAATTGGATGCGACGAACACAAAATTGAGTGTACAATGCAAATATTAATTAATTATTATCTTGAATATGAATTTGAAAATTAAGAAAAACGAGATAATTATAGAGT